ACGTTAAAACAGCATTCCTTCATGAAACTCTAGATGAGGAAATCTATATGAATCAACCAGAGGGATTCATACAGAAGGGAAAGGAATCAAGGGTATGCCTACTAAAGAAGTCGTTGTATGGATTAAAGCAATCGCCTAGACAATGGAATCATCGGTTTGATGAATTCATGAAGACTCATGGGTTTACACAAAGTCAGTGTGACACATGTGTGTACTTCAAAGGAACAAACATTGATGATCGGGTGTATCTCCTACTCTATGTTGATGACATGTTAGTAGCGGCAAAGGACAGGAAAATGATTCAGAAACTAAAGAATAGCTTAATGAAGGAGTTTGAGATGAAGGATCTGGGTCCGGCTACAAGAATACTGGGAATGGATATTATCAGAGACGAAAAGAAAGGGACGATCAAACTGTCTCAAGAAAAATATCTGAGACAAGTTTTGAAGACATTTAACATGGAAGGGGCAAACTCAGTTATTACTCCTACAAGTTCTCAGTTTAAGCTGAAGAAGCTTACCGAAAGAGAAGTGCTATTAGAAGCGGAACATATGGAAAAAGTGCCATACGCAAGCGCAGTGGGCAGTCTGATGTACGCAATGATTGGGTCTCGACCTGATTTGGGGTTTTGCTATTTGCTTGGTTAGCAGATACATGGCCCAACCAGGGAGAACTCACTGGGCAGCTGTCAGATGGATTTTGAAGTATGTTATAGGAGCGTTGGATATTGATCTAATATTTACTAAGTCAGATAAGTTTGATATAGTTGGGTTCAGTGACTCGGACTATGCTACTGATTTAGATAGAAGGAGATCAGTGTCAGCATATGCATTTACGGTGGGAGGAAATATTATCAGCTGGAGAGCGCAACTACAACCAGTAGTGGCTTTGTCAACCACAGAGGCTGAGTACATAGCTCTCACAGAAGCAGCTAAGGAAGGGATATGGCTTATGGGTATTTGTGATGAGTTGGGATTTAGTTCAGCAAGTTTCGATCTACATTGTGATTCACAGAGCGCTATATGTCTAGCAAGGAATGCAGTTCATTATGATAGAACTAAACACATCGATACTAAATACCATTTCATCAGGAATCTAGTGGGTAATGGTTCCATCAACCTACAGAAGATTCATACAAGCCTAAACCCAGCTGATTTCCTAACTAAGAGCGTACCTGGCAAGTGTTTTGAACAGTGCCTTGCCACGCTCAAGGTAATCGCCTGATCCAATGGCGAAGATGGTCGAGATACTCCAGTCGATTTGATTATCTCGCACCATAAACAAAATGAAGAACGGTGTCAGTTCTTCAGGAAGCAACATCGGAAAAATATATTCTTCATGCAATCGGTCAAGTAAGGAAGAATAAAATCTTGAAATCAAAGGCAGAAGCTTGGAATTAAAATGATTACCTCTCGCAGACGAAGGCTGAGTTTTCATCTTAATTATTTTTCCCTCATACTGAAAAGTGGAGGAGGGAGAGAAAAAAAAATTAGCTTTGGTAAAGCTGAGATTTCTGGGTTGGCGAATCAAGGAAAGAGAGATTCAAAGTAGAATCAGGTTACCTTTTTCCTATACGATTCGAAGGTGGTCATCGGTCAAGCTGGCTGCGGTGGTGTTCGTCGGAGAAGTTTGATGTTCACCGGATTGAGAGATCGAGCTTGTGAAATGTTCTAGTCTGTGGGTTGTCGGCAAAATTGGGAGATCCCATCGACAAAGGTGGAGGTTGTGAGCTGGTTTTTTGTCTTGGGCCTACACCAATTGGGCCTGCGTCATTAATTTGAAAAGAGCGAGGGGCGTGTGTTTGGGCTATACAAGTTGAAGCCCATTCCGCTGCACAATTGAAGAAGACGAAGTCGGCTGCTGTTTATCGGATAAACACAGAAGCAGAGGAGATAAAGAGAAGAGATCCACCTTGATTCTCTTCAATGCTATCATCTCCTGATTCTTCTAGGGCTGTAATTTCATCTTATCAGCTATATATAGCTTGCGAGTTATCTCCAATAGTCTAGAGAGGACAAGCTAAGAACCTGTAACAAAAGAGAAGCAATCTCTGTTATTCTTTTGTGATAGTGCAAGCTTGAGAGTTTGGATCTCCCCCCAGACGTACCGTAAGGGAACTGGGTAAACAAATCCGTATCTCTATTCTCTTAACTCAAACAAATCTCTTCTTAGAACAATCAAACAATCAACGATCATCAAACAACAAAAAGCAAATTTCGTAACAATATTATTGAGAACTGAGTGAATAAGGTGTAAGCAGTCATTGAAAGACTCACACGGCCGTCCACAAATAAGGAGATCTTAGGCTTGATTTTGTCGATTATTAGGCATGTAGTCATTTTCTTTTAGGTTTTGAGTGTTGAGTAATTAGCTGAAGGCCAAAATAGTTGACAAATAGAGTACTACTAGTTAGATCAAAAAGTTAATGCCGCGGTTGTCTTTTCAGAAAAAAAGGAAAAAAAATGAAAGTGATCAACATGCTATGCAAATTAGCTGGTGCCAAACATATTCGATGACAAACCGCAGATTTAGCGGAAGCTATTCTAGGATTAAACTGATTTTTCTTTGTTTATGAGTCTTTCAATTTTCATTCACTGTTAAATCTGAAAAAACATATACATACATATAACATATCTCAGGTGACAATGTAATTGTGTAATGTTCTACGTAATGACATATGCTTTATTTATGAAGTCACGATGATTCATTATGCAAAATACCACCAAATGTAGTATGCACTGAGGAAGGAAACGAAAGTGTTGTTACAAAAGAAAAGGAAATGAAAGTACCATTACAACAATTTTGTATGCTCTTTTATTACTTAAAGAGTGTCAGAACAGTAACTTTTATAGCTTCAAACAAAAAGCAAGGTGTCCCGAAAAGTGAATCCAGCAAGAGAACAAGCAACTCGAGAGCATACAGACAGAAAAAGTACAGCATCTTTAAATACAAATGTTAAAACTTTTCCTTGGAAAAAGGATTAGCCGAGCAGAACCATCGATTTTCTTTTGTAGAAAAGATCTTGGCCATCAATTTCCTCAACCCCAACGTGTGAACATAACCAAACATATGTATATAAAATTTTAAAAATATAAAAAGCGCAACCCTCGATCTGAATCTAATATAGGGACCAGAGAAGAGAGACACAAAAGTGAGAGCTTCAAAATATTTCAGTACTAGAAGATGAGGTCCTCAAGACCCGTTTCGAGTCCGGGTCGAACCGAAAACCCGCCTCTGCTTATGCGGTTCTTACGGACCAACGCCGGAAGCAGAAGCAGAGGACGTTCCCGTTCCCGTTCCCGTTCCAAAAAACCTATATTTTTCCGGCGGAAAAATGCGGCGGCGGCGACAGAGACACAGGAACCGTCTTCACCTAAGGTCACTTGCATGGGTCAAGTCAGGATTAACCGGTCAAAGAAACCCAAACCCGGAACTAATCGGGTCGCCGGAGGTGCAAAGGAAAACCGCCAACGTCAACGTCGGTGCGGGTGGGTCAAGAACGCTTTTTCTTGCCATTCTTTCACCGGGAAACTCAAACCGGCTTGCTTTAGTCCTGTCTGGCGCAAATGGAAGTCGTTTTCAACTGTTAGTTTCTCGAGAAAATCAGAGAAGAGATCAAGCTCGTCTAGGAGTGAGCCTATCTTTGGCCGCTCCACGGTGGAGCCAGAGGAACCGGAGGAGATTCGAAGGAAAGAACTAAAAGAAGACGACGACGACGAAGAAGAAGCAATTTCAAATAAATCTTTCACAGCAACGCCGCCGAGAAACGCTTTGTTACTAACTCGATGCAGATCTGCACCGTATAGATCTCCTTCACAGGCTAATAACTTCTGGGAAGAAGAAGAGACAAAGGAAGCTTGTTTGCGACGACACGGTGATGACGTTATCGACTCACCGGAAAATGTGTCGGTTTCTAGCATCACAGAAGCGGAGAGAATGGAGGAGGGTGCCAGTAGAGAATCAGCCGCGCGTGAAGAAGCAACACGGAGCGTTTTGGGATCTCCACAACGACGGCGTTTGATACTCACGCGCTGTAACTCGGAGCCTGCGAGAGTTGGAGAGAAACTCGTTCCCGAGAACCGAAGGTTGGGATTTACGTAATGGGTTTTACATTATTATTTTTTTCTTGCATTTTCTCGAGAAATTTAAATTGATACGAATACTATATTCTTTGATGGATTTTTTTACTTTAGAAAGTTTCGCTGAAATTCAGGGCTTTAAAAGTTTTCTTTATCCTAGAGAATCTTGTGGTTCCCTGGCGATGTAATATTTTTCTATTGTCCTATTTATATGACACATGTAAGTAAAATAATTTAACAATTTTCGTTCGTACCACTTCTATACCATACAAAAATCATCTATAGATTCATTTTGTCAAATGCTAATATGTTTTTGTTTTTAAAATCCTAGATCTCAAAGACACATAAAAATACCATTTTCTCTCTTTTACCATTTGACAAAATGAATCTATAATCTCTCTAATCTCTATGGATACACATTTTTTTAATACCATTTGACTTTGAGCGACCTAATTCAAACAGTATAATGATTCAGTTTCCTTTATACTACACTTTCATTGACCGATGTTTTCAAAAATTAGTCTCATATTGGATTCAAGAAGTAGCCAGCAACCGAAAAACAAGAAGTAAGAATATAAAGTATATCCATCGAAAGAGTGGAAAATCTTGATGGGCTCAAAATATTTTTGTTAAATAAGTCGCCATGGGCTTAGATAGGCCGAGATCTTGATGGGCTCAAAATATTTTTCCGAATATTTCCCAATCAATAATTAATTCATTCAGAAAATGCTCACGAAGGTGTCTTCTGAGTTCTGACTATTTTAATTCAATTTCCTTAACGCGTACGGGACGTCCCAAATAAGTAATTATTAGTGTCTCTCTCTCTCTTCTTCTTCTCTACCTTTTGTCTTTCTCTTTCATTCTTCGTTTTTGATCAAAGAGATCGTTTTGTTCAGAGGATATCTAGCGTAAAATTTATAGCAGAATATGGCGGGAGAAGAAAGCCGCGAAGCTCAGCGAGGCGACGACCGTGAGGAATCGAGTCCTCTCTTACAAGGGAACGACAGCAAGATCTCCTCCAAAGGGAACGCCAAGACGACGTCGGTTGTGCCTCCTCCCGCGGCGGAGGGATACGGCTGGACGGCGGATGGATTGCCGGTGAGCCACGGTAGCGTCATCGGCGAGCCGATCGGGAGAAACCAGTGGAATTCCGGTCTTTTCTCCTGTCTCGGGCGAAATGATGAATTCTGCAGCAGCGATCTCGAAGTTTGTGAGTGATTCATCTGTTTTTCTCTGATTGGTTTTCGAAATTAGGGGAATTTTGAAATGGGTATCGTGATTTGGTCGAAATTGATTGATTGAATTTGAAGTGATCCCGTAATTTCTGATTGTAATTTGTTTTCTGGGTTTGGTGGGGTTGTTCAAGAGTTAATCTTCAGATCTTAATTGAGTTCAGCTATATAATTGGGGTCACGAATGTTAAGCTTTCAATTTTCTCGATAGATAATGTAGAGAAGAAGTCTCAAGATGAGATCATATTCCAATGGAAACGTTTGTTATTGTGCTGTTCTTTGGGTTGATGAAACTATAATGGCTTCCTTTCGTAGGTCTCCTTGGAAGTGTGGCTCCATGTGTGCTGTATGGAACTAATGCAGAGAGGCTTGGGTCTGCTCCAGGAACGTTTTCGAATCACTGCTTGACTTATTTAGGATTGTACTTTGTTGGCAATTCCTTGTTTGGCTGGAACTGCCTTGCTCCATGGTTCTCTTATTCGAGCCGCTCTGCTATTCGCCGGAAGTTCAACCTTGAGGTATAATGATTCTGGTTCCTTCGTTTCAAATAGAAAAGTCAATTTGGCAGAACAAGGTTGCTCTCTGAGAAGAGATTGTAGATCTTGTTCACTCAATTCACTACCATTGTCGAGTATTTAGGACAAGCATGGTCTCGTAAACCTTAAAGTGGCTCTAGCGCTAGGCCTGTCTCATGGTTTTCATCTTTCGTTTGATATCTTTGGGATAAAACAGGGGAGCTTTGAGGCGATGAACAGGTCGTGTGGCTGCTGCGGTAGCTGCATAGAGGACGAGATGCAAAGGGAACATATGGAGACGACTTGTGACTTTGTGACGCATGTCCTTTGCCATACATGTGCACTTTGCCAAGAAGGACGTGAGCTCCGCAGGAAGGTTCTTCACCCGGGCTTCAGTGCTCAGTCCACTGTGGTCGTGCTCCCACCCGGTGAACAAACCATGGGTCGTAAGTGAAGCTGAGTGGTCTGAATAGCACTTGTTGCATTTTGTATACAGACACACCGTTGTTCAAACAAGTGTCTTGTGTGGAACTCGGAACTATATGATATTTCTCTCTTGCTTACTTTTTTGAATAAAAGCTTCTATGGTTTGTAATTTGCTGTGTCTCTTTCTTTCTACGCATACAAACATATATGTATTATATACCTTCATTGCTACGCACTTGTGTTTTTTAATACGGTCTTGTAATATTCATTTGTTTTACAAATCGCAAAAGGCCTTGCATTGATTTGACCGGTATAAGGGAAACCGGATTCGTTCAACGTAGCAGAGTTTCGAGCAAAACCTTTGCATCGAGCAAGCCAACATAAACATGGACAAAATAAAGTTAAGTGATCATGAGAGACTTCAAATATGTGAAGGAAAAACAAGAGTTGAAGTTAAAATTTTGAAGTCTAATAACAAACGCAACAGAAGGGCAGTTTCTTCTACTCTCCATGTTAAACCATACAAAGAGTCTCATTGAGATTTGAGATCGCTGAAGAGGTTAGGGAAGAAGAAGAAGAAGAAGTTGGAATCTATTCACCAGGCACGGGGACCCCTTGCTTGAGCTTCTCACGCTTGAGCTTCTTTTTGGAGATGGGCTTCTTCTTCCTTTGAGGTAGAGTCTTCTGAGCATACATGTACATCACGTAATTGGCTACAAGGAATGTTATAAGCAATCCTCCAACAACAAGCAGCACTATCAATCCCGGATTCAATCCTTGCGCTTCAGCAGCACCCGCCTGCGGATTCACAACAAATAATGTATGCCAAAATTATAAACCAAAGCCAAAAAGCAAGAGAAGAGCCTATCGAAACCATCACTATCAGTGATTACATGGGCTAAGACATTGTTTTCTTGATCAAAAATGTAATCTTTCAGCAAAATTCAGGGGCATTGTGACATTGTCTCATGTCCTTGAAAGAAACAAAAAATTCATCTTTTAGTCTTTTAGGATTTAAGCCCTTCATAAAACGAAATGTAATCACAATAAGAAACTCCTCTGTACATTCCAGATCAAGTTGAAAAATAAAGAATGCATGCGAAGGGATCATTGAGATCAAAGACAGGTTCACAAGCAACAGCGAAATTGCTAATCTTCGTTAGTAAACATTTGCTCAGCTCTAATAGATCTAACAAGGATCAAGGAAGAGGAGCGTCGTGATGGTAAAAAACCCAACTCAGTTTAGTAAAATTCGAAACGCGGAGACGTACCTTTCCGGCGGAACCGTCACTGCTCATTGGCTATGATCCAAATAATCTGTGAGATCCGGTGCGGCAAAGAAACGATTCGGAGATTCTATGAAAGGGAGATCTGTCTTCGGACACAAGGAGTCAAAGACAAAGATTATTAATATACACACCGGTCGTTTTGGAAAGTAATCTAAACTATTCTGAAACGGAGTAATTAATTTTGACTAATTACATGATCCTGATCCGAGTCACAAATTTGTATCTAGTAAATTTGTATTAATTCAATTGTAAGTCAATTGCATTCATGCACATAACTAAAAACATCATCATAAAAAAAATTACAAACTATTTTTTAGACAAAAATATGCCACTGAAGTTTAGTAATTTTGAACATAATTTTGAATATTTTTTAAATAATATATCAAATAATATGTTTATTGTGGTAAGGGCTTTTGGCACAGACACAAAAACAAACTATGCATATGGAATTCAGTTCAGTTTGTCTAACACAATAATTTAAAACACATGTACTGTATATAAATTACATCAAGTTAACTAAACAGTTGAATATAAAAGAAGTGTTTGGGACTATTGGCCCAAGAAATATGGGTTTCCTGTCTACGAAGCCTAACAAAATGGTGAAACCCAATAAAGATGTGTGTTCTCTCTTCTTTGAAAAGCAAGCGAAACTCATCCATGAACTCGTAGTAAGTAGCTAGTAACTACGTATTGTGCTATACTTGTTGCTCAAACGGTACATAATTTTCTCTGCCCAAAGTAACTTCTAGGCCTTTCTCAAGACAAGTGAAATGCAATTGGAATAGTTATAAAAGCTGAGAAAAGACATATGTTTCCTCATTGAAAAGTCACCGCAAAGATGTATTTTCAGTGTAATGTGATTATCATTAGGAGGTTATGGTCTCACTATTGTTTAAGCATCAAATTTTTCATGATGTCGCTTTTGATTCTATGGCAGTATCAATAATAATCGTAGAGCTCATGAATAGTTGCATTTTGCAACATGCAAAAACGTACACACTTTTCTGTACTATCAACTTTAAAAATCCTAATTTCGACATGTAATTAACTGTTGACAAAAAAAGACATGTAATTAAGCATGTCAAAATTTTGTTTTTGGAATTTATAATGATTTTCGACGTCAAATAGAAAAATCTACTAATGCTGTCAAATTTTCTTTAACATCTAAAACCCGATTGAAAGAGACAAGTATGTGTACTTTGTTTTGGTTTAGCACAGCTGTAAAACTTTAATCAATTAATCATTAATTCAGACATCTTGATCAAACTAAATCATCAAGAATGTTTAATGAAGTATTTAGTTGGAAAAGAAGTGGAATTGGCATCCTAAAATGTGTATCGTACGGTCCATTGTTAGCAATGATCTTATAATTATATTATCTAAAATTCAGTATAAGTAATACTCTTTGACTATGTACGCGTCGTATCGTATTAATTGCGTTAGATCCATTTAGTAGCTGGACTCAACTAAACTAGTGATTAATTTGACTACGTGAGTTTACTTTGCATGTGATGTGACTTTTTTTAATTGGTTTGAATATACATGAGGTTATGATAGAGATCAAGATCTATATTTATCTTGATAGTATGCTATGATATTTGCCATTTTCTTATACATACAAATAAAATCGGTTAATTAAATTAGACACCAAACGAGACTGACCAAATTATTCGCCGATAATTTAATAGAAACGAATTATCAAAATCTCTTATAATAACGGAAATGATTGTAAAAAGAGTCAATGGAGACACATGGAGAAGTACCCGATTCGTTTGGCATCTCGCAACTAAACAAACACGATAATGGGTTGGCTTGGAGTCAACAAGTTGATTTACATTAGCTATTTATTTCCCGAAGCTGACCTCTATCTTTTTTTATAAACTTATATTCAAAGTAGCTTGACATTTTAACCCAAAAAGCTAGAAAAGTGTAATTTTATATGATCAAGTTCTAGATGATTTTAAATCTAATATTTTTGCTGTATGTTTGGTACTATTAGACTAAAATTCGAATAAGTTCTGATCGGTAGATGATTTTGAAATCACTTACGAAAATACCAAAGAAAAAAAGAATACAAAAATTACATCGAACCTTGATCAGAAGATCCAAACATATATCAATTCATAACGGTTTTGGTATTTCTTCTTATTGAATCCAAACCATTTACATTCATTCATACATAGATATATATGATTATTATACATCTTTCCGCAACTTTTAATTATAATCAGTTAGTTCACATAACGACAATCCTTCCTGATCTCCCCTTGGTCTCCGGTAAGTGGGTTGGTCTCCGACAAGAGTCCGACACCGCGTGAGAACTGCTCATGGAAGTAACCGTTGTCCGCAGCCATCTTCGCCACAAACGGCGCGGTCCTAGGATCAGAAGCTAGCTCGTCATCAATGACAAGGAGTCCCTTATGAGCCATGATGTTCTTGTAGTACATGTTGTCAACAACCATCGGCGTCTCACGGTCATTGCGGGAGTACAAGACGGCGTCCGGACTCGGAGTTGGAGTTGGGCAACGGTTCTTTAAGTAAAGGGCGTAACTTGGGTCGAGGGTCGGGTCAATCGTTGGGTATAGCCGGTGCACTAGGTTAACGCAGTGGACCCTACCCACAGAGTGAGCACCTACAGTTTTAGAAATTGACCAATCAAAATCAGTATCATGCATTCTTATTTGAGAGAAAGTCCACTTTCTCCAAGAAAAGTTCAATAATCCTTTTACTTCCGTGTCTCTAATAGGGTCAATACTTACTTCTTATCATTGGATATTTAATCAGAATGGAATCAATACCCAATCCAAATAAAAAAACAAAATTTACACGTTTCAAAAGGGAACAGAAAAAAAAAAATTTAACTAGTAAAGGTACTTTCCAAATAAAAGTCGATTTCTATAAATATAAAATTAATTTTTGTAATGCGAAAAATATAAAATTAATTTGCAAACTAGATTTATCTCAAACAATTTGTGTTTCTTTATCAAACCAAACTGAACATATTATTAAATTTGGTTATAATTTTGTAAAACTCTTTTTATGCGTAAATTTTGTACTAAACCGAAAACCATAATTAATGCCCAACCCTAGTTAATTTTTTACCACCCCCGTTAATATATTGATCAATGCACGCAGTTAAAAAGATGGTTTTTACACGGATTTGCTAGTAAAACAAACGGTACCTAAGAGAGCGACGGTGGCTTCGACATCGATGCCGATTGAGTCGAAAGTTGAGAGAACAGAGGAGAGTGAGTCATTGTGGTTTGGGATTAGAGTCTCAACATCTCCCAAGTAGCTCCCTCTACTATCTCTCCTTCCTGTCTTTATCATCTCTATCTTTGGCCCTTTCAACTACTCATTTCACACAAAACATAACAAGAAATTTAATTACAATAAGAAAAAAAATCCAAAACTAATCAAATTAGCCTTAAAAATGCATATAAATTTATGTCTATACGTACCATGACAATACCATCTCTAGCTGAGAGAGCGACAATATCGGCACAAGAAACTGTGTTCGGACACTCTTTCTCGACTGCGTCTTTGATAATCTTAACATACTTAAAGTTTCTCATCCCGAAACTCCTCGTCGACTTTTGCTCAGATTCAACACCTTTTGCTGTCTCTAGCAGCAGCGACGCGTCACACGACTACATACGAAAAAAAAAACACACAAACACATGAACATAAATAAATCGTGTTTTGATATTATTATATTATGATGATGATAGTGACGTCATGTGAATATATAAAAGAATTGATTAAACAACAACGTACCTTGACGACGCAGTCATGGAAGAGATTACGGAGCCAAGAGACGGCAGTGTTGCCGTGTTTGTAGTAAAGCGTCTCCACTTGTTGTCTTATTATCTCTTCCGCTTTCGGACAACTCTCTCTGTAATAATTCATCTCCAGCTCCCCATTTCCTACAATTTTTCAGTCAGAGAAATGATATTGGAGATGCATGGAGACACGTGGCATAACGTGGTTGGATGAGGAAAGAATATTTACCGATGTGGAAGATGGAGAATAACTGTAATAACAGACAAAAGAAGGCCAAAAGGCAGAAGGGCTTCTTCGCATTAGCCATGTCTCTCTCTTCTCTCTATCTTTTTGTTTCTTTCTAATTATTGATTGGTGTGTTTCTTTATGTGTACCAATGTAGGGTTATATAGAGATTTCAAGGGACTAGGGAACCTCTATAATCGTGTATTATATTATTAATTAAGAGGATATTATTCAATTATGGTTTTAAAGTTAAATTATTTGATTTTATAATCCATTGTTATTCAATGATTGATTTTAAATCATTTCTTAAAAACTACTGTTATTGGTTATTGTATTTAAAATATCTTCATTAAAAGGTTTTGAAATCTAGTTTTATGGGTTCTTATATTTACAGTCTTTTTATGAAAAGAGTTTGAAATCCATTAGTATTTAATCAAAAATTTGAATACAACAATTCTACAATAATGTTATTGATTTCAATTCTACCTTAAAATCAAATGACGTCATGTTAAATGTTAAGTTGATAACTCCATTTCAATTCTATTGTAAAACTATCTCTACTGTAAAATCAAATGATATCATAAATCATTTTAAATGAATAAAAAAAAATCTGGTCTATTTTAAATCTAAGGATGTTGATTTAAACTTATACATTGAATAACACCCCTAAGTATTTTTATTTCGTAGTCATAGTGGTTGCCCATCTTAATTATTCACTTTTGTAGTTATCGGGGGTTTCTTATTCTAAACGGATATTAATATTGATATTCAATAACCACTAGTTATCTGAACTCAATAGTTGTTGAACAAGTGAATTAGTTCAGTGAGACTCGATTTCTCATTTTATCTGATAATAAAACTAAATTAGTTTGGCTTTCACTACGGTTCCATTATATTATATGCAAACCGATTCAAGTATATCATTTTCCTCTAATTTTTAGCCATCTTCAAACAATTTCATGTTCCATCACCAGATACACTCAGGCCGGATATCCGGTCCGCGCCCCCTAGTGAATTACGTTCTAATTAATTGATTTGTATTCGAAAAAGTAGAATTATTAGATTTTTAAAAAATATGCTTGCGATGAATATATATTATTACACATCAATGTCTAGATATTAACTCAGTATGTAACCCACAACCATGCTAAGCTATAGGTACACTATATGTGTATAGCACATTAGCACTATAGCCTACTATATTAGATACGATTTCAATTATGTAAGTTTTTTTTTTTTGAACATTTAGTTATGTTAGTTCATTCATTCATTAAATAAAAAGAATCTTAATTACCCTTTGCTGCTGATAAAGTTTGTACGACCGAAACTTGTATAGATTCTACCAGACTTACTGGCTTTTTACCTTCCATTTAAAATATCGTTACCAATTTGGATTCATTAAATTGTAACGAAAGAAACGAGAGAATTTGACTAGTCACATGCATGGCCCATTGTACTGCATCATGGCAAAATTATTGAATATATATAAAATAAAAACCTTGAAATTTTATAATTTTCTATTATCATTAACAAAATAGATTTCAGATAAAATCCAATCTACAGTACATCTTTTTAATAATATAAGTCGCAATAATTGAAATATTTTGTTGGGAATTGTGGTTGAGGATCCCATCTTCGATAGAGACATTTGTGTGGTGTATATATCTAGAAGATTTTTTTACGATCAAATCGGTAGCAAATCAATACAACAATAACACTAAAGTGTCTTCATGGCTTGACATTTTAGCTTTTTGAAGCTTTATAAATATGACACCTCAGTAAAAATAATGACCAATCAAAACATTTTATTAATATATCTCATCTACTTATTTTAATTCTTAAACTTAAACCCATTGAAAACCCAAATATTTTTTTATTAATTTTTGTTTTATTTTTTACCAAACCCAAGCTCAAATAATTAATACCAGCAAATAAAAAATTATTATTTTATTTTTGTCAAAACCAAATCCAAATAATAAATAAAAAAATAAAAAAATTAATCATTATTTTTTTTGCCAAAACCAAATCCAAATAATAAATAACAACAAATAAATAATAATAAAATATAACAATTTCTTAATTTTCGTGGGAAAACACAATTTCACGGGAGATAATACAATTTTTGGTTTTCGCGGGAAATTGTAGTTTATTTTTTTTTGTAGAAAAGCGTGATTCTTGGCTTTTTTTGGTTTTCGCGGAAAATATTTTTTTTTTGTTTTGGCAGAAATAGACGATTTTTCAGTTTTCGCAGGAAAAATAAATTTTTTGATTTTTGCGGGAAAATACAATTTTTTTTTTGTTTTTGCAGGAAGATGAAATTTTTTGGTTTTTGTGCAAAACGTAATTTTTCGGTTTTGGTGGAAAAACACAGATTCTCGCGGAAAAATAAAATTTTAGGTTTCAAGTTTGAAAAGAAAATGATTTTTTTTTGTTTTGGCGGAAATAGGTGATTTCTCAGTTTAATGGGAAAATAATTTTTTTTTGTTTTGACGGAAATGCGATTTCTCGATTTTGTAAGAAAATGAAATTTCTATGTGCTAAATTTTTCAAGTTAAAGTATGTTTACAGTAACCAAAATTTAATTATTTAACTTTAACTAAAATGATATTTTAAGAGTTCAAACATAATTTTCTATTTAGTTCTAAAGGAATAGCAAATGTTTTGGTATGAATGTTATTGATTATAGTTTGGTAGTTTTAGAAACATATGTTTATAATAAAATATTTGATAAATAAATAAATTTTATAATTCAAAATAATTATATTAATTAATAATTTTTTTTTTAAATGACATTTTGCTTTATATAATTACAAAGGAGTATCAAATGGCAGTTTAATAAAGAAAATAGATTACATTTACCATTAGTATGAAGGTACTAAAAATGTATGGCTTTATTTTTGTATATTTTATTCCTATATATACATTTATAATTAGTTAGCTAACTAAATTTAATAGCAAATTATAATTTTAAAAAATAAAAATTATATAATGTTTATTCAGATTTAAACATATAAATACATAACTTAAACTAATAAAAGATATAATATTCATTTACATGTTAATAATACTTTTATTATATTAAAAATATATACAAAATTTAGAAAAATATCCCGTAGCATAGCGCGGGTAAATACCTAGTTATTCTAAAAGAGAGTAACTATTGCTAAATATACTCTCGATTCTTAAACTCATTAAGCTTTTTGTGAGCCGGGGTCTCGTTTGATGGTTATTTAATGGTTAAATTTGAATCTTATCTGAAGTCTGTGGAAGATGTTTTAAGCAGCTTCTCAACGATCAACTACTCGAACTCAATGTATAATGTTCTAAGGTCGGAGAGAGTACTAGAACACTTAGACGAATTTAATTAGGATTTATGCGTTTAAATGTAAAAAAAGTAGTAGTTTTTTTATAAATATACTTAGATATATGGACCCTGTGGTTGATATTCAGGTCATTGGACCAAGTTCTATACGAGTTTTTCAGCGTGTTTAGCGTTTATTGTCCATGTTAACTCAAATGGGATATTTTTTTGACTTCACTAAATGTTACGCTCATCTATCGACCACTTTATTACATCTTATTTAGATTGACATCTTAATTTGTTTTGCAATAATACATAATTGTTCTATAATCAATTTGGTTATGCAATTTAAAATTATACTTATATTTTACTTAATTTGGAAGCAAAAAAAAAATATTTTTTTTCTAAGATTCCTTGTATGAATAATTGAAAGCCATTAAGTTTGACATTTTAAGGCACTTGCGTAATCGCACGCGCATTTGCAAACCACTAATAAAATCAATCCCACTTTCTTAATTGTTATGACCGATGGCGGCCGTAACACTCTCCTCTTTACCGTCCAATCCATTCACTTGCACAGATAATGCTTTGTTGCCAATTCACTTATTATCTTCATTTCTTTATGTGCAAGTGTAATGATATTTTTCTAATTCTGAAAGTATATTTGATTTTTGTAGATACTTATATGACTAAGCAATCCTCTTTCACCAGCAACATTCTTATTTACCTTTCAAAATAGCAACGACGGTAAAACGAAGATTTTTTCTTTCACCATATGTAACCAAACATGTTTTTGCCATGAATGTTTATTCTTAAAGACAAATACGATTTAAGCTATGTAATTCACTTAACTACGTAACTTCTTGTTATCCGTTGCTGCTTGCTAACAAATTTTGTTTTCATCACCACCAAACATGTTTTAGCCACAATCTCTTTGAGTTCCAAAGTTGAAGACAAAGAGACAGTAATGGAGACGTTGGAAGCTATATTCCTAAGGTTCAATAGCATCACACCTTTTGTTCAAACCTAAACATAACTATGTAAAACAAATTCAATATATACATATATGATTAAGAACGACTTAATGGCTCTCGCAAGTTTGACTACAATTCGCACTTGTACCCGTGGGTTTTGCTCAATAGGTAAGGTTTTGCTCAACACCTCCTATTAAAAATCTTCATATATATATATATATATATATATATATATATATGAAGATTTAGGGTTTCCAAAGGCTCATCTCAGACTGATATTATATATGGGTTTTATGGGCCTAATTTCCCACTTTAACTTTAGCCGTTTTTAAGACAGCTAAGCCCACTGTAATTGATAATTATACCAAAATATAAAATTTAATAATGAATAATAAATACTCATATATCTTTAGTTTATATATTTTTTATACATATTTATTAGCATTTGAAGGAATCCATCTGTCTTATCATATTCTCATGGCCTCCCAAGACTAACTTATTAGCTATGTTTTACTGTGCTTTGTCCCTTGGTACTGCCAATAGTGGAATTTCCTTTACTAAAGAAATTCTTTTTCTTTTTTTTGTGGGTGAAATACGACATTCAACGTGCTATGACGATTTATTTAATTTGAGTGATTCAAAGAAAAATGAAAACTTTTTCCAAAACTGTCAATCTATGAGATGTTGTGTAGACATGAATGAATTTAGCAAGAACCACAATAAAACAGTCCATCATTGATATTTCACGAACTTGAAGAAGAAAAGTATAAATTTGCTGATTATTTTCCAGTTTGGTGAAACCAATAGATAGAACTGAAAAATACAATAATTGTTAATAAATCTAAAATGAATTAAGCTTTTAAAATATTGGAAGTGATCAGCTCATTAGAAATGCTGATTTCATGTTTTGGAAATGACTTATCATTAGTATTCTTTTTTTCATTGTCCTTTAAGACAAGTAACCTGATTGTTTATAAAACCAATAGATGAAAATGAAAAATACGATAATGTGTTAATAAATCGGAGGAGATCAACTCGTTATAAATGTTGAGGTAGTAAGCAGCTGGATGCATCTTATATTCAAACTGGGTTATAAGTTTTCTGGTTTTCCTTTTTTTCTTCTCATTTGTACTTTCTTTTCTTTTTTCATTTGTACTTTTTTTGCACCATTGTATTTCAAGCCGCTGTTATTTTTCTTTCTAGTTCATGACTGGCTTTGTGAGGATTTATAGGTATTTGGAATTATATTGTTCATGAACCGCTCTAATTGGACAAATAGGCATTCGCCAAATCCATGTGACCTCCCTTGATAGTTACGAAGACATGTGATTAGTCAAAATTTAAAGTTTCGTATATATATATATATATATATATATATATAAAAGAAAGATAAAGATGTTTGATGGTTTATAAATGCTTTTGTTGTTATATTGACAGTTGAGAAACTAGATATTGAGCAACTATTGATTTGACTATCTATCTTGTTGTTTCTGTTAGACTCAGAGGGAGCTAGCTGTGAAGCTCATGTACAAAATTAGCCGCAAGTTCACCCATGATGACAATGTAGGTTGCATGACTTTCTTCGCCAAAAAAGTTAAAGAAGACGAGCTTGCTGCTGCTGCAGCTGAGAGGGAAAGGGTTAGAAGATTGGCAATGAACAGGAGGAAAGGTGATGAGAAGATGGCCAGAGACGATACTAGCTCACGTTTGCTTTAAACAAGAACAAAAACACTGGAATGAAGCCACCCGGAGAAACATCAGGAGAAAAGGTACATGAGGGAGAAGCAACTGAAGATCTGGCGGTGTAACTAGCTAGTACACCTCAAGACCAGTATCTGAATGTAAACATCCCTTTTCTAACATAGTTTTTCATTTACTGAGGGAGAAGTTACTTTGTTGATAAGCTCTTGTTTTGTTTCCTGAGTAAAACTACAGAATTGGTTGAAAATTTGTGACGTTGTTTCTGTTAAAAATCTCATGTCCTCATTGGTTTGGTAGTGTCATGATTGGCTTTGCTTGTTTGTGACTTTTAATTTCAACTGGTTTATGGTATATGAATTACACGTAACGATTGCTCATAAACTTGGCTTTATTATGCGGTCCTCCACATTTTTTGTGTGCTAATAAATCAAACGCATTCTGATTATTTCCGGAAAATAAACTTTATTTTATAAATTTTGACTCTTGCCGCTCTAACGCTTTAGGTGTAGACAAGGTAAGCATTCTCTTTAATATGAGGAGCACATATAGACATGCTTGTAATGAAAGCTTGATGTGGGCATCTGTAGTTGGCGAAGCAATCTGGAGTTCCCATGAAAAGTTTGTTAACACAAGAAATGTCAGTGCAAAATGGATCTGGAAGTAGACCTCCCAGCATTATAGCGAGATTGATGGGTCTTGATATGCTGCCTCCTCAGAGTTCTCCTCGCAGAGAAGCCAAGCCTGTGGAGATTCAACAACGCAGGCCGATGACACCTGAAAAAGCTCGCGGAAAGAAAACATATGATGGTGGTGGTGAATCTTTTAGGAGGGGATCAATGGACGAGGAGAGATTCAAAGACGTATTTGAAGTTTTGGACGCGGAAAAGGAGAAGAACAGTAGAAGTTTACATCAGAGGAGTGTGAATGCTAATCTAACTGAGGCAGAGATGGCGTTTATACGCCACAAGTTCATGGAGGCTAAGCGTCTATCGAGTGAGGAGAAACTCCGTTACTCTAAAGAGTTTAATGAGACTCTTGAAGCTCTAGACTCCAACAAGGACCTCTTATTGAAGTTACTTCACCAGCCAGATTCATTATTCACGAGACATTTGCCTCATCTTCAAAGCATATCTCCCAAACCACAGAGCAGTCAAGCTACAACAACTTTGAAGTTGTCCAGCAATCATGTACGTACTTTCAAAGTGGACACGGAGTTGTTAGGGAAGAGTCACAGGTCACAGCATGGTGCTGGTCACACACAGCCATTCTAATACAGTTGACTTATCAAAGAAGCAGCAGAGAAAAACAAGTGGTTTGAAACCGACAGAGATTGTTGTTCTGAAACCTAATCTTGGGAAGTTACAGACTACTGGTGGAACACTTCCATCGCGGAGCTCTTCCTGTGACGAGGTCAGGGCAGATCGCAAGCTTCCATGCGCCAGCCATCTTAGTGTTTATATACCTTTACTTGCACATTAAATATGTTTCAGACATGCTAATCTTACTAAGCAGATCGCGCATTTTCTTTGCTCATCCGTTTGATACAATACAATATCCAATGTCATAAGCATTCTCTTCTTGGATTTAACGCTTCTTCCCACGTTCATTCCATAGAAACATTTTTTTTTCTGCTTTTGCAGCAAGCAATATCATTGTGTAAACATTTTTTTTTTTTTTGGTTTTTTTGAATAAATAGAAATAGAAGTATTATTTCTAATTCTTAAGAATTTATGCATGACGAGTTTGGTGAGTCCCATATGTGATTTACAAATGTAAAGTAGGTTGAGATGTAGTAAATATATCCTATATATATGATTATACGTACATATCTAGTAATTAACTTGTTGATGAATCTTTTGCCAAGCCGCCCATAACGAGTCGGTAACCATTTACTTGTATTGCTCTCCCTATATTGGTTCACAGTTCACACCAATCTGTTTGACCATGCAAGCTTGTGATAGTATCATTAGACATTGCGTAATGTTAATATCATTGGCTAATCACATTCTTAGCACCAGCACCAACTCCAGTTGGCGAGCCTTAATTAAGCGAAACATTGCCATATGAAACCAAACATGTTTTTTTTTTTTTTGAATACTACAAAGTCAACGTCTCTCACTCTCTCTTTAACTCAATACCCTGCTAGTTTAAACTATCTTGAGCCTATTGTTTTCAAAGACGAATAGGATTTAAGCTATGTAATTCACTTAATTACGTAACTTCTTGTTATCGTTGCTGCTTGCTAACGAATTTTGTTTTCGTCACCACCGAACATGTTTTCGCCACATCCTTTTCATCTTAAGCTTTGGAAATCAATTTTTTAATAAATAATCAATAATTTGTGACTATGAATGCAACGACCTGAATTTCTTGGTTCAAAGGTTACATAGGAAAACTTGTTCTTCTAACTTCTCGACATACTTGCTTGCTACGCCACCGTTCTTTAAATTAATGATATACTAATTGAAATAAACTTGTTATAGTTTGATGTCGATTGTGATGAAAAACTTTTTAATGGTTCTAAAACTTGTATGTTGAAATTGAAATGTGCAACGTATATACTATTTGTAAAAGACATCCGCTAGATATAAACAAGCTCTAAAGGTGATGTTCAAGCTACTCATCATAACTTTTTTATTGCCAAAACTTTACAATAAGAATAAAATGTGAATGTGAATGAACTATAAAGAAGAAAGTTTCCTTGAAAAAAGGAAATGTAGATATTTATTTTTGGCTTGTTAGAAGGAAGTCATTATTTTCTTAGTATCTCTCGCCTCCCTCAAGGCTAACTTCTTCTCTTTGTCTCTTTGTGCTTTGTCACTCGGTGCTGCGGATTGTGGAGTTGGCTTAAGTTGCTTATAGAAATACACCATGTAATGTGCCAGATCATCATCATCCTTGGCCTCTTTTTGAGCCTAATAGCAAGCTCTTTTTGATCCTACAAGTGGCATAATTATGATGAAAGTTAACTTAGCAAGACATAATTCGAAGTAATACTCTAATGAAATCAAGTTAGCTAACCTTAACCCCAGGCAATCAAATGCAAAATACACTCCAATCGTAATGGTGTAATCAATCAATACATGTCTCGACTGAAAGGAGAGATATTATAAAACAGGTTGGATGAAATCAATATAGGTCAACCACAAACTCAGATCTTTGAGACTTATGATAAGGCTTCTCTTGGCAATTCTTCTAAGTCTTGCCCTCAGATCAACTTGTGGAGGAGTGTTCTTGGTTAACTTAACAAAAGAGCTCATGCACAGTTCATAATCAGATTCGTAGCTGAAAGCCTTGTCACCTGAAATACATTCTTAACTACTTTCTTCTCTCCTTTTCATTTATACCATTTTTGCACCGTTGAATATCTAACCGATTTAAATATCTAATCTCTATGCTTCATTTTCAAACTCACATGTTAATGTCTTCGAGCACTACTATATAAAAAGTTACACTCCTTAAAATCCACAGATCCATAAGGATCAAATTCTCCAATGTGAGTTTTTATTTCTTCCCCAAAAACATATATAAAACCCATTCTGAATAATCATTATATTTACAAATACTACAAGTACAACTGAATGTTACCGTCTATCACAAATATTACTTTTAAACAAAAGCAAAATTATTGTATATAATTTAACATGGGTGCTTATCAGGCAAAGCAGGTGATTTGCAAATAGGGCAAGAGTTCTTCATAGAGAGCCATTTCTTGATGCAACTCACATGATAGTCATGACCACACCCCTTAAGTTCCCCTAGCTCTTCTTTTTCCTTGTACTCCTCCTATAGTTGTTACCATTACCACATCAACATCAACATATCTCTAAACTTTTATATATAAAAACCTTATATGTTTCAGGACAAGCGATCGATCTTACCAGGCAGATTGCGCATTTTCTTTGCTCATCCGTTTGATACAACGGAAAACACGACGTCTCTAACAAGCAACTGGAGATTGCTCCGTTCGATAGACCAGTGTTGACACTCCCAATCCTTTCACCGAGAGCAAGAAGGTCCTGGATAGTGTCAAGTCATTACAGATATATCAGTTGCAAGACTTTTGGCTATGTGAGGCTTAGAAAGACAAGTGTTTTTTTTGTAATAAACCTCGTATGTCATGTTATCGATGTCGAGTCTCATGTCTCTGTGGTGATCAAGCATGTTTCTGGAGCCGTAGTGCTGTTGGCGATCTACAACCATAAATCCCTGCTTTTATTTTGTTCATCCACACAGAAAAATGTAATACAAAACAGTTTAGTCTGCAGAAGAATAAGAAAATTGAAAGTTTGTATATGCACTATGTCACATAGGCTTGAGCTTCGAAGCTTTAGTTTTTATTGGTACGTTCAGTAGGAAAAATAACTATACCTGAGATGAAAACCGTTCATGGAGAGCAACTTCATCGAAAGGAGGCTGAAACCTCTCATAAGAACTCCTGCGTCTCCCTGGGCGATCACTGCTACGCCATGAAATGTGTGGTGGTGGCCTTAGATGCCTAGAAGGATATGTCTCAGTGACCAAATGATGAGACCTGTCTCCAGACGAAGATGCTACATGTCCCAATTGCAAACCGTTTGAAGAAGATCTATAGGTGGGTGTTGTTGACCTATGAGAGAACCGAGAGCTGCTTGCAGATGGTGTTGAAGTTCCGTGAAAACCGTGGGAAACTGTAGAGTTTCTGTTTCCGATTAACCCATGGTGATAGCCACTTGCATCAACAGATGTTCTTGCAGGAAGAAGATTACTTGTCTCTGGACTAAAGCCATTTATATCTGCAAGGTGAGAATCTATGTGGTGAGAGAATATAGACAGCAAGATTTGAATCTCAAGAGGGACCAAGTGAAATCTGCATATTACCTCCAGGAACTGGGGAGAGTCGAGGACAGGTCCACTCCTTATTTACGTGAAACTGACCTGAGGCCGAATGCTCAACACTGTGGTGTGTAGAACGAGAATCAAACTCCGGGCCTCTTGGAAAATTATGTCTATCTACACTGGTCTCTAAATCAAGTGTAGGACGACTCCGGACATTCCTTGAAGAACTCTCTCCTCTGATCGAGAGGTTATCGCTTCTGTAAGTTGGGTTCATGAGCCACGGCATGTAATGCAGATCATGATCATGAGTTGTTGATTTTCCCAAATGCAATTCCGAGGAGAAAGGGATGTCTGAGGAAGCTCTGTCACCATGGTAATGGCTTGAACTGCCCATTTCATAGATGGAAGAAGCGCATGGGCTTTTTCGCTTTTGTGCTCCTCTCACATTTTCCATAGGTTGATCACCATAACTAGCATTTGACCATGCCTGGTTGTTGCAGTTCGAAGAAGATGCATATGACACATAGTTTTCATGTGGAGCAGAGAAGTTTGCAACTGTTGTTGAACTCATGAAAGGATCATGGGATGGGACCGAAGTCCCTGGATTGTAGTGTGGTCTCTCCACACCATGCGCTGAGGAAGTATAGGTGTTTGGTCCTGTAGACGAGTTCCAATGCGAAGAAACTGGCATTACTTCACTCGACATGTTTTCTGCTGGATAAATATGTGATCTGTTCTCACTGGTCCCAGTTCTTGCTGAGAAAATGTGGGGCAGATAATATATCTTAATCAGAAATTCCAAAACACAATTGCGCAGGAAAATAAAATGTATCCACTTATCAAGATTCATTTTTTTGCCTAGTGATGATCCAATCTATTCCATAAGGGAGAAGCACATGGATCATCTTAACCTACAAACAAACATGGATCACCACGCCAACCCAATAGCTCCTTACAATGGTTGAATATCAATTCTATTAAAGGATAACGAGGTTGAAAGATTGATTTCTATCAATCGAAAACAAATTTAAGAATCTATAGAAATGGAGGAGTAATTACCTAGATTCGTATATGGATGCTCTGGGTGTATATGACTCCAGTATTGATCATGTTCATCATCAAAATATTGGGATGAACCGAGAAAATGTCTGTGTCCCATGATTACACAAAGCTTCAACCTTGGAGTCCAGCTATACCTGCACAGGAAGTTCTCTCAGCATTCAAAATTCATCCAGAAAAAGATTTCTTTAATTACCAAGCAAACTCAGTTTTCGCTCAAGAATGGTATTTCTTAAAGAGAACCAAAGGAGGACCAGATGGTGGCTGAATATGTGTCACCTATTTGAAAAATACTAAGAGAATGAGAAGTCATGGTTAAGAAACCAGTGCATGGTTTCAAGAACAAGATCTAGAATGAGAAGTACCTACTGCCTACCATACTATACCTCAGAGCTCATGATAATCAAACAAGTTTTCGAGTTGTTGGACTCAGTGCTGCTGGAGAGTTCATGATGCTTTTAGATGGAAACAAAAAATCTTAACTAGTACAGATATAAAGAAAACTTACAGATCAGAGTTTGTCAATCAAAGAGACAGAAAAATAAGAGTGTGAAAGTAAAAAGCTTCTGCATTTAAAGCATCAGTCTGGTTCTCTAATCATCAAAAGTCAGAGTATTCTCAACTACACAATCACAAGAATTTCATTATACATGAAATTTACACCATTTCGGAATCTTAATAAATTTTACAGAAACAATTCATAGAGAAGCACACATGAAAGAGGATGGAAGAATAGATGGCATTTGATATTATCACTTCAGCTTCTATCAATACTTCAATACAGTATTTCTTCGTTTATATCTACCAACGGTGACTTGTCTCTACATAAACAAAAGAGACCAAGTATTGTTTTGTCACTAAAAATACAGATGACAGCTCTGGAGTATGTATAAAGACAAAAGGCCTTGCAAATGTCTTTCGCTAACTTACAATTACTGTCGGAATGACCAAGAAAATTACATGGAGGATTCAATAGCAGTAGCAGGACATGAACTTACTTTTCTGAACTAAAACCCTCCAAAAATGCTTCTGCAGGCAAATTATCCTAGAAGGGTATGGGGAATAGGTTTGAAATTCCCAACCTATCAAGAATACACTAACGTATCCGTGCTTGATTGAGCAATCGATTCACATCTTCCACATACCATTCACGAAAGTAAAATCAGCCGGAAGCAATAAGGCCTTTAACTTCACTAGCTAATACAATAAAAAAAAAAAAAACACCAAATGTAATTCCTTCTCCTGATTTCGCGGCTTATGAGTCCAGGAGCTTGTAAAACAAAGTAGGTTGTGTGAACGGACGCTTTTAAACAATTAGCACTATGTTTCACATCATGGTGCATCCAAATAAAACGCTTGTATGTGGCAGCATGTCATTCCAGATACCTTCATAGTATGATGGTTGTCTTCCCATGAGAATGATTGAAGTTCTCTGCCCATGGCTACCTTATATCAGACTTCAAGCATCTTTTTCTGATTGTGGTTAACTGCTTATTCCCATAAGGATGTAACTTACTCAGCAGGATCGGAATAAATCTTACGCCTCTAAAAAACTGGTGGAAGAACTAGATCAGGTACACTTCACAAAAGCCTTTACTACCATAAACTTAGTTAATTAGCCATAAGACATTAGGATTTATAACTAACCACGCTAATAAATTTCGCTTCACTTATCTCAGAGTTCAAGTTCACATTGCTGTGCAACACCGCATTTGCAATGACAATGGCAGCCACCAAATCCTATGTATTAAGAAATACTAGCGTGAGGAACTAATATCTGTTGGAAAAGCTATTTATAAACCAGTTTCGAAGAGAGAAAGTCTCAAAATTTCTATAAAAAAAATTCTCTGTATTCATCAATGGAAGAAGATGTGTTCTGACCTGAAACTAGAGTGAGAAACCATCATTGCCCCTCTAAACCTGCATGATTCAAACCAGCTATAGCCTAGGAAACTCCCAAACAGCTAACCAGCACACAATTGGGGCGTAGAAACTGATCACCGGTTTGGTCTACTCTCAGCATCGGAATCTAAAGCAAACAACTACTAGAAAGAACACGAATTTGCACGAAACATAGGAGCTCATGTATCCGTTAACATCCAAAATCGACTCTGATTCACAGAAATGATCACGATCATACCCGAAGATTGCAAGGAAAAGACAGATAAAAAGTCACCGATGTAGCAGCAGCCGACCGGAAAATAACCCGATTAATATATATATATATATATAGCGACGGGAGCAAACAGCAATCATCACACAGTCCTAAGGATGAAGCAAACAGACGATCGGTAACAACATGTAAACAGGACGAAATATTGATGATTCAGCATATATAATAACACGCATATACGAATATGAATCATTTCAGCTGAGTTCAAACAAGGATCGGAGAAAAAGAGAGAAACATACCACAGCGTGCGGCGATGTGGAAAGGAGACCGATCGGAGGAAGCAAAGAGACGGATGAATTCGGACAGATGACGCAACCTTTAAGAAAAAAAAGTGGGGTTTAGAGAGAGAATGTGTTTTTGAGAAAATTTTGCTTTTTTTTTTTTTTTGGCGATGGTTAGGCAATGAGAAATGAGAATGATCGGTTCATATGTATTTTAAGAAGAAGAACAAAAAAAAGCAAATGACAAAAGAAAATTAGGAAAAGAAACAATTTAAAGCGGTTGAGTACGTTGCTGGAAAATTTGGTCCGTCTCGGACCAGCTTCACCGGCTACCGGCAAACCCCGTCAGTGGTGATCTTTTACTATTCCTTCCTTTCGTGGCAAGTATAAAGAAGGAAACTTTCATAGTGGGCTTATATATGGGCCTTAATTGGATCAGCACCCTTTGATAATTAATATATTTGGATTATTTTGGGCCGTGATTAGTTGTATTGACATGAGAGCTTAAGGGCCCCTTCGATGCCGCAGAAACATGAGGCCGAGAAACATTGTGTATAATCTTAACTCTTACAAAATCCTGGACTAGAGATATAGTTGGATCGAAAATGACCTCCACCACCTGACCAGCTAGCTCACCAAGAGCCATAATCGCTCATCCCCATTTGCAACTATATTGTTGATTGCATTAGACCATCTTCATCCATAAGAATCCTTTAGGATACTTTAAACAAACAAAAAATTATTAGTTTAATATAATTAAAACCACAAACTTGAAAGTACATATAACATTAAAACCAAAAAAAAAAAACTTGAAAGTACATACGTTCATAACTAGTTCAACATGGTATGGCTATGGCTTGGAAGCGAACAAGTGAGTTTAATTTGGTTGCACAGGTTATTTTACGCCAATTTTTATTGTTTCATTAATTTTATTGATTCATTTTACTGCAGTCTATCAGTGCATTGTTGGCATATCAAAATGTAAAGCTGCCAAGTGTGATTAGAGTGTTTCAATAAATAAAATTGTCCGCATTACTTTTTTTAGCAAACTATAAAATCACTGGCTTGATCGTAAGAGAATCTTAAGACAAACAACTGTGCTGATTGAAATATTTTAATCGCAGCATGCGATATAGTAGCAGTTTTAAATTCCAATATGCCAACAATGCCATTGATAAACTGCACCAAAAATGAAACAATAAAATTTATGAAATAATACAAATTAGAATAGAATAACATGTGCAACCAAATTAAACTCAGTCATAGCAAATTAAACGTCGAAACTCCAGCATCTTTAAGGATTTTCACATCTTCAGCATCGATCCCTAGCTCTATTCCTGGAAGAGAGAAGAAAGAAATGGCATCCAAGCAAAAGTTATTTTGAAAACTAACTAAGTATTAAAATAACTGGTTTCCATATATATATAATATATATTAGTTGGAAGGCTCGTGTAATATTATTTACAGAAATATTAAATATATTTGGAATGATTTATTATATTATATTACGGTAAATTTTTTATAAATTAATAATTTTAGAACTCTCAAATTTTATTAATTTATAAAGTGGTTAATTATTCGATAAATTTATAATTATTAATTAATAGATTAATTAATATCTTATTAATTTATAGAAATATTTTTGGTTTAAATTCTTGATGTTTATAAAAAACTAAAAAATAATATTTTCAACAGTGTAAAATTTATTTAAAAATGTCATAATAATAAATTTAGAAGATAGATTAAACAAAAATTATAAACTTGAAAGAACAATATTATCATATTATATTATTTATATATATTTAAATATATAATTATTAATTTATATAATTATTAATATCATATTTTATATAGTATTTTTAAAAAAAAATATTATATTTTTATTTTATCGAATTTTGTTTAATTTTTATATTGATTCAAACTTCAAACCAACAAAAATTATTAATTTATATCGATTATCAATTTATAGAGTATTAATTTATTTATAGAGTTTCTGTTGATTAGTATATATTCGCATGATATTGTAACCCCACATTTGATTCATAAAAATCCTTTTGACCCGGTAGCCATTAGAGACCCGAAGAAAGAATCCAGAGAATACAAAATTCCAATCTTCATTTTCGCGACGAGGATATGTATTGGAACAGAGTTTAGAGCAATTTGCATCGAAGAAGAGAAGAGTGGATATCTGGATTTTGTTCAGTGGGGGAAAATAAAAACAAAAACAAAAAACCCTAGAGGGACATGATCAGATGCTACTGGCTTGTAAACTAGAGAAAGAGCAGTGATGAACACTTCGAATGGAATGATCTCCGCTCCTTCTTCTTCCTCAGCTTCAGCGACGAACCCTCAATCGCCGGGAATCAAGACGTATTTCAAGACCCCTGAAGGGAAGTACAAGCTCCACTACGAGAAGACGCATCCTTCTGGGCTCCTTCACTACACACATGGAAAAACAGTCACTCAGGTGCAAAGCTTTGATCAACTTTCTCGATATTCGTTTATTTTGGTGTTCATCTCTGAATTGAAATTGTAATCCAAGTAAAGTACACTATTTGCAAACCTTAGATTAAGCAAGATTCTGTGTAGGAATATCAAATGGGCATTTCATTTTGGTGATTACTGAAGATGATGGATTTGGGAAAATTTTCGGTGTCAGGTTACTTTAGCTCACCTTAAGGACAAACCTGCTCCATCGACACCAACTGGTACCTCGTCAAGTCTGAGTGCTAGCAGCGGTTTCCGATCAGCAACGGCAAGGTTGCTGGGTGGTGGAAATGGTAACCGTGCGCTTAGTTTTGTTGGAGGCAACGGAGGGAGCAAAAACGTGGGTGCAAGTGCGAGAATCGGTGCCTCCTTTGCTGCTTCTAGCTCTAATACCTCGGCGACTAATACGAATTTCGATGGGAAAGGAAGTTACTTAGTCTTCAATGTGGGTGATGCAGTTTTTATATGCGACTTGAACTCACAAGACAAGGTATTTTACTCCCTTACTCCGTTTTTTTTTCCTCTTTAGATTTGATTTGTTGTTCTGGTTTTGGTCACAGTTGAGAAAAAAATACATGTTTTGTAGGATCCAGTGAAGTCTATACATATCAGCAACTCGAACCCTATGTGCCACGCGTTTGATCCGGATGCTAAAGATGGACATGATCTACTTATCGGTCTGAATTCTGGTGATGGTAATGTAGATGTTTGGGCTCGAGTTTGTTACTTCTGTTCTAGATGGAAATCTGTCTTTGTTATTTATTGTTATTGGTGCATTATTGTAGTCTACACAGTATCACTAAGACAGCAGTTGCAGGATTTCGGTAAGAAGCTTGTTAGTGCTCAGCATTATAACAAAGATGGCTCTGTAAATAACAGGCAAGAGTTTTTTTTTTCTTCCTGTAAACTTATTTATATTTTTCCTCTCCTTCCTCCCTGCTTTATTGTTCTTGTGTTTGTTAGCTTTGTTTGAAATTGAATTATCAATTTTGTTGTTGAGCATTTGTTGGTGTAACAATCGTTAGTATTCTCACTAATTTTCTTCTTTGGTACGATCTTTAATTATGCCAAATGAGTGAGATGCAACAAGCTTTAAGTATTTGTCGTTCGTTTTTGTCATTTTACTGGATGTGTGTTCTAGGTAACTCTTGCATTTAGTTAGTGAGCCAGAAGACTTGTATTGTACTATTATTCAGAATAAGATGTAGTCTTTCAAAGGAGAATGCTTTTTCTTTTCTCGGATGAAACTAAACGTAGCGGGAATCTGGCTGAAATTCATTTCCGGAAGAAAAAAAATTATATTTTGTTTGTGTCATATCCACTCCATGATTAAGATAAAATTTGTTGCTTTGAACAGCCGCTGTACCAGTATTGCTTGGGTGCCTGGAGGTGACGGGTCCTTTGTTGTTGCTCATGCCGATGGAAACTTGTACGTGTATGAGAAGGCAAGCTCATATATCGGATAAAAATACTCTTGCATTTGAATTTCATCTACGTAATTTTGTCTAATTTTTGACCTGAGTCATTTTTATTACTTCCAGAATAAAGAAGGTGCAACTGAATCTTCATTTTCTGCTATAAGAGATCCTACACAGTTTTCAGTTGACAAAGCAAAATATAGCAAGGTACTTGAGTCTGGTATTGTTTCCATTTGATGTGGCCTTCAAGGATTTTATGTGTAGCTCTGGCAGGATGAGAATGCTCATTTCTTTTATGTCTTTAAGTTTATAGTCATGAGCGATTGTTCATCTCCACAAACTTCTTGCAGAGTAATCCAGTAGCGAGATGGCATATTGGTCAAGGTTCAATTAACTGCATTGCATTTTCAAATGATGGAGCTTACTTAGCAACTGTTGGAAGAGATGGTATGATGGGTTTTTTTTTTGGTTGTTATATTACTGGCCTCAGTTCTTGCTCTATATATTTAATTCAGTTGAGCATTCGTTTCCTTTTCTTTTTTTTACCATGTACAGGTTATCTTCGAATTTTTGATTTCTCAACCCAAAAGCTAGTGTGTGGTGGCAAAAGTTATTATGGTGCTCTGTTGTGTTGTGCGTGGAGGTGACTGGATCTAAATCATTTGACAAATGAGATGATCTTCCTTATTGGCATTTGAAGGATTGTAATTTCTGAGTCAGTTTTTTGTTCTGTCATTCTATACTAACAGCATGGATGGAAAGTACCTTTTGACTGGAGGTGAAGATGACTTGGTTCAAGTGTGGAGTATGGAAGATCGAAAGGTTGTGGCGTGGGGTGAGGGACACAGTTCGTGGGTAAGTTTTTTAAAACTGGAGTACAGTGAATTTTGGTATGCAGCAAAATCACTACTTGACTAATGTGAAAATGCTTTTTCACAGGTAAGTGGAGTGGCCTTTGATTCGTATTGGTCGTCACCAAATTCAGAGGGGTCTGGCGAGAATGTCATGTATCGGTTTGGTTCAGTTGGTCAGGTATTCACTTATGCTACATCTATTTCTCTGGTTCTCCTTTCCTTTATGTGATGTCAACTAAATATTTGCTTCAACGTTGAGAGTTTTTCTTTACCTATTTCTATGACTAAAACTGTGTGAATACTTCTCCTGCTGCTCTGATTCTTGTGCATTTTTAGTTAAATGAGATAGAAGATTGTAAAATACTTAGTGTTGGAGGGAAATGAGATGGGATGTTTTCATCGAATTACTTTATCAGATGGCGTGTAAGCATTGCTCATATGTGGCATTTTCCAGATTACGGTCATAGATTATTTAATCTGCTTGGTAGAATTGGTTAGAAAGTGAGCTTCTCCACAGTCTTGACACGGCCTATGAAAATTGTGTTTAAAACTTAATACTTTGATCATCTGTTTCTTCTTCTTCTATGATCATCAAAGTGTTCTTGTCATTATTCTCTCTGCTTGTGCCGAACAGGACACGCAGTTACTGCTATGGGACCTAGAAATGGATGAAATCGTAGTTCCACTTCGGCGACCTCCAGGAGGATCACCCACTTACAGCACAGGGAGTCAGTCCGCTCACTGGGACAACGTCGTTCCAATGGGAACTCTTCAGCCAGCGCCGTGCATGCGCGACGTGCCAAAGCTCTCACCAGTCGTGGCTCACCGTGTACACACGGAGCCCCTCTCAGGGTTGATCTTCACTCAAGAATCAGTCATAACGGCTTGCAGAGAAGGCCACATAAAGATCTGGACTCGACCAGACAACACCCAATCGAGCAGCTCAGAAGCAAATCCAACCACAAGCAAACCTTCACTGACCAGCAAGGTCGGTGGTTCCAGCTAATTAAGTCACTATTTTAAATATCATATTGTTTCAGGTCTTGGTTTTGAAAAGAAGCCCTGTGAATGTCTCTCCTGTGGTTTTTTCTTTCTTTAAAGAAAATATCGAACGGACTCTGACTGCATTTGACGTTTGGGGAGAGGCTGAGACTATTCTGAGGATTGATGAATGATTGAGTTGGAGACGAAAGAGACGTGGAGAATTTTGTGAATGTAATTATCAGAAACCGGCTCTTTTGGATTTAGGTTTTATACCCAACAGAGATACTAACGAAAAACCAATTATTTTAAGATTGGTGCTTCGAAAGAAGACGCAGTGTATTTTCTTGCTGTTGCAGAGGCTGCAGTGCAATGGATTTTTTTATTTAGTTTTCCTATTTTTGGTTCTATTTATTTAAACCTTGATTTTGGTGGTGAGGTAAACTTTGGATAATCGACACTGGATTAACGAACTTGAGCGGCTTTTATTTATATGTTTAATCTTATCCAAACTTGTGTCCATCTTTTTACTTTTGTTATTTCTGAAAATGACCTTAAGTTTGTGTAAGAAAAGTGACAGATTATTCGGACCACGAGTTTTCTTACGTATGAACGGTTCCGCATTACGAAAATCTATGTTGCTTATAACAAAAACCAAGAAGTGCTCACTTTCATGCACTGTAGATTAAAGTTGTCCGACTAGAGTTGATTACTTTCAGTTTGTTGTTGCGTCTTAATCCTATTCAGGTCATGGACGCTAACTTGATTCAGATGAAATTTGTGGTACTTCCGACATTTTATTTGTGAGAAATATTGATGATAATAATAAAAGGAGGCAAAAACAATTTGATTTCATGGATTGTTTTTTCCCAGGTACACAAACATTCACATATCAAAGTATTACATCACAACGAACCAGAAATTAAGAAAAGACAGAGAGAAGAAAACAGAGCAAACCCAAGTTGCCAATTTTGTACATACATAACAACAATAACAACAACCATTTTTTAATTGTTGTTACTTTGGCTAAACTCAAACGTTGGCTGCACTTCTGAAGGATCCGAGGGACTTAGAACCTGAGGCCCTTAGAACGAATTGGTGATAAAACGCAGCAATCGCAGCTCCGATGAATGGTCCCACCCAGAATATCCACTGCAAATACATCGAAACATATTCCATTATATATATTTAGAATTATACAGTTTTGATTAGTTTTAGTTAAGAGAGATAGAAACATACGTGGTCATCCCACGGCTTGGACTCGTTGAAGATAACGGCAGCTCCGAAACTCCTTGCCGGGTTAATTCCGGTTCCGGTGATCGGAATAGTGGCTAAGTGTACCATGAACACAGCAAAGCCAATCGGAAGTGGCGCCAGAACCTTTTATTTTATAATTATAATTAGTACCAAACTTTATCTGTTGATTAACGATCATATAATTAAAATTAAAGTTTAATAAATACTAACAGGAACGTGGGAGTCTCGTGCGTTTCTTTTGGGATCAGTGGCGGAGAAGACGGTGTAGACGAGAACGAATGTTCCGATGATCTCTGCGGCGAGTCCGGTCCCTGTGCTATATCCGTCGGCTAGAGAGTTTGCTCCTCCGCCGTAACGGACGTAGTAAGAGCTTTGAAAGGCCTTCACGAACCCAACTCCACAAATCGCACCCAAACACTGGGCCACCATGTAAAGCACCGCTCTAACCAGCGATACCTTCCTCGCCAAGAACAAGCCGAACGTCACCGCCGGGTTTATGTGACCACCTTCATTAAGTTTTGGGGTTAGTGTCAAATAAACGATAAATCAAAGGGCAAGTTTGTAATGACACAATTTATAAAAGATTTGAACCGGAAATAGACAGAACCGGTTCGGTATAGTGATTACCTGAGATACCGGCGGTGCAGTAGACAAGGATGAAGATCATGCCGCCGAAAGCCCAGGAAATACCGAGGATTCCAACACCGCCGCAGTCGTCGCCGCCGGCCTTAGTGTCGGACTGAATCTTGTAACCGATGACAGTCAAAACGGTGACGTATAAGAAGAGGAGAGTGGCTACGAACTCGGCGATGACTGCTCTGTATAAAGACCACTTGGTCAGCTCCTCCGCGTCGAAAAACGGTGTAGGCGGCGGATCTTCGTAATCCCTCGCCGTGAATCCCTCTGCTCCTTCGGCGTCTTTCGCCATTTAATATTTTGTTACTAAGAAAAATGTGTGTTTTGGTTGTGTAGTTGTGATTGGTAAGAGAGGAAGGAAGTTTGTTTATATAGAGTGAATGCTCTTGTTAGTTTTGCATACATGTATTATGATGATTGTAAGCTATAGCCTATACATATTTTAATATTCTTGATTATATTATAATAATGTTTTCCTCGGTAGGTTTATGATTGTTTCTCTTATATTATTCGTTATATAGAAATGTATATGACGATGATGATAAGTTTTTTGTGGAAATTAGCTTTCACTAATTAATCAGCTAGCTAGTTGTCCTGACATATAATCTTAACAAATCTAATCATAGCTTCATAATTAATATGTATTATTGCCTATTATATTCCACCATTTTTCTAAATGCAGAACTTTCATATTCATTGGTCAGCAGCATTCCACGGGTTTTCATAATATATATAACTAGTATATATATATATATCATCTCTGTTAGTATTAGTCGTAGAAAAACGATTGTAAAGTTAACTAATGACTATCGGGTTGTTGATGAAATTACTAATTAGAATTGAATTTTCGTCTTTGGTTTTCAACTGTTACAAATCTTTCGACGAAAGCTGAACTTATTTAAGATTCTGATTATTGAAAAGAATGATTGTGGAGCTATTAAGAACAGCGACCTTTTAATTCTAAATTTATGGTAGATAATGGAGTTTTATGGTTAATATAACTTAGCCTCGCCGCCCCATCACCGAACATGTAGCTTTCATTTGGACCGACCCTGTTATACAATATGCTTCTATATTTTTCTATCTCTTGTCCTATGTCATGAGCCTTGTCCTCCTCCTAGAATAATATAGACTGTCACTCTTTTACACATATAAAATATTATACGAATCTTATCCTTTCAGGCAGAGTTGAAAGTTGGGTTTCTGGACATTCGGTTAAGATGTCATTAACGTTACCTTACATTGAAATCTTTGAGATATAACTAGATAAAACTGATCGATCAAGTAGCAAGGTAAATTTGATTCCACCATCTTTCAATTGCTACTTGAATCTTGTAATCTACAACACTCTCTAAAGGAGCGAAATAGCTGCATGCAACTCAGAATTAATTTCAATAGTTTCATCTTTTTACCTCATAAAATTTCATCTAAATAATCGCTTCAAAAAAATTATCTATGAAAATTATAATATAATATATACTACAGAAAAGGGGAGATGGAGAAAAGGTCTCTTTGAACAAGACCTATGCTAACCCTACCATTGCATTTAACATAATTATTACATGGACAGGATAGAAGAAACGGCGTCGTTCACTGTTCCTGTTTCCACTAACGTCGAAAATCGATATCATATGAACGTTAGGGGTGGGTGACATGGAAGGGGAGGCCCACTGAAACCGTCCAATAGCTCCGACAAATGCATCGGCACCGTCCATACAGATTAAGTCCAACTCAGTACAGCCGTCGGTTCCATTCAACCACTCCTATCGTGCCACGTAGTGTAGACCCCACTAATCGTCAACAATCATTTGCTCTCTCTCTCACTCTCTCTTTTAACCTCAATTCCAATTGCAATTTTCTTACGTATATTATTATTCAGTGTTATTTTCAGAATTTGGTTTTTAAAAAGTTTGGGAAAAGTGAACACAGACAAAAGGAATGTGGTGTTCATGGCTAATGTTTAGCCACGTCACAATAACCTTATCGTTTTAGCGACGTCCCTCTGCTCTTATTGGAGTATATTTCCACGTCAGAAATATGCACTCCCTCTCTCTCTCTCTCTCATTCTTTTTTTCCATCTTTGTCGCTTTCTTTTGTAAAAGAATTGTATAATCAATTATTCGGTGTGTGATATATGTGACAATGAATACAAAACAACAGATTAAATTACATCGATTATGAGATGTGAATATTATATTCGATGCAGCACAGAGTCATTACTACATTATATAGTGTCCTATGACAAATTTTACACTAGTTGATAGTTTTATTTATGTATCCGTTATCACTGCATCTTACCTTTTGTTTTGGCCAAATTTGTTTTTACGTTTCTGTGAGTTAATCTACAAAATTACTTAAATTCGTGTATTTCTAGTAACATGTCTATTCGTCATTTACAAAATGACTCGGCATATAAATTTGGTTCTTCTATAAAAATAATAGCGTATCTATATATTTACCAGATTTTTTTTCGCTAAATATATTTACCAATTTTAGCATGAAACAGATGCAAGAATAATCGAGAATGTGCTGGAAACGGAAGAAACACACACGAATCGTGTAACACGATGGAGACAAATACTTTTAATGCTTACAAATGATCTAATGAATATTTATCAAAACTTATAAGTAGCTATGCATGTGGGTACAGCTTACAAAGTTACAGATAAGCTATGTTTGTATAATAATATGTATTTATTATTTGTTTTTGTTCATCGCTTATATAATTGCTCACGTTTTATTGCTGTTTCGTTGTTTGTCAACGGTCAGATTTTGGGTGATGCTGATGCCTAACGAAAGTTAATGACGTGACTATGGGACGTTGATCTTTAAGTAGCAATAATGGAGTTACTTGGAAATGTTACTGTATGAGAAATATTACTTTTATTTCCCATTTCTGAAATGTTGATATAAAAAAACTACAGTCGTAAATTAAAAAAAGGATGCATATGTACAGTAGCACCAACCAGTAGCTCACTCTATATAATGAACCCTTTAATCTTCTTTCTCTCACAACCACAACAACAAAAGAAAATTAATTCCTAAGAAAATCTAGAAACACTCATTACATACATATGGCGAAAGACGTGGAAGGAGGAGATGGGTTTCCGGCGAGGGATTACCAAGATCCGCCGCCTACACCGTTTTTCGACGCGGAGGAGCTGACAAAATGGTCCTTATACAGAGCCGTCATCGCCGAGTTCGTAGCCACTCTCCTCTTCTTGTACATCACTGTTTTGACTGTCATCGGCTACAAGATTGAGTCCGACCTTACATCCGGCGGAGTCGAATGCGGCGGCGTCGGAATCCTCGGCATAGCCTGGGCTTTCGGCGGCATGATCTTCATCCTTGTCTACTGCACCGCCGGTATCTCAGGTATCACTGATACCGAACCGGTTCTGTCTATACCCGGTTCAGATCTTTTATGCCATTACAAACTTGCCCTTTGATTTATCGTTTATTTGACATTGACCCCAAAACTTTATGAAGGTGGTCACATAAACCCAGCGGTGACGTTCGGCTTGTTCTTGGCGAGGAAGGTATCGCTGATTAGAGCGGTGCTTTACATTGTGGCTCAGTGTTTGGGTGCGATTTGTGGAGTTGGGTTCGTGAAGGCCTTTCAAAGCTCTTACTACGTTCGTTACGGCGGAGGAGCAAACTCTCTAGCCGATGGATACAGCACAGGGACCGGACTCGCCGCAGAGATCATCGGAACATTTGTTCTCGTCTACACCGTCTTCTCCGCCACTGATCCTAAAAGAAACGCACGAGACTCCCACGTCCCCGTTAGTATTTATTAATTATCGATTTAATTTTAATTGATATGATAAGTTAATCAACATGATACTAATTAATTAAATATGAATTGTAAAATGAAAGGTGTTAGCGCCACTTCCGATTGGGTTTGCGGTGTTCATGGTACACTTAGCCACTATTCCGATCACCGGAACCGGAATTAACCCGGCAAGGAGTTTCGGAGCTGCCGTTATCTTCAACGAGTCCAAGCCATGGGATGACCACGTATGTTTCTACATATATCTCTCTTAATTAAAAAAACTAATCAAACTGTATAATTATAATTTCTAAATTAATAATGGAATATGTTTCGATGTACTTGCAGTGGATATTCTGGGTGGGACCATTCATCGGAGCTGCGATTGCTGCGTTTTATCACCAATTCGTTCTAAGGGCTTCAGGTTCTAAGTCCCTTGGATCCTTCAGAAGTGCAGCCAACGTTTGAATTCAGCCACAAAACAAAACAAAGTGGTTACTATTAGTATTAAGTAGCACTTGGGCACGTGTTTTTTTTATATAAAATATGCTCTCTTCTTCGCTTTGTATCTTTTTTTACTTTTTCTCTCGCCTCTCTGTGCATCCATTTGTGTGAACTTCTGCAAATTAATGGAGTTTTTAATTGTTTAACGCTTTGCTTATCTAATCGATCTCCTTCTCCTTTAAACAATGCGTTATGTTGATACATAGTTCCATTGCCCAAACTAATACTTCGACTAACCCGTATTAAAAACATTTTAGACATGAGATTTACGATGCTCAAGAGTGGATGATGAACAAAAAGCCGAATAAAACAAGATAAAAAAGCCCCTAATTTAGACAAGTCTTGGCTTTCTTTGAAAGAGAGGAGCACAAATTGGGAAATGAATATGAAACAAGATTGTTTCAAACACAAGCATTGCCTTTATTTTTCTAGTTTCATTTCATAACAATTTTTCATGGTCCCTTAGATCATCCTCAGGCTACACAAATAGAACTTATCTAGTGTTTACATTACACACCCATTCACAAAAATATGATCTCTTACTACTAACTTCTGCAATACCAAATTCAACTTTCTTAATTTTCTTAGGCATTTCGTTCAAATACTCAATCGAAAGAAGATAAAAGATATCCATAAAACTGGCATTAAACGAAAGCGGCAAAATAACAAAATCAAAAACTGGCTTGTTCTTCTTAAATCGAAACATATAAGCTAAAACCTCAAAAAAAACAAAAGCGACAGAAAATAAACACACCATTTCCGATCCCGTCTTTAATTCTCAGGGACGACGACATCACCACCTTGGATCTCCTGTTGAATATCCTTCGGATCTTTGTTATCGACGGTGCACCCAACGGATACGCAAGTCCCGAGTATCTCCCTCACGGTTCCGCTCAGCTCCTTCGCGATGGATCTGGGCCTCATGATCCTCGCGATCTCAACCACGTCGTCGAACGAGATGTTTCCACTGTGCTTAATGTTCTTCACCTTCTTCCTGTCCCTCTCAGGCTCTTTCAACGCCTTGATCACAAGCGCGGCGGCTGACGGAACCACCGTGACTTTAGCCTGACGATTCTGCACCGTGAGCTTGACGGTGACGCGGAGCCCTTTCCATTCCTTCGCCGTCTCCTTCGCGATGTCTTCTCCAATCTTCTTCGGAGCGAGACCGAGTGGACCGATCTTAGGAGCTAGGGAACTCGCGGCTCCGACTTCTCCTCCGGTTACACGGACGTACACATCGACGATCTGGCTCGGGTCCAACTTCGGCGGCATGGCTGTCTCGTGTTAAAACGGATTCTCTACGGATGTTTTTTACTCTTCTCGTTTCGATCGAGTCCCGAGAGAAGGAGGCGCTTGAAGCAGAACTCGACGGCTTTTGAAGGAGATTGATGATATGCAGCCGAAATTAGGGTTTACGATGGAATGACGAATTCGCCCTTTCTACATACTCGGGCCCATTGGGCTTAATCCGAAACTGATTCAAATTTAGACTATCGGTTCTAATACGGTTTAGTTTAATTAACTCTCCGGTTTGATAGAACCGTTTTTACATCTCAATCAAATCGTCGTCGTCTCTTTGCTCGGGGCAAAACTCGTCGATGTTGCCTCTGATGAGGGAAGGAGGAAGAATGGCGGGAGGGTCTGAGAGAAAGATGATACTGGTGGGTCTTGTTTTAGCTCTTGTTCTTGGCGTCGCTGTTTACTTAAGGCTGTGGACAATCGATTACACTCTATCTTCTGATGACACAGAACGATTAAGGTTTTTCGCCCCTCTCCTTCTTCAATCGAAAAACGATTCAGTTCCCTATTTGATGTAGTTGAAAATTTTTGATGGGTAGTATAGCTCCAAGTATTGGGTTTTTGTTTCATGATGTGGATTTGAAGTTTCCGACTTTCGGTTTTCAATTTCACTTGAATCAACATTTCATATCTCCGCTACATTTATATAATCAGGGTTTATGGTTAGTGAGGTATTGGTGGTTTATATGATTGTTCGAGTAAGAGCTTATGGTTTTGAGATTTACTTTGATGTAGGAGACAGTTTGATTTGGCAAATAGGGAGGCAATGGATGAATCCGCAGAATGGCGGAGAATGTTTGACAGCGAAGCAGAGAAAGCTTCTAAATGTAACACCGAACTATCTCTGGTATATTCTTAGCTCCTCCATGTAGAAACGTTTCTTACTTTCTTTCTTTTTTTTTCCTTTAGGGGTGTAAATGGTTATATCTTGTTTGCTCTATGACTACTGATATGGTCGTAGCTTTTTATATCATGGAAAGTTGATACGGAAGGTTTCGTTTTGCCATTTGATCAAGAAGAATCAGTGCGAAAAAAACACTGCCTTTCTCTGTTTCTGTTGATTTTGGAGCGTTGCTTGTTCTTGAACAGATCAAAGAGTCATCTGGAAATGGAAACACCTTGGCCTTGAATCAAAAGCTAGAGTCATTACATAAGGTATCATTCCCCAACAGAAATTCAAATCGACAACCCTTTTTGTATTGGATGCTTGTGTGTCTCATTGGTTCTTTCTCTCTTGGGGTAGGAAAATGCGGCGTTGCTCGTTCAGATAGAGACACTGAAACAGGAGCTGGAAGCTTCACGGTTAAAGTGCAGTTCAAGAGAGGCACCCAGTTAGATTAGTTTTCGTGATTGCTGTCAGTGTATCATTTGGTTTTCGCTCTTCATTTCGCTGCTGGTAAGAAAATCTTGAACATTCCATTGTGATGTTATAACAGTTGTCATATACAGTTTATAGGCTCTTTCTTGGAACAGGCACTAGCGATACCTTTATAGCTATTTTCATCCCCTTGTAGTGGGATAATCGATTCCAGAATTCATTTCCCAGGCCCTATCAGTTTTGTTTTTCGAGTATGGGATCTTGCTATGTTATCTCCAGATATAAATTGGAATATTATTAACCGAGTAAGATCAATTCTGATCGCGCAACGCCAAGGTATATATAAGAGGAACCAAAAGTATTGAGTTTCTAGACAAGTGTTGTCCTTCCTATATGATGGATTTCTACGAGTAGCATAATTTACAATTTTGTAAAATTAAAATGACTGAAGTGAAAATTACCGTTTTTATAATGTTATCGTTTAAAAGAATTGGTCAAACTCCATTCCATCAGACCAATCAATTTCCTTGTTTTTTTTTGTGTAGAAAAGAGATGACATATTTAGAAAGGAAGAAGAGTTGGGTTACTGATTGATTTCGTTACATATATCTAACTTTCCTGTTAGTTACTCAACGACCCGACCCCTGAAACTATGGAGAAGTTTAAGTTCCACACTTTTTCTCAGCTCAAAACGGAAGGACACAAAATCATCAAAACATAGAATCATCATCCTTATCTTTCTTGGAATCCAGAATAAGTTACGTTTCAACGTCATCTATTCACACCCAAAACTCAACCACTCCCTTTCTCCTCCTACTTTACTCTGCCTCAAGATTGTACACGAATCACTATTTTGTTGATGTAAACTGAAATGACTCATGTGGAAAGTGACAACATGGCTTGGCTTAACCGATAAGATCAACTACCAGAAGAAGTTCAGGCCAAGAACGCAAACTCTTCTTTAACACTATTGATTTTCCGATGTAATATCTTTTACAAAACATTGGCTAAATGGAGCGATAATTAAACTCCACCCTTTTTATTTACATTATACTAGGAAAGATGGATAGATTTCTCTCAAGCTTACACTTATCTGTTGTGCTATTTAGTGAGTGGCTAAGGACCAGAAGTTGAGAATAAAGGAAGGAGACACAGCAAACCAGCTGATGAAGGCCATTGCTGTGGCGGTCTCGAACCTTGTGCAGTGGTTTACGTTACATTTATCAAGATCGTTGATGAGCACGGTTATGCCAGCAGACGCAGATGCAGCTGCAAACGTAAGCGTCGATGTGATCTGCAACAATGTTGAGAGATTAAAACTGACAAGTCCATTTTTAATACAGACAATAGCAACATTTCCAGTTTTAGAAAGCGGAGAGATAAAAACAAGACTGATAGAGAGAGAGGTTGAATTCGTGCTTACTCCATCTCCAACTGTGAAACATTGAACAACCAAGTGATTCCGAAGGCTTCTTCTCACCAGAAGAGCATAAGCATCGATAATAAAAAGAGACAAGCTCCACAGGCTTTGCAGACCAACCGCAAGAACCAAGCAACTGTCACAGATTGAGAGTTATATCATTGTCTTTGTTAGATTTCTTACTGTCTTAAAACCAAATTCCTCAACTAAATCCAAATCCTAATGCATTAACCGCAAGAACCAAGAGAACATTAGAAACATTTCAAAATCTCTAATAAACAAATGAACAAGAAGGAGAAAACCTCGAGTTCACAACAATTAGATGATCAAAAACTCTAATTTCTTTAAAACGGTAAAGAATTACTAAAATCATCAAAGGTTGAATCAAGAAACCACCAAAAGCCCTAACATTTCCGGAATCTAAAATCAGACTGAGGGGTCTAGAGTTTCGATTACCAGAATGCGGTGGCCGAGCGGAAGTCGGAGGTGGTGAGCATGACGGAGACGGAGATGAGAGCGGGGACGAACTGAGAGAGGCGGAGGATAAGGCCACCGGTGGTTCCGGGCATGCCCTGAACATCCTTCATCCTCACTGGCGGTCTATCGTTAGCTCCGCCAGTCGGAGCCACCGGAACCACATCCACCGGATGAATCGCCGGTCGGCTCACGTTCATCATACGCAAACGCAAAATTCAAGAAGTTTCAGACCAAGAAACTGCGACTTGGGTGCGTCTGTCTGAAAATTGAAAAAGTTTGGACTTTGCCAAGTAAAAGAAAAATATGTCTTTTTTGTTTCTTTGTTGTCAAAAGTAAAAATTTCCTTTGTGTGATGTGTTTAAGATCAAATCGACCCACATGGTATTTAATGTTCCTAATTAAAGTCTTGAATTAGATACTTTAATATTGCTGACAAACAAAAAAGATACTTTAATGTTAAATGTTAACATCCAGTAAACAGAGCAACCGACGTTGAATGGGTAAATTAAATAACAATAAAAACTCCCCTTTTTTTTTACTCAACAATTAAAAAAAACTTTAAAATCTACAAGAACAGAGTATTAGACATAATTTTAAAATGTCGGTTTGATTAATTTTTAACGTCTATTTCAAATATGTTAGACAAGATTTTATAACTTCTGATTACTATTTTGTTTCTGTTGTTTTCTTTTTGAACATGTTGTTTCTGTTGTTAAGACTTAAGAGACAAGTTCTATAAGTAGATATGAGACGAGCACGAAAGTGTGAAACTTTTTTGGGTTACAAAGAAGAGTTGATAAATGCTCTTACAGAAGTAAAGACATTTAGTTTGGAGTTAAAACTTTAAAAGATAGCGCTCATAATTTACACAGAATAATTTCCTCCGTAGTGGAAATATTTTTACATTACCCAACTAATCAGAATCTATTCCTTCCTTTTTTTTAGTAAGATTAAAATCGTAAAATCTCCGACATTTTCTGATTTTCATATCTATATATAAAATATTTAAATAGTTATATAGATAGAGATATATATTAGATCTTGATCTTAATCATTATTCTCCAATCCGTTCCATATCCCAACAAAGCTTAGACGCAACACTCTCATGGCAAGGTTCGTATTCCTGTAACAAGTACAAGAACAATGTATGAGAATCATTATGAAGAAATTCAGAATACAATCTTGAGGTCGTCTCCAATTTTCTTTAATTACCTCTAGCTTTTTCACAAGCTCTTTAGCAGTAGGAGCAGAGACGATGATCTCACGAGCAGTCGGGCTGATGAATCCTTCTTCGACTGCTTTGTCGATGAATGAGAGCAGAGAGTTGTAGTATCCATCAACATTGAGCAAACCCACCTGAAGAAAATTTTGTTTTAAATGATTTTGGGTTTCTTCCATCAAAGTTTGAATATTATTTGAAAATGGAAGAGAGGGTTTTTTTTTTTTACCGGCTTCTCATGTATTCCAAGCTGAGCCCAAGTTATGACCTCAAGCAATTCTTCAAGTGTTCCATAACCACCTGAAATATTTACACAAAACTTTAGGTTTGGTTTGTAATAAACAGAGGAGATTAATCGGTTAATATGATATGGTCAAGTCAATAAGTGTGTTATGTACAAGACAAAAACCAAATAATAGACTCTTCTCCATCTCTGTTACAGTTTGTACGAATATGATTACAAAAGTAGGATCTTGAAAGAACTTGACTTTCCATTAATGATTTTCAGATTCAGTGTGGGCAAAAAAATATGCTATTTGTGGGACTGTTTCAGGTTTTGTCTCTTAACTTGAAATGTGTACGAAGAAAAAGTATGGTCACGGTAAGACTATACAAGCTATAGAGAGTACTCCCTAAGTTAAAAGCAGAGCAATAAACAGAGTAAAGAGAAAAATGGTCTAATATTAAGTGCCAGATGTTGATGGGTCAAGGCCTTTATCTTAGACTCTGGTGACTTTTATTATTTTTCCATACAAAAAAAAAGATATAGAAAACTTTTCACAGTAGCTTTCACACTGCAGCTTGACCAAGAAGAAATCATGTTTTTACCAAAATCAGTAGAAAAAAAAAACTTTTGATTTTACTTTCTTTCTCGTGAACAAATATTCCTTCTTTTAAATTTAGATTTCCCCAAACAATATTTTTTAAGTGGCTGAAAGAGGAGGCCTAAACTGGTGTTTCTGAATTTCCTTGTATCACTAGAGTTTGACCATTTTGCCTTATCATCATTACTTTGTTTGAAAGAAAAAGCAAATTTTGAAGATTATAAATATATAATTAAAAGAGGAAATAAAATGATTGATAATTTTGGGTGGATGGGGTTTAAAAACAAAACCTGGTAAGGCAATAAAAGCATCAGAGTGCTTAGCCATCTCAGCTTTCCTTTGGTGCATATCTGCAACTGCTCTTACTTCTCCTACTGTTTCACCAGTCAACTGCCAAAAAACAAAGAACATCCATCCACCAATATTTTTAAAAACAAAAAAAAAATATAAAGGAAGTAATAATTAAAAGTAGTTAAAGGCAAAAAAGCAGGTTTGGACTCTTCTACAGGCAAAAGCAATGATGACAATGCAAGTAATCGTAATATTTAGCTATTTTTGAAATCCCTTACATACTTCATTTTCAGAACCCTAATCTAGTTAACCTCTTTTTCATCATCTTCTTCATATCCCTTTTGTTATAAATGAAATAAAAAAATGAAGATATTTTTATTTTAGGATACCTAAAGGAAAAAGAAGAGGAGGCAGAAAGAGAAATTACTCATAATCATTAGACTTAAGAAAAGGTAATAAAAAAAGGGAGAAGAGTAAAACAGAAGCAAAGACTGAAGAATAAAAAGGGTTTGAATGGAGAAATTAATTAACAAAACCAAATAACAATGTTTACTAAGAATAAACTTAAATCTTTTACCTCTCTAGGCATGAGGGTCTTGGGAATAATTCTGTAGAGTGACAACAAGATGACAAAAAAAAGAGAGGTTTATTAGAACTTCGAAGTAATCAAGACAAGTGTGTTTCATAAGAAACTCCAAAAGACAGTTTTCTTTCGTATGACCTTAATAATAAAGATTACGAAGTTGTTACTTGTTAAGACAAGAGGGTAAATAATTTAAAAGATTTTACTTAGAAAATGAAAAGAAAATTACCCAATAACATGACGACCACCATCATGAACAGCTTGTGAAACCAAACCCATCAATCCTATGCTCCCACCTCCATAGACTAGATCAATATTCCTTGAAACCTGCAGAACAAAAAAAAAAACAGAGTTACACATATGAAGCCTAAATTTGGTAATAAGAAGAAGAAAGAAAGAAAAAAAAATCGAAGCTTTGAGATTAAAATCCGTTTAACAAAGTAGCAACCAGAGTAATATAAAATTTAAAGTTCTATCATTTGGTACGTTTAAAAATGCTCTGCATTTTGCAAAAAATGACATATACACATATTCACAAATAGCTTATGAACATGTTTAATCAAAACCCACAAAAAAAAAAACAAATTTGCAGAACAATAATGAAAGCAAAGAAACACATCACCAGTTCGTTGCCGAGATCAACGGCAGCATCTTGGTAACTACTCTTCTTGCCTTGGCTGCTTCCACAGAAGACGCAGATTCTTCTGAACTTTGACTTTTGCATCGTTTCAGCTTTGATCTCCATTGATTCTGATTTCCAAGTTTTAGAAAATCTAAACTTTGTCCGGGAAAGAAAGAAAGAAAGAGAGAAAATCTAAATTTAAGGTTTCGTTGAGCACAAGAATCTAATTTCTTGAGACAGTTACGAGTGTCAAAGAAACCTACTTTGAAATTTCCAAGCTCTTTTTTTTTGTTGTTGTTGGTGTTGTAGTGTATCTTCACCACCAATGCTTCCTGGCTCAAGGATTGTTGTTATATAGTGCGTCTTCTCGTCATGCTCGTCATCGATTTAGTTTATTTTAAAGTTACTTTACTTTTTTTAGTAATACAATCTTTTTTAAGAAAGGGATTAGTAGAATTTAGAATAAAAACCCTTTTGAAAGTGTTTCCTAAAAAAAGATATGGTATTTTAGAAAAAAAAATGTTTTTTTGGAGAAAACTATATTAACAACAAATCAAAGGACATTTTTCTATAAAAATACCAAAACATTTTAAAAAACTTTAACTAAATTTTTAAGAAAGGTTTCTTCCCAAAAGTAATTTCTTAATTAATATTTAGGCAAAATTACTATTATTTTTTTTTGCCGGCAGGAAGAATTACTACATATTTGATGAGGAATTAAAAAAAAAAGAAAAGAAAATATATGGTGTTTTATAATCCAAAAAAAAAACGATTTGTTATAATGTTGAGGTCTTCACACGTGAGAGATTAAAGCACGCGCGTCTTTCACCTCCCGCACATACAGCTCATGTTGGCACGCGTGACCGATTTCTTCCTTGTGTGTTAACTTTCCTCGCATTGTTTTTTCTTTCAAAGTATCGTCAGGCAAGCTCATGTACTGCTGCGAGACCCGACTATTTGGGAAGAAGAAAAAAAAGATTATGTATTCAATAATCCGTTATTTAATGATAAGAGAGATACATATATGAGAAAACAACAGTTTGTTTGACGATTAGATAGAAACGCCATGTTACTGTATATAACTCATAAGGAATCATGATAGATTAAATAGACTTCGAGGATTGATGAATGCTTGTTAGGATCACATGTTTTCTGATGTTGTTAAGTTGCTTGTAGGAATACTTTGTAGCAATTAAATTATCTCTTAAGTGATGTAATTAGAACGGCAATTCTAGTAATCTATAAGAATATATGAACGTACACTTTGTATTTGACCTATTTGCAGTGAGCTTGCGTGGAAAAACTGTAAGAAAAAATAATCGATATGTAGTCTCGAGTCTCGTACGTCTCGCACTTAAGAAAATGTGACGCAATTCAAAGTGTCGTTTTAATATCATCACGCTGCAAATTAAATATAACGCTAAGTAGCATAGTGAAAAGATATAAAAAAAAAAAAACAGTCGCTTTAACACTTGATTAATTGATTGTGTTTTGCTATTCAAGAAAAAAAAATACTTTGTATATAGTTTGAAAGATAGTTGATTGCATTTATTTATTTATATTAACATAAAGGATTCGCATACAAACTTAAGTATATATATATATATATTTGGTAACTAAATAAATATTTATAAACAAAGCATAAGACATAACAGTGACACGAGAGAATAAAACATATAGAAAAGATGTTTGTTTGTTGCCCACATGCATTTGTCTAAAACTAGGGCGATTTTACAAACGGCGATTTAACATGAATGATCGCCGACTTCGATCCTCAAGCTAACGTAGAACCTCAAAATCATCCATACATAATATAACTAAGATTATCTCCACCATTTTAGATAAGAGGTTGTAAATGGTGATACGAAGGTCAGTGCCCATTCTATATTGAATGACGCAGACTGCAAAGTTGATGATGAAGGTATTTTGACATTCTTCTTCATGGAGTTGTATAAATGCACATGGCACGTTTCGTACATTTAACTCGATTCCGGAGGAACAAATTGAGTGATGGAGCAGAAGTACATTCGAGGCTTATGGAGAATGCTTATGATTTGAATATTTGAACTCTTATATATGAACCTCTTGCATAGACCTTTCACCAGAATTCAGTTTTTAGTTCTTTCTAAATTTGTCTAAACGAATAAAAACAAGATAACATTTTTTGCAAAAACATATTTTATACAAAAATCGTGTACACACGCATATTAAGTTTCTTAACTCTATAAATAGCATACCAGAGAAGTAAATATGCACGACCTATATAGTATGTAAGTAAATTAACTAATACAACTTACATTAACTAATACAACTTACATTAATGAATATACGCTATAGTAATATAAACACCATGATATTTATGCCATAAATAACAAGCTATTATGTTATGCAGTAGTTTTCTTTAATACATATATACAAAATGCCTTCTTGCGATATATATATATTTCTTATAGAAAGCTCTCAATAAAACAAATAGAATTTTTTTGGAATTTTTAAAGTTAATTCATCACTGATAAAGCTTCCTCACTTTTTCCCCCCTTTATCAAGAATAGGACAAACAATTCATTTTCCATATAAAAGATAGGAAAAAAGAATGGACAGCTTATATCTGGACAGTGTAATATGGGTACAAACGTTATTTACTGATATTCATGCAAACAAAATAGAAGAATAACGAAAAAACAACAAAAAATAACCAAGACAAGAAACACCCACTAATGTAATTTAATGGAACCATGACGATGTTATGGGTACACCAATAGATATATACACACATTTATTTATACAGAATGAAGAAGTTAATGAGATGATGATGTCTGGGATATGGAGCAATGTGCCATTGATGATTGAAATAAGAAACACAAAGCGAGTTATGGCTTTTATTACCAATGTAGCCCAATTCACCCTCCCTATGTAGACAACCTTCTTCTTGTTCTTTGCATAGGAAACATTTCTTCTATTTTTTATTCCCCTCTACTCATTTTAACCTTTTTGTATATTTTATGAAAGTAGAGTTCTTAGCTTTCCCCCATCTTCTTGTGTAACTAAGTTGTCTTTCTAATTCCACTTGGTGTTATCGCTCCATATAATATTGTACGTATTAATGGGTAAATCATTTTTTTGTCTTTCAATTTCGTTGATAATATTTCATTTTTCTAAAAATTTCCTATTTTCAGCATCAACTTACTAACATAGTAAATTAGGAATCATGATATACGCTCATGTTACAATTAGGACGGTGCCTACCCTACGGCAAAAGAGGCTCTATTTGGGGAAAAAAATTTAGTAGGCTTTAGTTATTTTTCATAAGTAATCTCAAATAAATATAGTAAAAAAGTTAAATAAATATTACATTTATCTTTAAGCAAAAAAATAATTATAGTAAAATAATGAATATAAATAGAAACAAATTAAGACACTAAAACCAATTAAAGAAAAAAAGTTGCCTTGAAAAATCTTTAACCCATAGAGAGCATTCAGACATTATCAATAATGAGATAAGTTTTATCCAGAAAAGTAAAAAAGTCTATTGAAGTGTTAGATTTTTTGAAGAGCAGCAATGCTTTTTATTCTAACTCATGGATTGCTTATCAAGTATTGTTGACGATTTCAGTCTCTGTTGTATCTACTGAAAGAAGTTTTTTAAAGTTAAAATTGGTAAAACCATATCTTCTCCCGAGTATATCACAAAAAAAAAATTGAGTGATTTGTCAATTTTATCTATCGAAAGAGAGTTGGTTAGAAAAGTTGATTTTGAAAGATTAGTTAATGATTTTGTGGGAAAAAAAAAGAAGAATTATGTTTTGAATTATTATCGTGTTAAGTTTTTTTATTTATTATATGATAATATTTATTATATTAGACATTTTAATTAATTTTTATTTTTGTATGATAAAATTTGTTATCGCCTATGACATCAAATTACCTAAGCACGGCTCTGGTTACAATTTATGTTAGAAAAAATTATTGAATATTTTTGTAGCCGAAAATAACTTATAGTTTGGATGTCTAATAGTTTTTTGCCATCACGTTTTAGGTAGCAAATAGTAGTTTCATTCAAAGTCTATATCATCACCCTATTGACTTGGAATGGCAGTAACACCCACACACTCTTATACTTAATTGTAAGCAGACACTTACAGTATTGTTGATATCATATGTTTATTTGTTTATTATATGTGTATAAGCGTGTGAGTTTTTAACTAAGAAACTAAAATAATTGCAATCCCAAGATCTGAGTAGATGCGCTGCCCATTCCTTCTACGTAGGTTATAGATATTATAAACACATAAGTAAGTTTGTAAAATAGTGTGTATTAGTATTTGCATGCTTGCATGCGCAATATTTATCTCTCGTTCCCCTCCACATTCTTCTTGGAGTTTTCACTTCCGACCCAAATTGTATTTTATAATAATAGCCATGACGACGGTAGTGATATCACAATGTGATTAGATAATACTTGCAGTCTACTTAAATTAAAAAAGTTATATATGATTATGGGTACATGAAGTTTTATACTCGAATCTTTTTTATAAGTCTGTACGCGGGAAGAAAGAAAAAGAGAACTTAAACAGTGGATATTTGAAAAAGAAATAATCTTTTTGCACAAATGGTTAATATTTTGTCTTCAGTCGATTTTTACATGATGTCCGGGACTTACTTAGTTGTCATAGAAGTCGTTCATTTTGTTTACAAAGGGGTCTAAGTAATCATAAATAAAGTTTGAATTTTCTTGGAGAGGTTCTCAAGCTTTTGTATTTGGAAAACGTACGTCAACATTCGTTTACGTTTTCGAATTTTCTTTTGAGAAAAAAGTTTTTCACTTAAACTTTATAAAGTTCCGAAAGCTGAAACTTTGATTCGGCGACAGTGATTTTTTTTCTAAGTGAAACATTGACCGCTTTATGATTGCTTTCAGTTAACGAAATTCACATTCTTATTAAAAGTGTTCAATATAGAAGAGTAACTTCGTTATAAAGCGAGTAAATTACTTTACCGACAAAGAGGCGCGAAGGTATTAGTATAATACAAGCTCATCAATTTCTATACATATGAAGGAAAGGCTCCACACTTTCTATCTGACAAAACATTTGTTTCCTTGTTAGAATATTCGTTGCTGACAAAAAGAAATGCTTAACTTAACTTGATTGATATCCATTTTAAAAAAACAAAACAAAACAAAAACTTAACTTGATTGAATATTAAGGAAGATGAAAAAACAATATTAATGAACACATCAGTTTTCATTTTCAGCTATGGTTGATAAAAAGCTGAACAACTTTTTACCATATTTTGGGAAGAACATCTGAAAAAAGAAGAAGAAAAATATTTAAAACTGTTGCTGGAATCGTTTGTTGGTAACTTTTTCTTAATGAATCTTTTAATTTTTTTGGTTTTACTGTGGGTAAAAAATATATTTTGAGTAGGCTTGTATATTGAATTTAAATGGCATACGTATGTTAGGCACAAGAAAATTCTTATAGTAGTCAGACGTTTGAATCATCTGTTCGAAAAATAGAGAGAGAATAATTCAGAGTCTTCACATAGTTGATCTTTACTTTCCTTTAAATCGTTGAATGTCCATATCGGATTATTTATATTACGTTTATATAATACAGAGATTAGTGTTTGATTCATTTTTAAAAGGAAGACATTAACGGTTCATCCATCGTGTCTACACTCTACATGCATGAGCATGTGCATTGGAGTTTATGACCTTTCCTTATACGGGTTTGATTTGGTCGTTCAAACAAACAAAGATGTTTTGGATACTCGAAAATAATTCGAAAAATTGACTCCTCTAGTATTTCTTATTTTTTTCATGTAATCTTATTCTTAAAATTGTAAGATTTTTTGAAAGGACAGTCCACGTAGGAGACTTATATGATTATCTGGGTAAAATTCTTGAATGCACAAGACGTTAAAAAAAAAATTTGTTAAAGAAAAGACGTCGAACTTAATGCAAAATCATCAACAAATGGTAATAGATTCTTTAAAACAAGAAAAAAGGTTGAAATGATTCCGACAATATTTTTGAATCATGGCTTTTACAAAAAACATTTACCGCTTTTAACCGAAATAGAACCCCAAACTTGTTTTTTCCCCTACGGACCGACGGTAAATCCACAAATTAAGGAATGAAAAAAAAAGGAGACAACAAAACAAGAAAGAAAAGTGAAGAACATGGATTTGAAAATGGTCAAAAGGGGGCCAGTCAAAGATCAGAAAGGGACAAATCCGTTGTTTAGTAGTTATCATAAAGTGTCGGACAGTTAATACCGTTGCTTAAAAGTCAAATTTCTATCACATTTTCACTTATCACTAATTAGTAACAACTTAAATTATAAAAATTACCCTCACATCAATCAATCTATGAACACAAAAAGTAGTGTTATTTTGGAATATTCTCTCTTACGAAAAATATCATGCATTTTTTATTGGGGTCAACTATATATATATATATATTTTTTTTTTTGTTTGTTGAATAACTATATATTGTTACTCACCAGTCTCTTCTCCTTGATACCAAGTTACCATACCATATCATGAATAAAACTAGATTCATATATTTTGAGTTAAACACGTTTTAACTGGATCAAATTGACGATATAATGTCAATAAAGAAATATGTTTTTTTAGTAATCTCTTAAACCAACTCACATATACTTAAAGGCATATAGCCATTTAAAAAAAAAATATCTATAGAAATGAAAACTTTTATAATAAAAATAGGAGTAACATTTTCTACTTTTTTGTTGAACTATTTAATAATGCAGCTCAGTGACTTAATAAAAAATGAAGGCATGCCATATGGCCGGATACATATACTGTGTCACTGTTACAAATGATTATGGTCAAAATTGCAGTGTTGACATTATTTAATCAGCATAAACATTCGAAAAAGAGATAAAATATGTTATTTCATATTACATATTGTAACTGTCTATTATTTCAACTAATTAACTAAGTGTGCTACATGCTGAAGAAGCTTAGTGAGAACAAACGGAGATAGTTTAATAATGGCCATTTCCCTAAATACAATAATAAAACACGACCACTTCTAAATGTAAGAATTTGTCACGCAATCAAATTTATTCATGATATTTAGGTTACACTTATTTGTTGGTGTTTATGCTTGCGTTTGTGTTTCCCTATAATAATTCTTCACCACCAATCGGTATGAACAGAGTTTGGTTTAATGATGTAAGGTGGCAAGGTGCGAATATGGATTTTCAAAATGATCAAAACAATAGCGATATTTTTTTAAGATAAAAAACAAGAAATATCCGATGAATCATATATGCCTATATGAATATACGTAATATACATCTGTGAGTAATCTATGTAATGTACACATGTATGTAACGGTGTAATAAATAGTAGAAATGAGCTAATTTGTAGGCAAGAAGAGTGGTGAAAGTATGATTGATCAGCGAAGAAGCGAATGAACATTCATTTGTTTTTCTTTTTTCTTTTGTCTTTTGGAAATTAGAATTTTTGTCCTTTGTTTTTGGGACATTATCTTACATTCATTTCAACTGCATCAACCTTTCGGCCGTCTTTATACCGCATTTAATTATTTTCTTTTTAAATTTATGAAGTTCATATCATACTGAGCGCCTACAATTCAAAAATATTCAGTTGGACCTGTTTACACCATGTGAATCACGTAGTGTAAATTATGAATACTTTGAAAGATTGGTCCATGTCATACAATATCATTATATATATCCAATCAAAGATAGTGAAATACTGATACCTACTATTGCATGTCAAGTCTCTTTTCCCGAGATAGTGATCGTTATATGTTTCCTTTTAGACATGAAACTAAATTGATAAGAAATATCGGAAAGTATTGCATATCGACATTAGTTTGCTACATGTAAGGTTAAAAATGTCTTCTAAGAGTAGCAAAGGAGCAAACATTGAACATGTTCATGTCCAATGTTTGAGGTTCATAAGTCAAAGTGGGTCTACTTACGCTGACCAGATACAATGCTATGGCCCATGGGTTTGCATACATTATCCTAAATTAATTACTTCATTTCTTGATTTCTATAAGACGAAAGAAAGGAACATCTTATTATTTTCCCCATGACTCTTGTTTAAAAATGGTGTGTGAAATGGATAGTGAACAAGTGACCATGAAGAGATTTATTATTCCTTCTGGCAATCTGATAATGAAAAAGAATATGTTGTAGCGGTTATAAAGTAATGTCGTGGTTAATTATAACTCCTCGAATGTTCTTCTCCAGAACCAGATTAGGCTGATTCACAATCCCATTTCTTGCAATCACAACACCACTCTGTTTTTTTACCCACAATATATATAACAAAAATGTGTTTTGTTTGTAAGCGATTGTTTGTATTTATGGAACAACATTAAGACGACACTAATGTGTTGTGGATAGCATCATTGCCAAGAGAACTACAGGCTATTGGCAATAGAAGCAAGTGATGCCCTTCATCATCATAAACTACTTCCAAAGTGTATCTTTCACGTTTCTGCAAAAAATATTATTACACGTATGTGTATACATTATACATATGACAATTCTTTTATAATTATATACATATATATAGCCATCGTAATATATATAGGTATTAGTATATATTAGGGTATAACGAACTTCCTACATTATTATGAGATTACATATAATTTGGTTTAGTCTTGTTGAAACGACTAATTATATGGCGACACCGTTGATCTCGGGTATATAACTCCGTAAGGATTGGTATAGGGTCTAAGGTACTTGAGACCATCGCAAGCAAGTACTCTATAATCTTAGAAGCTACTCAAAGATCCTTGCATGTTTGGTTAAATAACTTTTTTGTAACATCCAATTGTACTATTGTAAGCTCTAAAATTTGCCTTAAAACACGAGCTCGAATTACTAAAAAGTGAAGCCAGGTCGAATCTCATACATTATTAGCATCATAAAATGTTTGGAAAGGCAGTTTCAAAACTTACCCCTTAGCATAGTTGAACTAACATTTCGTGTATGAGAGTTTTGCGATTAAGTCCATAACTTTCAACATTTGGGCTAGACCCAATTGGACCAAATGCTTCCAACAGAGAGTTTTGAGATTAGGTCCATAACTTTCAACATTTGGGCCTTGTGAGAACCCATATCCAGGAATTGGAACCGGTTAAATCAATTGATCAACTGACTTTAGTCTCTTCAAGGAATGATGTGTCTGTCCCTAACCAATTTACAAACTATCGAGCCAATTTGTTCATTCCACTTCATATCGTATTGGATCGGTTTGCGTGATTTTACCGTTTTAGCGGTTTTCAAATGGTTTCACATTCATATGCGCAGAGGATTAAAAAAACAAGAACAAGACTGTGGAAATAGGGAAGCATTATGAAGAGAACACGAAATAGAGATAAAATTGAATTAAACCAAAGCGAAGCAGTCAATGGCAGCATTCAGACAGACAAGAAGATGGTCTCCACTTTTATAATCTTAATTATATGTTTCTCAAAAAACAAAAAAGACCATTCGTGCATCCGAAGGCACAACAAACATATAGGCGAAGAGCTTAGGTACCGCCCGAAACTGCCATCCTCTCACAAAACCCTCTATGCTTCGAAGCGCCTGTTACATTTCAACCACACTTTATACAATCAATTCACCAAGTCGCTAATGCAAACAAAAGAAAACTCATCTATAAGTACAGTGGATTTTGATTCATACCCTCTAGAATATGCGTTTTTGAGAACAGGAAGCCATAGATTAGTGCTCAGTATCTAGGCCTTGGAGGCCTTGCCTCAGCTTCCGAGACTCTGATTTGTCTGCCGTCCAAATCCTACATAGGACACAAGTAAAAGAAGTATATATCAAGAGCTGTTTGATTGAGTGCATTGTAAGTATATACACTGGTGTGAGTGATAGAGCAAAAAGGATAATACTTACAGCACCGTTCAAGGTTCTGATGGCATTTTGGACCTCTTGAGCAGAGTTGTACGTCACGAATCCGAAACCCTTTGACCGACCACTGTCCCTGTCGTAGATGACTCTGGCCTCAACGACCTTTCCTTGCTCCCCGAACAAATTCTCAAGAGCCATGTCGTCCACTCCCCATGAAAGGTTTCCGACGTAGACACGGTTTCCTGAACCAGCACTAGACCCTGAACCTCCACCATATCCAGAGCCGGAGCTTCCAAAGCTGCTTCTGGGTCCTCTGGAGAAGCCGTCTTCCCTCTTTGGTGGAGGAGGACCTGCGTTAACTCTCAAGGCTCTACCATCCAACTCCTGCAATAAGAACAACAACACAGATGTTCAGGTTTTTATCTTAAAAGAACCCAAAACCACCAACAAGTTTGAAGATTTTTAATTTTTCTTAAAGTAAAAGTTCTAATCTCCAAGACACAGATTATACAGCAGCAAAAGTATCCACTAAACGACCTGGAAGTGAATACTAAGGCACAAAACACACACTCATTCACAGATTAAATAACCAAAACACGAACGCATACAACCAAGGAAGAAGACAGATTTCGTATAAGCAATAAAAAGATTAGAGAAGGATCTTCTTACATAGCCATTGAACTGCTGCTCAGCAGCCTCAACTTCAGAAGCTGAGGACATAGTCACGAATCCGAAACCCCTGCTTCGTCCTGTCACTTTGTCATAGATCACCTACAAAGACAAGACAAAAGAACCAAACCGATAAATCTCAACAACACAAAACTTTTCTCTTGTCTCTTCTTATTGGAGTCAATCGTCAACAGAAACCCTAAAAGGATAATTCACTTATCCCAGATTCTACATCACACCAATAAGTAAATGAAATTCCGATTGAAAACCTACCTCGACCATCTCAACATTTCCGGCGCTCTCGAAGAGCTGAGCGAGCTGTGCACTGTCGACGTTGAAAGGGAGATTACCAACGAAGAGTTTGAGGTCGGCGGAGAAGGATTGCTCCCTGGGCGCGGCGTCGTCAGCGAAAATGCCGTCTTCTTCAACCTCGAAGTCCTCTGTTACCGCGACGTTACGGACGAGGCGAGAGGCGGCGGAGCTCCATTTGGAGGCGGAGGAAGCGAAGATGGAGACGGAAGCAGAATCGGAATTGAGTTTAAAGGAGACGGAAGGAGGTAAGAGGGAAGCGGAGGCGGGTCTGGAGACGCAGAAAGGAAGGGATTTAGGGTTGAAGGTAGAGAGAGCGAGAGACGAAGCTGAAGCAGCCATGGGGGGAACGAAGAGATAAGGTGTTTAGGGGTTTTGGGTGAGATTTGAGAGTGGAGATAAGATGCAGTGTGTTTGATATTTATGGCCGAAATGAACAAAAACACTTTGCACAAATATCTCATCTCTGATTTTTATTTACAAATTTAGCTTCAAACTATTTTTTTCTCCTAATTTTTCTGATTTTCTGTTTCTTCTTATAATAAAAAGTCATAGTTTTGTAAAATGACATTTCTTGAAAAAATATCACTAAAACAATTGTAATATGCTTTTTGTATTTACGTATTCCAAATTTGAGTGTACACTAAGATCTTAAATTTCCAAATAATTTTTGTGATAAAAGTATGTGCTTTTTCTCACTTGAATTAGTAGTAGTTGTTGTGTTTGGTTAACGTTTTATTGGACGGGTCTACTAACTACTTGTCATAATTTGAAATGAGAAGATGGATGAGATGAGATCTGAGCCGTCAAATTTTGGATGGACAGTGGAGATGGCACGTCTCGTGCTAAGGCAAAAAAAATCTACGAGAAGATAAGATATTTAACTAAAAGCCAATGGAAGTTGTAACACTCTTCTTCAACTTGGCCCAGGAAAGTAAAAGTGAAAATATCATTCAACTATTAAATGATTTCAAAATTAATCACGGTGGTAAAAAACATGAAACCTAAATCAGAAAACGATACAGCTCCTACCAAAAAAGCACTGAATCATACAAACGTGTTCTTCAAACGAGTTTCGTAAGAAAATGGATTTATTTGGATAACAGAGAAGACTGAAGTTCCAATGAAAGTGAAAAAAAAAGACTAAGAAAAAGAAAAGAATCACTTTGCTTAAGTTTCTATAGAGAGACAGTGTTCTGTTTCTTGTCTTTCTTGAATCCTGGTCCCTTCTTGATCATTCTAGAAAGAACATCTGCTTGCCTGGTGTTCCCTTCCTGGTTCAAGCTCTTGATCAGTTCATCGCAGCTCTTCCAGTCGCTTACACTTCCTTTCTCCATGATCTTACACAGAACCGAGTACGCGTTCAGAGTCTTACCAGCTCCTAAAAGCGCATCCAACACCTTCTCGTAGCTCGAAAACTCCAAGCTAAGATCCCTCTCCAACCCGAAATCTAACAGCTTCAATGCTGCAATCGTCTTCCCTTTCTCGCTCAGGACGGATAAGAGGCTGTCCAGATCAGCGGTGTGTCCGTTTTGACTCAGAAGATCAATACGGCCAAGGGCTTCTTCCACGTGCCCTCTCATCAAGAGAGCTTCCAAGAGCTTGGCAACCAAATCCATGTTTTCTTCGATGCCAACGTTTTTATCAATCATGATCATCATCACACGGCTTGCCGTCTGCACCCTACCATCCTCAAACAAACTCTCAATCACTGACCTGAAAAGAGATGAGTCCGGGACATGTCCGTCTTCGATCATGCTGTCCAGCGCGGTTTTGGCGTCTCCAGGCTCGCCTTTGCTCATGTAGCTCTTGATGAGCAGCTCGTACGCGTTTGCTTCTCTAGGGACACCTCTCCTCGACATGATCTTCAGAATATCGTAGCTAGAATCTGGGTTTCCTTCCTTCGCGTGACCACGGATCAGATTGTTCAATGCATCTTGGTCTTGCACACCTCTTTTCATCAGCTGCCTGAAAAGCACCTCCGCTTTCGAGGTTTGGCCATTGTTGCACAAATACTCGATGATTGGGTTGTAAGCGGTGGGCTCCATTTCCAGAGTATCCTGATGCCTCAATATGATTTCTTTCTCAAGTAGAATGTCTAAAAGCTTGATAGCACGATTGTATGCATTAGCCTTGCATTGATTCTCGATCAAGACACCGTAGTGTCCAGCTTCTGCTGGAACGTTCAGCGTCGCCATGGCTTTGAGCACCTCAGTGGCAGCCGCCATATCCCCAGCTTTGCTCTGGGAGACCAAAAGCTTTAGGAAGATGGAGTTATCTTTCGGAGCAATGTGTTTCGCCATCATGCTCTTCAAGATAGTCTTAGCCTCCACCATTTTACCAGCATCACACAGACCTGGCAACAACGTGGAGTACGTGGTAGCATTGGGCTCAATACCAAAAGATCTCATCTCCTCAAAGACTCTCAACCCGTCATCAACTCTGTCCACTGAAAGATACCCTTTGATCATCGTCGTGTAACTCACAACACTAGGCTCGATGTTTTTCCCTTTCATCTCCACGAAAAACTTCTCCGCCTCGTCCATCTTCTTAAACCGGCAGAACCCATTGATCATAGTGTTGTAGGTCACAACATCCGGCGAGATCCCTCGAGTTTTCATATCTTCAAAGAACCTCAAGGCAGTCTCTAGCCTCAGAGACAAGAAGAATCCCCAAAGCATCAGATTGTAAGTGTGCCTGCTCGGCTCTATACCTTCACTAACCATCTTGTTGAAGTACCGTTTCGCCATCATGTACCTACCACGCCTGAGAATCACCTTGAACAGAGTATCGTACGACTTGATCGTCCTCTCCACACCCAAATCCTTCATCTTCTGGAAGATTTTAACAGACTCCTGAACGATACCGGCTTTGCCATAGCTATCTATGAGCACCACAAACATGTCCTCGTCCCAAGGAACACCCTTTTCAGGCATATCCAAGAGAATGCACCGAGCATGGTTGAGCTTCTCGGCCTGCCCCAGCATCTCAATCATTTTCATATGCGTATCTCTATCGTGGCGGATCAATCCGGATCTCTCCGACCACCGGAAGAACTGGAGGGCGTGATCGAGTTTCCGGGCACCGTGCAAGACGTTATACACCAGCGAATGATCCCATTCGGGTACGAGATCTCGGATCGAGTTCTGTAATCGGGTCGTCCATTCCCGATTATCCATCATTCTACATATCGTATCCTCTAGATTTTCATGGTTTTGACGCTTACCTCGCTGGAATCTCTCCCTGGGGAGCCTCCCTTCCGCTGGGATTGAGCCCAGATTCTTCGTCTCGGGTTTCACAGCATCTGCAGATTGGGTTTCTGGGTCTGCGACTGGATTCTGGGTGACTTCAATTGAGCTGAATAAACGGGAGGATGAGAGGAAAGCCGAGTCTGACGATCTGGGAAGCGAGAGATAAACCCTAGCTCTCAACAGATGGGGTTTCGATCTGGAAATGAAAGCCATTCAAGCAGATAGATTCCACTACTCCGAAATGGGTTTTGCAGAAAAAAGTTTCGTTTATAGAATCTTTGTTTCCGAATTTCTGAAAATTTTCAATCAACATGAAAAGAGCTAGTGAAAGAAGGAACGAAGAAAGACAGCAAGAGATTCAGTGCTTGAGTAGGGTTTAGGGAGGGAGGAAATGGAGATTTTATTCCGGGTCGGGTATTTTCTTGAATTTACCCGGCCCGTTAATCATTATTATCCAGTCCGGTTCTAGTGCATATAACAGATGGGCCTAACAATTAGATACAAGCGGAGGCTGACACTGGTTTTAAATTTGGAGTGAACCGTTGTTTGATCAAATGTAAGTGAAGTGAAAGAGATTTAAAATCTTCTTCAAGCAGAAACTGTTTTCGATCAAAGCCTGAACGACAAGGAGAGAACTAGACACTACACCGTCTGTTTCAAGTTTATAGTAAACCGTATATGTCTTATTAATTCCCGCTTTTTTTTTTTACTTTGCGAAAGAAACACGTTTTATTGTACGAAGTAGTATATGATTTACGAACAGATCTTCTTCTACACGAGCTTTGTACGATAAGAAAAATGATGCCTTTTTGCTTTGCTTATGGATTTCTTCAAGCGCAACACGCTTTTAGGATTTCATCAACAGGCGGGTCATCTCCAGCTTCTTTGTCCTGACATGTGTTCCCAAGAAAATTGCTTATTATTAACTCTCTTGATTAATTGCGCAAAGTTGAGGCTAGTTTGAAGAAGAAAAACAAGAGGTTATTACCTTGCGGATGTAAGAGATGTTATCTTTTCCAGGTCCAGCAACTAGGATTCCACCTTGTTGCCTGCACGAGGTCCAAAGACCATTGTTCACACACATGGTTAATAAGTAAACCGGAAAGTTATCTCATCTCTAACCGGAAGGAATGAACCTACCAGCCTCCTCTTTCAACAGTATCTTTCATAAACGAGAGTTTCCAGTCTTGGCGGTATCCTTCCATGTAAGACTCAATTATCTTCAGAGCAGCCTACAAATAATAGTACCACAGAAGCTACTGAGACCACCATTGATAACCAAATCAATATGCTAAATTAAGTAGAAGTCACTCTACTTTAGGGGTAAATGTCACAGTAACCCCTGAAGCAAATTTGAGCGCCTCGTATGACTCGTGGTTTGGATCTGCATACACCTCTGATAGAAATTCTATCATAGATTAGATGATCTCATAAACGAATTCACCATGTTTTTATTTTATTTTTAGTAACCATAAGTAAATGAGAATTATACCTCCTTCAAATTTCGTCTGTTCCACAAAAGTGTTAGCCTGCAATGTATAATGAGAATATAGGCAGCTGAAACGTATGCCTTTTTTACATTCACTAATCAAAATGCTTTACAGTAATTGTGTAATCAAATGTCTTACCTGCTCGATACTTCCCGGTCCGATCAGAACAAGAGCAACACCAGATGCATCCATCACATCCTAACAAAAATCTCACAGGTATCACTCGGTGATTGACTTTCAATTTGTATAATTGTCACCAACATCAAGACTTTTGGCATGGATAATCATTACCTTCTTTGCTGCAAGATAAGCTGCTCGTTTCCGACAAAGCACGCATCTGAAACACATAACAAAGCAAAAGCTTCGATTATTACATAGTAACCAGCATCATCAATCTAATTAAAGAGAGTCCTCCAAAGATTAATCACCCAAAATGACGAGCAAACGCAACAACAGCCTTCCTATCTTTCCATAAATCAGAAATCGGAACCTCGTTTCCTCTCAAATTCAAGACTTTCACTGTTTCTAACAAATCAGCAGTCTCTTTCCCGGTTCCAGTTCCTGTGGGAATCCGATATAATCCAGTAAGAAATCTGGAATTTTTAGAAATTCGAAATTATCAGAATATATTTAAGGATTAGCTCACCTGAAGCGCCGGTAATGGCCGACACAACCACGGCGTTACGCCGGAGAGAGACACACGACAAGGTGTTACGAAAGGGCGATTTGACGGAATAACCAGGAAGTACCGACCTTAAGCCACGAATCGCTTTCAGCTTCGGCTGCAGAGTTATGGGAGTGATCCTCGACGGCGACGAGAGAGAAACCGCCATTGTTGCTCCTGTAAAGCTGAAAATGAAGAAATTAAAAAAAAAATCCCAATTAAAAAATTGCCATTGAGTCTCACTCTTGCCGTTGGCTAATCTCGTGGAGTTGGGATATCACACGTGGCCGGGTGATGTAAGCATTGTCTGAGAGAGAAAGTCAAAAATGACTCAGCTAAGTTAGGGCAAATTGGGAAAAGAATTAAAAAGAGATCCTTTTTAAGAGCGAATGTTCGTTAAAGCACGTTCCTTTGCTAGGGTAAAAAAAAAAGCTCAAGCCGCTTCTTCGTTTCGCTCTATCTCTCTACATTTCTCTTCTAGCAATGGCGAGAATAGTGCGTGTCGCGAGATCCACCTCCCTCTTCGGCTTCGGAAGCCGATTCTACTCCACCTCAGCCGAAGTTACCTCCGGAGTTAGCCACGCGTCGCCGTTTCTTCACGGCGGCGGAGCTCGCAAGGATGCTGCTAGAGATAGGAACGTGCAGTGGGTGTTTCTCGGGTGTCCCGGTGTCGGTAAAGGCACGTACGCCAGCAGACTGTCGAGCTTACTCGGCGTTCCTCACATCGCCACCGGCGATCTCGTCCGTGAGGAGCTTGCTTCTTCCGGTCCTCTCTCTCAACAGGTTTGTTCATTTCTTATCTCCCTTTCTGTTTCTGTGATTGAGACTCTCGTCAATGTTCGATTTTTGATCCAAATAACTCTGAAGTTGACGTTTTTTTTTAGCAAATCGGGTTTTCATTTCTTATCGTCGATTGGATCTGATCAAGTTCATCTATCTCTCAACAGATCTAATGAACTTAGTCCGTTTTAAGTTGTTTCTGGCTATGTTTGATCAACAATCATAAAGGATCTATTCTTATACATTAAAGTCAATAGCTCTTTAAAGCTCTGTTTTTATTGGCTTTTTACTGTATTAAGAGAAGTTATATGAATGTTTCTGAGCTCACTGTTACTTGATGCAGCTATCGGAGATTGTAAACCAGGGAAAATTGGTTTCTGATGAGATCATCGTTAACCTTTTGTCAAAGAGACTTGAAGCTGGTGAAGCCAAAGGTGAATCAGGGTTTATTCTTGATGGCTTTCCTCGAACCATGAGACAAGCTGTAAGTATTCATTTGGTTTTAACATCTTTAAAGCCTTATGTGACCGAGTTTGATGATTAATCTCCATATGTGACTTTGGTTTTTGTGTCTTTTTGATTTCAGGAAATACTGGGGGATGTAACTGACATTGATCTAGTGGTGAATCTGAAGCTACCTGAGGAAGTTTTGGTTGACAAGTGCCTTGGGAGGAGAACTTGTAACCAGTGTGGTAAAGGTTTCAACATCGCTCACATCAACTTGAAGGGCGAGAATGGGAAACCTGGAATCAGCATGGATCCGCTTCTCCCTCCACCTCAATGTATGTCAAAGCTCATCACTCGAGCTGACGATACTGAAGAGGTTGTCAAAGCAAGGCTTCGTATATACAATGAAACCGTAAGTAACTCTACTGTACTAACATCTACTTAAATGTAACTGTTCAAGAGAGATGCTCAATGTTCTTTTTGTTTATGCAGAGCCAGCCTCTTGAAGAGTACTACCGAAGCAAGGGAAAGCTTATGGAGTTTGACCTACCTGGAGGCATCCCGGAGTCTTGGCCAAGGCTATTAGAAGCCTTGAGGCTTGACGATTACGAGGAGAAACAGTCTGCTGTGGCTTAGTTCACCAGATTCATATCCCGGTATTTATATTCTTTGCATGTGGAAGACATATGCCTAATCAATTTTGTGTGTTGGAAATAAAAGTAAAGAGAACAAAAACCTTTTAGATTGTTTTTTATTATACCTTAATTGAAATAATCATACACACTTGCAAAGTATTATTATCTCTCCACGAGCCGGTGTTTCGGTTCGGTCTGTATCATGATTGTTATGAGTTTTGCTAGTTACAGGAATGTATCAGTACTTTCTACAGTACGTTGTTATGCTCTTACGTTTAGTCTTTATGCTCTTGTGATTTTTAGTGTTGGTGTTGAATGTGATATATGATATTGCGGCTGGCCGAGCTGGCTGGTTTAAGTACTCAACCAGACAGTAAAGTAAAACAGCCGCATAGATTGAAATCTCGTGGAACGTATAACCAGCTCCTGTCTGTCCTAGAATTGGCGGTTCGGGATAGAACTGTTCCTTACATCTCTTGGAATCTCCGGTTGAGTTGATGCTAATTGTATCACTACTTGTGATGTGATCTAGAAACAAACATAGCTTATGTTTTGCGTTTGCGGTCTCTGAGAAATCGTTGGGGTTCTATGATTCTTCTGGCCTGACAATTAAAATCATTTTATGGACCCAATTGAAAGACTAAACCGGACGCAGCCTATTGCAATTTAAAGAACAATAACGAGCATGTAGGTTAGAAACCGGTTTGTAGTTCCACTTGAGTCGAAACTGTACTACTTGAAAAATTTGGGTTTTAGACTTAAACTGGTTTCAAGCTCCTTTTATCTAGGGTGGAGAGAACTTGTTAGGAAAAAAAACAAATTGTTGTAATGCGCGGAACGGATCGACTTATGCTCTATAAAAGTCTGCGGACGCAGCCAATATTAAAGGCATGTTATTATAAGAAAATGTCTTGCGGATGCAAAATTAAGGTAAAATAAAACTTCTGTTTTAAACTGTAACTGTGTGTACATTGATTATGCTCAAACAAACCACCTTCTTAACGAATCTTTAAGGAGGTGTTATTGGTTTTTATATTTTAATGGATTTGAGAATCTAAACCAAATTCAGTATTATTATTTTAAAATTTATATTGAAATATAGTGTTATTAGTTTTATGATTTTAAAATCCATAATGAAATACAGTGTTATTGTATCTATCATTTTAGAATCTAAATATTATAAGGATTTGAGTTTTAATTGAATTTGAATGGATTTGGAAGGATTTTCATGACTAAAATATAAAGATCCAAATACAAAGTCTAATTTTGGTATTTAAATAGATTTGATTTTTTTTTTATTTTATTGATTTTGAAATCAATAAATTTATCAAATCCAAAAAAGATTTATAAATCTACCAAAATACAAGAACCAATAACCCCTAGTAAGTAATCCAGCAAACTGTTTGTATAATGTCACCTCTAATAGTAGTTGAAAATTACAAACTAATAATTGTTTAACTTTCATAAATGTTTCTGTTAATGGATAATTCATAATATTTTTTGTATTGTGATACTTTATTATATTCATGCGAATAATAATATTTTAGTTTCGGTTCAATATAAACTTCTGAAATTGGGACAACAGCAACGTGATAATATTATATATCTTCTTATTTCTGACAATGGAGAGGGGTGAAATCGAGAATGAACCGGTTTAAATTTCGGTACGGTTCAGTTCACTTTGTCTAAACGAGTTGGTATGGTTCACGCGTGCTTTACTTCTAACAAGACAAGCTCGCGCGCGTGTGTCAACAACCAACCAAAGTCACTTTGGCCGCTGGAGCCTCAACCAAAATTCGAAACGACGCCGTTTCTTTGGCCGCGTTTCCAACTAACTTTCAAAGGCCTATAAAACTCAACTAACGTTCAACCAAAACTATCTGTCTCTTCTCTGTCTTTCATTTTCATCGCCTTCTTTCATCACTATAGACTAGCTCATCTAAAGTACGGACCTTGATCCATCCAACGTACCCTACCTTGACACGTGTCCCTTGACAGTGTGTCGGCAAGACTCAACGAACTGAACCGATACGACGGATACATCAACGCCCACCTTAATGAAAAACCCGAATTCGGATCTTCCTAAAGGGTTTTGCCTCAAACTCCTTTTTTGAACTTCAGATTCTGCATCATCATCTCTCTCACCGTGAGTAACTTACTTATGTCCTCTCTTTTGCGTCACTTATGGTTTTACATTTGTATTCATCTTTTGGGTTTTTGATTTGGAATGATTCAGAACCTAATCACAACTGTATCGGCGCATGTGGGTATCATCAAGTTTCTTTTTTTTTTTTTTTTTCCGGCATCATCAAGTTTCTTTCTTTTTGCTATAGTTTGCATCAAACTTTCCAAGGCTCTATATATAGATCGAGATTATGTATTGTTGGATTTGATGCTTCTCACCGTCCAAATCCAATCTTTTGTTCCTCTCCTTTTAAAACCTTCTCGATACTTGACTTAAGACTCTAGAAAATGAGCTCCGATTCAGAATCTGAATCTCTTATAAATTTGATTGAGGCTATGTGAAGCTAATGTGTTGATTTTTAATCTGTGGAACATTTTTCAGGTTGAATCAAAGCTTTTTGACTGGAAACAATTTTGGGTGGTAAGGTTGGAACAATGGAGGTGAAAGAGAGTGAAAGAGTGGTAATAGCCAAACCAGTGGCTTCAAGGCCTTCATGCTCTAGCTTCAGGACTTTCACTGAGCTTCTGACTGATTCAGCTACTGTGTCTCCTCAATCGAATTGCCACGAGATTGTAGACGCTGCCATTAGACCAAAGACTCTCAGGTTTAACCAGCCAGCTGCAGCTGCGGTCTCATGTCCACGGGTGATTCATCTTATTAATCTCTTGGCAATATAATATATCTTCTTATTTCTGAATCTTCTGCATTTTAGCACTGACTCGTATAAGTTTTTCTCATAATCTTAGGCTAAAGAAAATGGCAATGGAAAGTCTTGTGATGACACAGATGGCGGAAACTACGTCGTTTACAAACCTAAAGCAAAGCTTGTCTCCAAAGCAACCGTCTCTGTGTTGGCTAACATGGTAAGTTGTTTCTAGTGCTACAAAGATCAAGAATTTCTCGGAATTAGTTTCTTAACTCTGTTTTTGTTTTAGCTTCAGGGGAATCGTCAACAGACTTGGAGACAACCCGAAGCAGTAGCGTATGGGAAGAGTGTGAGTCAAGGTACTGGTCCTAATCTAGTCCAGAGAGTTTCATCCTTTACAGAAACAGAGACATCGGTCGGGGACAGATCATCTGTGGACGGATACAACTGGAGGAAATACGGACAGAAGCAAGTTAAAGGAAGTGAGTGTCCAAGAAGCTATTACAAATGCACACACCCGAAATGTCCGGTGAAGAAGAAAGTAGAGAGGTCATTGGGAGGTCAGGTCTCAGAGATTGTGTATCAAGGTGAGCATAATCACTCGAAGCCGTCTTGTCCACTTCCACGGCGCGCTTCGTCATCATCCTCTTCAGGGTTTCAGAAACCACCAAAAGGGCTTGTCTCTGAAGGATCAATGGGACAAGACCCTAATAGTAATGCCTTTTATCATCATCCTCTTTGGAGCAATCAAAGCAATGACTCGTCTAAGATGTATGAGGGTTGTGTTGTAACTCCATTCGAGTTCGCTGTTCCAAGATCGGCGAATTCAACCGGCGGAACTTCGGATTCCGGTTGTCGAAGTAGCCAGTGTGATGAAGGCAGCAATGGAGGAGAGCTTGATGATCCAAGCAGAAGCAAAAGAAGGTATAATATTAGAGAGCTTTGAATAGTTTCAAAACACCAATCTTCTTCGTTTACTGTTACATTGACTTTTATGAATAATAATATACAGCAGGAAGAACGAGAAGCAATCAAGTGAAGCAGGAGTATCGCAAGGTTCGGTGGAATCAGACAGTCTTGAAGATGGATTTAGGTGGAGAAAATACGGACAGAAAGTTGTTGGAGGCAATGCGTATCCAAGAAGTTATTACAGATGCACGAGCGCGAATTGCAGAGCAAGGAAACACGTCGAGAGAGCGAGTGATGATCCAAGAGCTTTTATTACAACCTACGAAGGTAAACACAATCACCATTTGCTCTTGAGACCTCCACCTTCGTCTACGGTTCTTCTTCCCTTTAACTCCACACAACATTCTAATCAAGCCATTTGATGAATGATGGTATATTGATACATTACTTCTTCAATCTTCATAGCAACATTAGTTCATCATTTTCTTGTTGTTGCACTGTGAATTTATTTATTTTACATCAAAATTGTAAGGAGAAGCAAAATAGTTGTTATTTAACAAACGAAAAAAAAAGCAAATAAAAAGAGTGTTATATTTTAGGTTTAACAACTTATGTTCCCATGTTGTAGCTTTCTTCTGTTAGTATATTGGGTTTGATCTACAGTAGTGGTAAAAAGAAACTACTTTTACTAATCACAAAAACAGTAAATGTAAAACGCAACACACACTTACCGCTTAATAAATCATTTGAAGCTTAACCACCAATTAGTTGAAATACAAACATGAAAGGTTTGGTTACAATTGATTTCATGGCAATAAACAATTTTTATTTAGGAAAATAGCAGAAAATCGGAATATTTAATTTGGAGTTAAGAACCATTGAAGATGGAAACCATATCACTTTAATGTATCAGCTTTCTAATTAGAAATATAAAGATGAAATATTCTTAAATATGAAACCGTTTGATCAAAGATCCCAAGTCGATAAAGCGTCAAAACTTGATTAAAGGTAGAGAAATTTTCTGAAACATATCCAAAGCTAACGAAAACAGCACAAAAAAAATGTCTTTGGAGATATAATGCAAACTCAGGGCAAAGGAAGATCCCTTAACGATTGGCCTTGGCAACACGCTCAATCTCATCTTTCTTCTTGATAGCATAGCTGCAAAGACAAGACAAAGATGCATCTCATCAGCTACTAAAGTAACACAAATGTGAAGCCATTTAATAGACAAGACGATGTAGAGAATTTGTTTTATAAAACCTGTTGGAAGATCCCTTGGCAGCATTGATGAGTTCATCAGCAAGGCACTCAGCGATTGTCTTGACGTTTCTAAACGCAGCCTCACGTGCACCAGTGGTGATCAAGAAGATTGCTTGGTTCACACGTCTTAGAGGAGAGATATCAACGGCCTGCCTCCTAACCACACCAGCAGATCCAATCCTGGTAGCATCTTCTCTCGGACCACTGTCTCACCAAAAATAAACGAACATCATGAGAAAAGAGGTTCATAACAACACAACAAGAAAGTGAGAGGGTTTCAGTATCACCACATGTTTGATTTACTTACCTGTTAACAATGGCATCAATGATAACCTGAATCGGGTTCTGGTCAGACAAGAGATGGATGATCTCCATGGCGTGCTTGATGATCCTGACGGCCATCAGCTTCTTACCGTTGTTCCTTCCGTGCATCATGAGAGAGTTCGTGAGCCTCTCAACGATTGGGCACTGAGCCTTCCTGAACCTCTTCACAGAGTATCTTCCAGCAGTGTGGGGGACATAGGTCGCGTGTTTCGAAGGCTGAACACCAATGTAGTCAACTAGACTAATGTCTGTGACCTACATTCACAGAATTACGCAAGATCGAAAAACAAATATTAGCACAATCATTTACATCAACCAAGCAAACCAAGCAGAGCTCTCAAGAAACAAAGAGGACTTACTATAACAAGATTGAGAAAATGGAAATGGATTGAATATCAACAACAAGAGAACACTTTTTCGGACGGAGAAACAAAACTGTTGTTTACTATCCATTTCGACTAATTATTTTGACATTTTATGAGAAACCTGATGCATACAAGTTGATCTAACTCACACAGTGAAGCTAATGTAACTTTTATATCTTCATAGACCAATGATTCAAATACTCGCCACAAATCAAGAGACATCACAATAGAAGAGGCTATATTACAGCTAAATCTAACAAGGAATAGATCTCAGAGAGACGTCATGTGAGCAGATCGGCTAAAACAGAAGGTGAAACTAAAGAGAGCCAAAGAGTTGAAGATAGACAAATAAAGCCCAGTGAGAAAATGAATAGATGAGGAAGTTACCGAAACGTCATCAAAGCTCCAACGGTTGAAGAGCTTGACCTCGTTGGTCAGCTGCTGCTGAATCTCAGCGTCGATTTCTACGGTACCCGCCATAGCTGGAAGATCAACAGAAGATTAGCAAAAGTACACAGTTACTGAAGAAATAAATATTCAGGAATCAGATAAAATGGAGGAAGACAAAGGAATACCTCAAACTCTCTCTAGTGTCGTGTGGAAGAGAAAAGTGATGGAGGTGAGAAGTAGGTTTGTATAGCCGCGGCTTGAAGAAGGATGAAGCTCAAAAAGAAGAAGAAAACCCTAAAATCTATTGAACTAAAAGATTCGTGGCTATAAAATGGATCTTATTGGGCCCAAATGTGCTTAGCTATTGGGCTGTTTCCTTTTATTTTCAGATGGGTTTGAATTTGCATTCAGTTTCTGTCCAGATTAAAAAATTTAGATCCATTAAAAAGGTCATCCATTCTAAAAGTTTAATTTTAAAGATTTATTTAGAAAATAAGAACATTCTATTTTAATGATATAAACGTAATTTTCAATCTACAATCTTCTTTAAAACAATTTAATTATTAATTAATATCTTAAACTTATATAATTAATTAGTTGTTGAGGAATAAAACTGCCGTTTGACGTTAAGATACCGAGTAGGTTACGTTTCATGGCTATAGTCAAATAGATCTTTTCTTGCACGTTTTATCTTTTCTGTGTTACTCAGCATACTTTGTATTATATTTATAGTTTAACCCGATTTTTAAGTTTTTAAAAATACCCACCAACCTTGAGTTTTAAGAGATGGCTTCCGATTAATAACGACTGTGATGGTAGGCTGTGATTGTTGACTTTTGACTGTAGAATTTATAGTTTTAAAAACTGTAACTATTACTTTAAATATTTTTAAAGTCTGATTGGTGATAAAAACGGTAAAAATTGTGATTGTTAATTTTTTTTTCTAAAAATAAAATAAAATCTAATTTTGATAATATATTTATAAAAGTGGAATAAATTATAATAGTAAATTTTAAATATATTTTATATGTATTTAAATTGTTATGATTTAAAAAAGATATTTAATTATTAACATAAAATATTAGTATAATTAGATTTGTTCAACAAAATTTAATAAATAAATCTATTGATTTTGCGTTAAAATCTAATAATTTGTCTATTAATTTATTTGTTTGAACATGTTGAATATGCATTTTAGTTTATTTATTTACTTAGTTAAGTCCAATTTTTTTTATTTTCTGATTAAAAATTAAAACTAAATAATAATAACTAATGATTTAGTCATGCTAAATTTTTAGAGATGAATTTATTATTATTAAAATAACCAATTTGACTAAATATTACTTATTTGTGTTATTTGTTTGTGTTATTTGTTTGTTTTATATTATTGTTAAGTATAAATAATAAAATTGAGAAGAGAAGATAAAAAAAGGAATTAATTCGGTAGTGGTTAAAAAAGAGAGAAGGAAGGAAAGATAAAAGCAAAAAAAGTTTGAATAAAGTGGTTGTAGGATATAATAAAAAAGAAGGAAGAAAATATTAATGAGAGACTTTAAAACTCTGAGAAATAGGAAAGTAAAATATGATTAGTTAAAAATTAACTGTAGATACTGTCAAATTTCTTAGAGCATTTACAGCCACTACACTAATCGGATCCAATCTTAACGAACGATACATTAATGATGATGGTTATATAGTAGGCCTGGACACAGAGCGGATATCCGGAATTTTAATGATATCTGTGATCCGCTCCGTTCAGTCTGGATCAATAATTTTTTGATCCGTATTTGATCCGTTGTTAATCGGATATCCGGTATTCGGATATCCGTTAAAATTCGGATTTTTGACCGGATATCTGATCCGTTTCAAAAATATTAAATTAATTATAAAATAATTAAAAATATTTATAAAAATAATTAAAAAGTCAAAAATTAATTCATATATTAAATTTTAAATTGTTATTTTTAAATTTATTTAATTTTTGTATTAAAATAACTAATAAAATAAATATAAATTCACAAAAATTTATATATAATTATATTAACTATACATTATATATGTAATTATTTATATATATACATATATATGTATATCGGAGCGGATCGGATATCCGACTCTTAAAATTTTAATATTTGTGATTTACTCCATTTTTAACGGATATCAAAATTTAGTATTTGCTTTGTTCCTTAAAGCTACGGATATCCGGATTTTTCGAATCGAATCGAAACAAATAGCGGATCGAATCAAATATAACGGATAATTTGCTCAGTCCTAAATACAGTTATCATTTTTTTTTTTGTCTATTGTATTAATGTCCATAGGGCATAAAATCCAATAAAAGTAGAGCAGATTACATCTCACAGTTAAGCCCGATAAACAGAAGAAACTAAAAATTACAAGACTTGGACACGTGTTTATCATGTGTAATAAGTTAACAATGAATCCAGCTACACGTGTTACATAGAGATGGAAAGTTGCAGCACCGTGGCATAATTTTTGTACTAAAATTTTATAGTACCACCGACAAAAAAAATGCATTAACTGGGACTTATATTTTTTTTTTGCATTAAGTGGGACTTATACTTATATATTAATGGCTTTGATGTACGTCTTAGTGACTTTGATTAATACGATGAGCGTCTCATCGACAAGCCAAATCATGCATGACTCATGAGGTTTATGATACTTACTTGGTTTTCATTAAGACTGCTAAGTGTTTTTTTTTTTTTTGTTCAACAGACTGCTAAGTATAAGATTATTATTTGTCTCTCTTTTTTTTCTTTTAAATGTCAATAAACACAGTATATCTACAGAAAACGAGAACAGTGATTAAAAAAATAAAGTTTTAAAAGGAAACATTATCAAACCTTTAATTTGAGACAATCACTATCGGCCATACAAATTTGGTGGTTCCAAACAATTTTTTTTGGTCCATTAACTTTCATTTTATCAAAATAGGCCTTTTATTTTGGATTAGATTTTTTTTTGAACATAATTTTTAGATTAGATTTTCCGTCGCAATTTATATATCTGTTCTAAAATTATCTATATTCTTGATTTCATTCAAATAATTGCACATCAAAGAGAATAGTCGTATACATATCCGGACACTTATTTTGACTTTCAAGTGAGCTCATCTGTAAATCTGAATATATGTCTAAATATTTCTCTGTATTTATTACTGTACAAGAGCACGACTATATATACACACATATACGATAGATACAACACCAGTAAAACAGGAAATAAGCTATATCGCTAAAGTCTATCTCTAATATAAGTATATCCGAACATGAATATAATTTTATCTCTAACACTCCCCCTCAAGATGGGACGTAAAGATCTCGAATGTCCATCTTGTCCAGTAAATATTGAAATTGTTGTCTTCCTAACAGTTTAGTCAACATGTCTGCTAGCTGCTCAGTAGTTGAAATGTGTGGAGTGACTATCGACTCTTCAGTGACACCATCTCGCACAAAATAACAATCTACCTCAATATGTTTAGTTTTTTCGTGAAACACAGGATTAGCGGCAATATGAAGAGCAGCTTGATTATCGTAATACAATAGTATTGGGCCTGGCTGAGGTATGCCGAGAGAAAGTAGCATCGCTTTGACCCATTTCAGCTCGGCGTACGTCATTGCCATGGCCCTATACTCTGCTTCTGTAGACGATCGTGAGACGGTATGTTGCTTCTTAGTTTTCCAGGACACAAGTAAATCACCGAGCATGAGTAAATAACCAGTGAGAGAACGCCTTGTCAATGGACAGGCAGCCCAATCAGAATCTGAGTAAGCAGAAAGTGTTAAGGCGTTATCTGCAAGCAAGAGAATACTCTGACCCTGTGATTTCTTCAAGTACCGAACAAGTCGAATGGCTGCATCCCAATGTTTTTGGCGTGGCTGTTGCAGAAACTGTGCCAAAATATGAACCGTGTAACTGACATCTGGTCGTGTCACAACAAGATAAACAAGCCTTCCAACTAAGCGTCTATATTGTACCGGATCAGAATAAAACGCACCTTCATCACGAGCCAAACCATGATATTGTTCCATAGGCGTGTCAACTGGCTTCGATCCCAGCAAACCGCACTCGGAAATTATATCCAGTGCATACTTTTTTTGAGACAAGTAGATGCCCTCCTTGCAACGAGAGACCTCAATACCAAGGAAGTACTTGAGAACCCCCAAATCTTTTATATGAAAACAGCGATGTAAATATTCCTTGAAGCGAACGATCATGTCGGAGTTGTTGCCTCCGATAATGAGATCATCCACATATACCAAAACGTACATAATATTGCCTCCTCGGTTCAGTGTGAATAGGGAGTAATCAGCGTAATTCTGTTTGAATGCGAACTCTTTTAGAGCTGTAGATAACTTGGCAAACCAATATCACGGAGCCTGACGCAAGCCATAAAGTGATTTACGCAGTTTACATACTTTTCCAGGTGCAGCGGACTTGAAACCAGGCGGCAACTGCATATAAACCTCCTTATCTAGATCACCATGGAGAAACGCGTTATGCACGTCCATCTGGTGTAGCTCCCAATTCTTTGCAGCCAAGACACCCAACAAGATTCGAACAGTCGTCATTTTAACGACTGGAGCAAAAGTTTCCTTATAATCAATGCCCTCTTCTTGACGATTGCCAAGGATAACAAGGCGGGCTTTATTTCTTTCAATGGATCCATCAGATCGTAGTTTTGTTTTATAAATCCACTTGCAAGCGATCGCCACTTTCCCCGGAGGTAGATCAGTAATGTCCCAAGTATGTTGTTTTCAAGGGCCACAATCTCAACACCCATAGCATCACACCACATCTTCATTGAAGCCGCATCTTTGAAATGAACCGGGTCTGTATTAGTGATGATGGTAGCTAGGAACATCTGTTGAGAAGAAGACAAGCGATGACAGGAGAAAAAGTCAGTTAAGGGATAAGGACACTTACTTGCGCTTGAGAACTTTGAATTGGGGAGAGCGTGATGGGTGGTGTTAAGCAATTGAGATGAGTAAGTGACGTATGGTGCAAGTAAGACAGATTTCGTCTTGATTCGCTTGCCTTTACCCAGATCAGATGGATCAAGAGAACCAGAAGCATCGCTGTTTGCTTCTGGTGAGACCACTCCCCCTGAAGAAGAAGCCGGTGGTGGTAGCAAGAGAGATGTCTCAACATCGTAAACAGAGGGATGCACATGATGGACTGGTGTAGCGTGAGGGATATCATCTGACACCGAATCCATCATAAAAGGAAACGTATCTTCATGAAAGATGACATCACGAGAGACGAATGTGGTTTCCTTGTCCAAGTCAAACACCAGCCATCCTTTTTGACCCATTGGGTAACCAAGGAACAAACACTTTATACTCCGATCTTTAAATTTGTCCTTGTGTCGTGACAGCCGTCGAGCAAAACAGAGAGTGCCAAAGGTCTGAAGATTGGCATATGACGGAGCTGATCCAAATAATAACTCAAACGGTGTCTTGTTGTCAAGCAGAGGAGAGGGAGTACGATTGATCAAATATGTAGCTGCCAAAACACTCTCACCCCAGAACCTGATAGGCAAACGTGCTTGGAACAATAATGCACGAGCCATGTTTTAAATGTGTCTGTGTTTTCTCTCGACACCGCCGTTTTGTTGTGGAGTTTCCACACAAGAGCGTTGATGAATCACTCCTTGATCCACAAAGAAAGATCGGAGACAGATAAATTCTGATCCGTTGTCACTCCGGACAACTTGTATCTTCGTGTTGAATTGTCTTTCAACGATGGCAAAGAACTTCTTAAGTGCATCAGGGGCCTCTTTCTTTTCAAGAAGCAATATAGTCCAAACAGCGCGAGAAAAGTCATCTACGATTGTTAAAAGCACCAGTGGAGGAAGGAGTTTTGTATGGTCCCCAAAGATCAACATGGATTAGAGAGAAACAACTTGTTGCTTTATTTGAACTTTTTGAAAAAATATCCCGAGTTTGTTTAGCTCGTATACAAATGTCACACGATCTTTCAAACTCACTAAAAGAACTAGAAAATCCTCCAATCTTCGATAAAACCGAAAGCACCTTCGAAGATGGATGTCCTAATCTATGATGCCACAACTCTCTTGTCTGAAGTCTGCCAGCATACCCTGCTTGTACTGCAACTGCGCCAGTGTAGTGGTAGACCCCATCACGCTCTTTACCCGCTCCAATCAAAGCCTTCGAAGCAAGGTCTTGTATCACACAAAATTGTTTCGTGAATAACACAAAACCGGCAATGTCACGAAGTAAATGAGCCACAGATATGAGTGTAATCGAGAGATTCGATGCATAGAACACATGATCCAAAATCAAACGGTTTCCAAGATTCAGGCGTCCGTATTGAGTTGCCCAAGTAATGTCTCCATTTGGCAATGTAATAGGGCAAGGCTCTATAGTGACAACATCAGTAAGCAGCTTAAGATCTCTCGCCATGTGATGGGAGGCACTTGAATCAATAATGATATCAAAACGTCTATCTGTGCTGAAAAGAAGAAGTTTATCTCTCTTACCCGAAAGTTTATTGGAGTTGGTTGATTTCTGATTATTCAGAAAGCTGGCTAAAGAATTCCACTGTTCTGTAGTAAAGTTGAGAATTCCAGGAGCTTGAGCTTCAGATGTGGAAGTGGTATCGTTGGCCTGAGTGTTGTAGGCACGAAATCCCAAACCACGGCCACCACGTCCCCTGCCACTGTCGTGACTACCACGACCTCTGTTGGATCGATCCGATACTCGTCCCGTTGGAGCTTTGCTTTTATCTGGCCACCACTCCGGAAAGCCTATAATCTGGAAGCAATTTGCAGTTTTGTGTCTTTGCTTTCCACAATGTGTACATGTTGAAGTCTGACGTTGAAACTTAGCAGTTGCGGCCGCTTGACCTGCAGTTTGTCTTGATGCAGAGGACTGAGATGACGTTAGTGTAGTTGATGTTGAAAACGCCACTGCCAAAATTCTGTCATCAGTGTTACGCATCACATTGAGATGTCTTTCTTCCTGAATGATTTGATAGTAAACAGAATCGAGATTCAGAACGGAACCCCTACTTAGAAGATTGGATCTGGCTGTGCCGAAATGTGAGTTATCAAGACCTATAAGGAATTGATGAACTCGAATTTTCTCCTGTGTGGCTTCATATTTCATCATCGAGGCACACTCTGCATTGGCACAACAACAAGTTTCTCCAAATCGGCTAAGTCATCCCACATCATCTTGAGTTTGCTGAAGTAGATTTCAACGGTTTCGCCATCCTGTTTGCAAGCAGAGATATTAGCATGAAGCTGATGTGTTCGCGTATCGTCACTGATCGAGAATCTGCGTTGCAAGCTTGCCCACATGGCTTTGGCGCTATCAACAAGGGAGATGGAAGGTCGCAGTTTAGTCTCCACACTGCTATAAATCCATCTGATGATCATCGAGTTGACTATATCCCACTTTTCTGTATCATCAGAGTCCGAGGGAGGTCGCTTAAGGGATCCATCAATAAATCATAATTTACGTTTGGTGCGGAGTGAGTTTATCATCAATTTCGCCCATCGTTCATAGTTTGCTCCATTGAGCAAGATTGAAGTTTGAACCTGTCCCGTACTGTCCGACGAGTGTAGATAATACAGCGACATAAATCTGTCAGGACCTGGACCTACAGGAATTGATGCCACCGTGTCTGTATCAGAATCGCTCATGATCAAGAGGTCGAAGAAGCGAGAAGAAGAGAAACAGAACGAGACAGAGAAGAGAAAGAAGAAAAAATATCGAAAGCTTTACAGATTAGGCTCTGATACCATGTAAATCTGAATATAGGTCTAAATATTTCTTTGTATTCATCACTGTGCAAGAGCACGACTATATATACACATATACAATAGATACAATACCAGTAAAACAGGGGATAAGCTATATCGCTAAAATCTATCTCTAATACAAGTATATCCGAACATGAGTATAACTTTATCTCTAACACCATCTCTAGCTGTATTGCTACGATTCAAACTTCAAATCCGATCCACGAATAACGAATCATGATAGTTCACACTCAATCATGAAGTTATGGCTACTTTTTTTTTTGCTAAAAAATATTTGCACTCATTAATAATTGAGTAGACAAAACTTTACGACAGATAAAATACAATCTTGTAATGTTTGAAAATAATATTTTGCTAAAGGCGCCATGCACTATAGTTTTTGCCAGGAAACCCCCCGTACAACCCGTGAGGAATCTCTTTTCCACGTAAAGCTGTAGTAAAGTCCTCACAGTATGAACGATAAATTAGTCTCCATAACCCAACACTTATTAGCAGACTCATTACTACAGTTTGCACTAAAGTTATTCAACAAACAACAACTAAGTCGTGGACTAGTCCATTTCGTCGTTTTCAACATTGGTTTGATCATCACTTAATTGGTTTCGTTGGAAAAATACAACCATTATTTTTTTTGTTAAAAGACCACAGCAATTTGTTGTAGGCATTCACAACACATTGTTCATTTATCATTTTTTCCTCGGTTTTCGGATTAGCTCGATAGGAGTTTTTTCTTTCAACACTTGAAATATAGAATAGTCTGAATAATTAATGTAATTTGAAAAATGCCTAATCGCACAGTACTCGGTGTATCTCCATGAATGGTCACATCTTCAACAAAGTTATCATCCAAGACACTCGGCGGTCTTCACATGTTTCAAAAAGTGAGATAAATTTTTGATTTGCCCACATTTTTTTAAAAAAATTCCCACTTATTCTTGTAGTCAAGTTTATGGTTTCTTTATTTATCTCATAATCTAAAATATTATTATTATTATTATTGCTAATTCTAATTTTCTTTAAAGTTATTGGTTTATTTTTAACGAGAGAATACTGTATGTTACTTTAATTCTTCTCTTTTTTTTTGTCGGCATATATCATGTTACTTTAATTCAGTTGAACTGTTTTGTTTTTTTTGACAATTCAAATTGATAAAGAAAACTGAAAAAAGAAGAACTTACTAAAAAATACATAAAATAATGATGTTGAGAATTTTGATAGTTAGTATGCAGCAATTCTTTGAGTAAGGATCATGATGTATTACTTTTACCTTCCGTCACCTAACTGTTGTCAAATTCAAAAGCACAATTAAATCTATATTAATAATATATTATACACATACATAAGAAGAAGAAGAAAATAAATGCACCTCCCATAATTGAGTTCTTAGCATTTCATTACAGAAGCTCGTTGAGGTATGGGTGGAGAAGAACTGAGAGTGGAGCTTGCAGAGATTGGAAAAAGCATGGGATCGAGTTTCAGGAGCAGCTCTTCGAGAAAGGAGCTTGAGGATGATGAAGCAGAGTATGGTCTGCAATGGGCTGAGATCCAGAGACTGCCTACTTTTAAACGGCTGCGGTCGTCTCTGGTCGATGAACAAGGAGAGGATGTGGAGAAAGTGAAAAAGGTCGTTGATGTCACCAAGCTTGGAGCCATGGAACGTCATCTGATGATTGAGAAGCTGATCAAACACATTGAGAATGATAATCTCAAGCTGCTCAAGAAAATCAGAAGAAGACTAGACAGGTGAAACATGAGAAAGAGGAGAAAGAAACCTTGTGAGTTTGAGAAACTTGAGCATGAACTGAATTGTTACTTGCAGGGTCGGTGTGGAGTTTCCGAGCATAGAAGTGAGGTACGAGCATTTAGGAGTTGAAGCAGAGTGTGAGGTCGTTGAAGGGAAGGCGCTTCCAACTTTATGGAACTCCTTGAAGCGCATTTTCTTAGTGAGTATACTCAAGAACATAATGAAGATCGCAACTTGGCACTAGCCAGTGTTGAGCTCGACTCTCTTTTTTGTTCAGGTCTTGGTGAAGCCGAGAACACGCGAAGCCAAGATAAACATACTTACGGATGTTAGCGGCATCATTAAGCCAGGAAGGTTAGTTGCAGGAGGATCTCTCTTTTTCGATCCAAGCTTTGAGATTTTGTGTAAATGCACTTAACCAATGTCTCTTCTTGCTTCTCAAGGTTAACATTGTTGCTTGGTCCTCCTGGATGTGGAAAAACTACTCTGCTCAAGGCTTTGTCTGGAAATTTGGACACAAATCTAAAGGTTTCAGACTTTGTCTCAAGCCTCTTTGGGATGCTTTAGCTGCAGATCTGTAAACCATGTCTCCTTTTTCTTCTTCTTTGTTTTCCACAGAGTTCTGGTGTAATCTCCTACAACGGACACGGACTGAACGAGCTTATTCCTCAGAAAATATCGGCGTATATAAGCCAACACGATCTGCATATTGCAGAGATGACAGTGAGGGAGACAATAGACTTCTCAGCTCGTTGTCAAGGCATTGGTACCCGAACAGGTTAATATCTTCATAAAGCAACAATCTTTCTGAAGCATTCTTTAAACAGTTTTCGTGAAAAACATTTCTCTCTGCTGAAAAAAACAGATATTATAAAGGAGGTCAGTAAAAGAGAAAAGGATGGTGGAATCATTCCCGACCCAGAAGTAGATGCTTACATGAAGGTGCATTTCTGAAGTTTTATGTTGATACTGATCTTGACGCTTGGCGGTTGATTATAACCTTTTGTGATGCCATTGTGTAGGCAATATCGGTTAGAGGACTTAAAAGAAGTCTGCAAACAGATTACATCTTGAAGGTAGTTTCTCTGATACAATTCAGATTTCTGTTCCTTCTTGATCAGCTTCTTAATGATGTCTTGTATTGGCTTTTCAGATCCTCGGGCTTGACATTTGTGCAGAAACATTGATTGGCAATGCGATGAGAAGAGGCATATCTGGGGGGCAAAAGAAACGTCTTACCACAGGTTGGTTCATAGCTAAGAATCCTGAAAAACGGCTATCTTTTTTGCCTGTTTTCTAAAACAGAGGTGTTTGCAGCCGAGATGATCGTTGGTCCAACAAAAGCTCTGTTCATGGATGAAATAACAAACGGCTTAGACAGTTCCACGGCGTTTCAGATTGTCAAGTCACTTCAGCAGCTGGCTCATATTACCAATGCAACTGTGGTTATTTCCCTTCTTCAACCTGCTCCAGAAACATATGACCTCTTTGACGATATCGTGCTGATGGCTGAAGGAAAAATCGTGTATCACGGTCCACGCGGCGAGGTCTTGAAATTCGTTGAGGAATGTGGATTTCGATGCCCAGAAAGGAAAGGTGTAGCAGATTTTCTCCAGGAGGTAAAAAGCCAAAGTTCTGTCCCCTGACAGTGACCTTTTGATCCCATGGTCCTCATCAGTTGTTTTGCTTTGCAGGTTCTATCTAGAAAAGACCAAGGACAGTACTGGCTGCACCAGGACTTACCACATAGCTTTTTCTCAGTAGACACACTGTCGAAGAGATTTAAGGACTTGGAGATTGGGAGAAAGATAGAAGAAGCCCTCTCTAAGCCATATGATAGATCAAAAACCCACAAGGATGCTCTTTCCTTCAATGTGTATTCTCTTCCGAAATGGGAGCTGTTCAGAGCATGCATCTCAAGAGAGTTTCTTCTCATGAAGAGAAACTATTTCGTCTACCTCTTCAAGACGTTTCAGGTTGCGTTCTTCCCTTTTTGCAGATACCTCTCTCCTCTTTGTCTTCTTTCAGAGCTATTTCCTTCAATGTGTTAGTCTTGAAGACCCATTCTTGCTTTTATGTTGCACAGCTTGTTCTGGCAGCAATCATCACCATGACCGTGTTTATTCGAACACGGATGGGCATAGATATCATTCATGGAAATTCTTACATCAGTTGCCTGTTTTTTGCAACCGTCATACTTATGGTTGATGGTGTTCCAGAGCTTTCTATGACTGTTCAACGCCTTGCCGTATTCTACAAGCAGAAGCAACTGTGTTTCTATCCAGCTTGGGCTTATGCAATCCCTGCAACAGTGTTAAAGGTCCCCCTCTCCTTCTTCGAATCTCTCGTTTGGACCTGCCTCACTTATTATGTCATCGGATACACTCCTGAAATCTCCAGGTGAGAGCTTTTAAACCATCTCCAATTCACATCCAAGCCTGAGAATGTCACATAACTGTGAAATGTGAAATAATGATATTCGATGTTTCAGGTTCGTCAGGCATTTCATTATGCTCTTTGCTGTTCACTTCACATCGATATCCATGTTTCGGTGTATAGCTGCAATCTTTCAGACAGGAGTCGCCTCAATGACAGCTGGTAGTTTTGCCATATTAGTCACCTTTGTATTCGCCGGTTTCGCCATCCCCTACAGTAAGACTTTTGTGCTCTTTTCTTTGCAACCTTTGTTCTAAAAGATCCATTAAAACATGACACTGGTTTGGTGCAGCCGATATGCCGGTGTGGCTGAAGTGGGGCTTCTGGGTAAATCCTATAAGTTACGCCGAGATAGGTCTCTCTGTAAACGAATTTCTAGCTCCACGGTGGCAGCAAGTGATTCTCTGTTCCCCTACTTAATCATCCAAACTTCTCTTCATCCTCCAAGACTAATCTATCTTCCGGTTATGTTTTGTAGATGCAACCCACAAATGTTACCTTAGGGAGAACCATACTTGAAAGCCGAGGACTGAACTATGATGATTACATGTATTGGGTCTCATTATGTGCCTTGCTGGGTCTCACTGTTATCTTCAACACCATTTTCACTCTTGCCCTGAGTTTCTTGAAATGTAAGTTCAAAATATCGATAAGATGCCACAGAAAGAAAGCATATACTGAAGAGCTTCTTTTAAAACATTGACAGCTCCCACTTCATATCGTGCCATGATTTCCCAAGACAAGCTCTCTGAGCTGCAAGGTACAAAAGATTCATCAGTCAAGAAGAACAGGACAATAGATTCCCCAGTAAAGACAAACGAGGATTCCGGTGAAATATATTGTCATTCTTTTCACGAAAACTCGTTCTTCTACATTTCCCTTAGCCTAATTTATTCATGGGGTGAACAGGGAAGATGGTCTTACCTTTTAAGCCATTCACCATAACATTTCAAGACTTGAACTATTACGTCGACGTCCCTGTGGTAAAATCTTCTGCTCATTCTTGGTTCACAACCATTTCGTAATTGCAGTGGCCACCAAATCATAAGCCATGGTATTTTGCTAATCTCAGGAGATGAGAGGTCAAGGGTACACTGAGAAGAAGTTGCAGCTTCTATCAGACATCACCGGAGCTTTCAGGCCAGGCGTTCTAACGGCGTTGATGGGAATCAGCGGAGCCGGGAAAACAACTCTGCTCGACGTTCTCGCCGGAAGAAAAACAAGCGGGTACATCGAAGGAGACATCAGAATCAGCGGATTCCCTAAAGTGCAGGAAACATTCGCAAGAGTCTCAGGCTACTGCGAGCAAACGGATATACACTCACCAAACATCACCGTCGAGGAATCCCTAATTTACTCCGCCTGGCTCCGTCTAGTTCCAGAAATCGATTCCAAAACCAAAATCGTAATCCTTGGATCCTAAAATCAACATTGACCTAAGAGATCGAGAAAGTAATTCGCCTGAAAAATTCGTTGCAGAGATTCGTGAAGCAAGTTCTGGAGACGATCGAGCTGGAGGAGATCAAGGACGCGATGGTGGGAGTCGCCGGCGTGAGCGGACTGTCGACGGAGCAGAGGAAGCGGTTGACGGTAGCGGTGGAGTTGGTGGCGAATCCGTCAATCATATTCATGGACGAACCAACGACGGGGCTAGACGCAAGAGCAGCCGCCATCGTAATGAGAGCTGTGAAGAACGTCGCCGAGACTGGACGAACAATTGTCTGCACTATTCATCAGCCCAGTATCGACATTTTTGAAGCCTTTGACGAGGTAAGGCTTTTTTGAAAAAACATTGCTTATGATGGAAAGTTTCTAAATATATAATTTTTCAGTTGGTGCTTCTGAAGAGAGGAGGTCGAATGATTTACACTGGACCACTTGGACAACATTCTTCTAATGTCATTCAATATTTTCAGGTTTGTTTATGCACAAGAAGCAAAACTCAATTTAGTTTCTTTAATCTTTTCAATATTTTACAAAATAAACAAGAATAATTATTATCTTTGTTGGGAGTAAATTAACAGAGTATACCTGGAGTTGCTAAGATTAGAGACAACTACAATCCAGCAACATGGATGCTTGAGGTCACTTCACAGTCTGTAGAGACTGAACTGAACATAGATTTTGCAAAAATCTACAAAGAATCAGCTCTTTACAAGTAAGTATAAAAATCTCAAAATCTAGTCATAATACATAGACTCATGTATTGTTTTTGTGGCAGGAGCAACTCTGAGCTAGCCAAAGAGCTGAGCAAACCGGATCCCGGTTCAACCGATTTGCATTTCAAGAGAACATTTGCACAGAACTGGTGGGGACAGTTCAAATCTTGTCTATGGAAGATGAGTTTGTCTTACTGGAGAAGTCCTTCTTACAACTTGTTGAGAATCGGTCACACTTTCATCTCTTCTTTGATCTTCGGTGTACTCTTCTGGAACCAAGGACAAAAGATGTAAGAATCCATCTGAATCATTATCATCATTCTTTCTTAGTAATAATTTCACTTTTTTTTTTTTTGGCAGAGATACTCAACAGAATCTGTTTACAGTTCTCGGAGCGATTTATGGACTTGTGCTCTTCTTAGGGGTAAACAACTGTACTTCAGCTTTACAGTATTTTGAGACAGAGCGTAACGTTATGTACCGGGAAAGATTCGCCGGAATGTACTCTGCGTTCGCGTTTGCGTTGGCTCAGGTTGTGACCGAGATTCCTTACATTTTCATACAAAGCGCAGAGTTTGTGATCATATTATATCCTATGATGGGTTTATACGCATCTGCCTACAAAGTTTTCTGTTGTCTCTACTCAATGTTCTGCAACTTACTCTGCTTCAACTACCTCGCACTGTTCCTCATCTCCATCACTCCAAACTTCATGGTCGCAGCTATTCTCCAGTCGCTATTCTTCGTTACTTTCAACCTATTCGCAGGATTCTTGATCCCTGGACCGGTAAGTATCTTTTTGAACAAGTCATCATCATCATCTTTGATCTTTACCTAAAGTTTTTCTTGATTTTAAAAATACTTGCAGCAAATCCCAAAGTGGTGGGTCTGGTTTTACTATCTAACCCCAACCTCGTGGACGCTCAACATGTTTTTCTCGTCTCAGTACGGCGATATTCATGATGAGATCAATGCGTTTGGAGAATCCACGACCGTTGCGAGATTCTTAGAGGACTATTTCGGATTCCATCATGATCGTTTGATGGTTACAGCCATTGTTCTCATCTCATTCCCAATTGCATTGGCTTCTATGTTTGCTTTCTGTGTTGCCAAACTCAACTTTCAAAAACGATGATGCGATCAAACACCAACCCAAGATCAAAAACTTGTATAACCAAAGGCCACAGTAACAGTAAACTAGAATATGCCAACAAGAAGAAAAGACATGTCAAGTGATTCAATAAGAATTCTATTTGAGTTATTTGTAAAAATTGTTACTTAAATATGAATCACTCTTTTGTGCATACTATTCTAATTATAATTTGAGGAAACACTTTCTTCATTTTTACTGTTTGCAGGTATCAAGCTCCTAAAGATGGAGAAGCTTAGATTTGACTCTTTTGTCAGTTAGCGTCTTGTCTCCAGATTTAAGAGATCTTGGGATTTGCTTTCTTGTGATGGAGATTTGGCTTCAGTTGTTGCATTACTAGTGTTGTCATCATTTGATTCTTCAGGTTGTTTCGCCTGTTACTTAAGAACATTACATTAGAGACAAAGAGACAAATGAGTATGTACAGTCAAAGAGACAAAGCTGGATGTTTCATCACTTCACCTTGTTCCTCTCGCGCCAGCCAAGCCCAAATGATAGGAAGCCTGTCTTCTTTTTAAGGGTCTCCTGTGGAGAACCTTGAGTACGAGCAAACCTGTACATGGTTGAAGAAAAACAATTATCTTCTTAAACCATATTTGGCTTGAGCAGTAGTACATAAGCATGCTATGAAGGTACACAACACACTAAGCATGTTCTAAAGAAAACATAATCAGGGTAATGTGTTTCTGTAGAAACTGGTAGATTCTGTTTTTGGCGACGATAGAAAAGAAGAGACAGAGACAAGAGCTGTGAGTTGTAAAGTACCTTGGAGACGATTGTGCTTTGTTTTGACCTGATTCATATTGCAGAGTAGCTTCTAGCGTTGTTTCTGCTGTAACTACTCTCTTCTCCATTAGAGCGAGTTGAGCCACAAGCTTCTCATTCTTTTCCTGTATAATTATTTCCAATGAAGACATTGTTGTGCATATTACATTTTGCGTTTTTGGGGGTAAGAGCGGCAAAATAGTTGCTTAATGTAATGAGTTTGCAGTGTAGGAAGAATCATGACTAAGATCAAACATGATGTATCTCTGATTGGATGATTTATTTTACTTATTTCAGTCATTAGCCAAAGTAAAAAAAGGATATATATATATATCTTAAAAGATAAAGATGACTGAAGAACCTGAAGCACTTGTACTGCATATCTTTGTGCAGATGCATCCTGCTCTGCACTTACCCGAGCATCTTCTGTAAGCTTTTGGTCTTGCTCAACTCTCATCAGAACCTGCACCATGCATCAGAAGAGGGACAGATTAAATAAATAAGTCATACCGGACAAAACAAGTAAACACGGATAATGCATGCAGACCTGAAGCATTGCTGTTTCTTGTTCTTTCTTGTCAGAAAGGACTTGCTTTAGTTCTCTGACTTCCTTTTCCAGTTCTTCAACCTGTAAAAGTTCAGGTTTCTTTTGTTTATATTTAACAGTAATATACAATCCACAATGTTCAACTGATAGCAATATAGGAAAGATGAAACAGAAATCTCAATATGCAGCAGAAATGATAACAGAAATTTAAATATGCAGTGAAACAATTTATGAAGCTTCCTTTAGCTAATAACATTCTCTGTATGAAGTCTAAATTTACCCGTGCACTTAATTCCAGTCTGTTGTCTTCTTTGACCATCTCCATGAAAGCAATCTCTAGCTCCTCAGCTCTGTACAGAGGAATAACACATAGGATTAGTTTCCAAGTTTTTCAGGAATGCAACAAATGAAGCTGTTTATGTTTTATCTTAATTTAAATCAGACGGTATCAAAGATTATGTTTAGATTTTTGAAGAATTAGAAAAGGAAGTTGAAGTAGAGAGTAACACAATAACAACCTTAATACAGCTGATCTTTTCTCTTCCAACAGTCTGCATAGTTCAACCTTCAACCATACCGCCTGCACAATAACTGTTACGGATGAAATTTTAAAAGGAGTTGCATATATATAGATTTACTACAGAGGAACTTAGTGTTGTTGGCTTGTTGCCTCAAAAATTCAATACCAAGAACAAGAACTATATATGTATGTATGAAGCATATTTTATCATATTTAATGAAACCTATTTAAAACCCACCAAAGCAAATGGCAAGAGTATATGGAACAAAAGAAGTCACCTGCTCTTGAAGATCTGGTAAAGAGTCTAATTCAGAATCTACATTTGCAGCATCCAGATCCATGGAGCTACTGGGAGCAGGAGCTTCATCGTCATCTGGATTCTCACCATCGTTCCTCTGAGTAGGCTTTTGCTCATCTAGAATAGATCCTTCATGTTTAAAGCTATATAACTTAGAAGCCAGACCCTTTTTGTCTTTCCAGACTCGACCCTTGTGTATTCTTTCCTCAACAATCTCTAGAACCGCTGGTCTATGTATCTTCCTCAGCTCCTCTAGTCTAGCCTCGTTCGTCGATAAGTAACCCATGCATGCGGTCAGAACAAGCTGACTGCTATCAAATGTTGAACAAGCAAGTGTCTGTAATGAAGTAATCGCATCTCCTGCGTCTTTTGTAGCTACAATTGCAGGACCTAAGGAAACAAAAAGAGTGTCTGAAATTTGGGTTTCCTTTCAAACGCAGGGCTAATGCAATCAATCACAAAAGTATCAGCAATACCATATAGTTCCATTAAAGCAAAAGCTGTCCGGAACAACACTACACGGTTTCCTTCAAAGAGAAGCACATCCCACATCCGCAGAACTGAGTCAAGATGAAACTATATATATAATTTCATTTCTTGGACATAACATGAATGAAGAATGTTTTTTATCAAGAACTCACCGCATTCCCAAGGAAGTATATTAACAAAAATGGATAGAAACCATGGCCCAGATATCCATGCAACCTGCACTCCCAAGTAATCCAGATGATTAACTGCATCAGGAGCATTATTGAGATAGAAGAAACGATCACATTGCTCTGTATAAAGGTGGAAACAAAAAATCCAAATTAAAATGAAGAGAAGCTTGAATTTCAAGATGAAGAAACGAACCGAGCTTTGGAAATCTTTCTCGCATCAACTCTTCAAAGACTAGCTGATCAACCTATAAGAGAAATGTAACAATTTGTTATCTTGATTAATATAATAACTTCTTCAAGAAAGATTGTAGAGAAAAAGAAGAGCTTTCAATGAACCGGCACCTGAGATTCTATCATCTCTTCTGTATAGTAGCCATCAAAATAATCATCAATAACTCCAACCAAAGTCCTGAAAAATTCCATTAACACATAAACAAGCTCATTGTGACAGCAAAAATCGCCTCATAGCAATGCATGCCAAGAGATAACTATAACGAGAAAATGGAGGTTTCTTCATCAGATAGCTTTATCAACCTACCAAAATGCATTTTCCTCTGGCATCAACAGAAGCAACAGGCCAGCAAAAAAGTTCATAGCCTGCAGTTTTCCAGAGTCATTGTTGGCTTAGACAGAAGATTCATTGATCTTTCTGATCATACAAATCATAATGTGTTACAAAACTAGAGAAATCATAAGTCACCTGGCAGTATCCAACAGATGGGTTATGACAAGCATAAGCGAGAAGTATCCGTCTCAAGGAATCTCGACCATTATCATTCAAAGCAGGGTGACCTGGGAATGTCCGAGGTATATCCTGAAGAATCAAAAACAAAAATAAGCATTAAAAACACTGAATAGTAAAGTCACAACATGAATGCATGTAACTAATCAAACCTTTTCAATTTGTTTTTTCCACTTTCTTTGGACATCAGATGAGCTTGAATGTTCACTGCCTTCATCAGAGTTAGTTATTTGTGCCAACAAATCCTGATAGTACCTCTCAACTCGTCTTGCCTTTACACCTACAAACGCTTGCCACACCTGTGAGTGCAAAGAGTTAGTAGCCAAGACAAGTAAATTTATACCAACAAGAATGAGATAAGTATTTTTTAAAAAGTTTAATTACCTCCCCTCTGAGATCCTTAGGCACTCCTAAACGAACAAGTACCTCAAGTTCTTCATACCAAGGGAAAAACGGCTCTGGAGAAACACTACCACCGTGAGCATCATTTTTTTCCTTTACTGAATCGCATCTGCCTGTGGAAGTCTCAGTCTCAGTCTCAGTCTCACTGTCACTGTCCTTTTCTCCAGAGTTTTGTTCAGTTTCTCCAATGGAGGACAGTGATTTGTTTATCGATGAACCATGTTCTGCTACTGAATTGCTCTTCCTGTTTTCCATATACTTGACGTTCTTAACACGAGTGCACATCATATCCTCTATGGACGCAAGACAATGTCTAATATTAGCCCATTCAATAACTGAACGGGGTTTCGTTTCTTTTTCTCCTTTCTCATGTTCCAATCCACATTTTTCTGCTTCTGCCACAGGCTTTTCTTGTTGAATAGGTTCATGATCTGTAGGTTCTTTCACTGATTGTGATTGTTTCTCGTCATCAGATTCACTTTCGACTGAAAACTCCTTGTCTTTATCCTTCTCCTTATCATCATCATCCTTCACAGGTTGGCTTTTCTTTTCAAGACTCTTCTCCTTCAAATATTTCTGCTCTTCAGGAACCTGAACCTCCTCGGCTGCTTCTTTCTCTTTTGAAAGCTCACCAACTGTTTCAGAGCTATCTTGTTCAACCTCAGATTCTGATGAGTGATCAGAGTCATGTTTACTGTTTCTTGAACCATCCTCCTCTGAATCACTCTCCTCTCTAGACTCCACACCATCAGCCTGCAATGGATCCTGAAACTCATCTTCCGAGGAACAATGTTCAGCTGGTTCGTCTAACCGGTCAAGAAAGTTTTGCCATTTCTCTCCCCTCTCTGTCTCTTCTTCCTATTGAAGTAATACTCAATTACAGTAAGTTGATAGATTAAGCGTAAACATTTCCATTGAGATAGCAAATGAAGCATGAGCAGAAGAAGTCACTAACCGTATAGATGCTAAGGTACTCTTGATATCTTTGAACGTGTTGAGGTCTCAAGGCAAATCCATAGGCGTCCCTGTAATCAAATTCTTTGTGATGATGATGACATAATTAATGTGTGTAATAATACGATTAATCACGAAATGATTTGAGAAACCAACCTGGAATCTACCTCCAGTGAGCGCTTGCTCACCAAAGATAACAACATAATACTTCACAAACAAAACTATTTCTAATTCCCATTTCTTTTACTTTACATCACACCGCACACTCACAAAACTCAATCGGATTTTTTTTTTTTTTTTTTTTGATTAATCTACTACACAGAGCTTATTGATTTAAAGATTTAACAAGAACAAAAGAAACCATTTTTTTTCGAAACGACGATAAAGATCAAAAGAAGAAAATGAAATCTGGGATCATCGGTTTCGTAACGAGAAAAAAAATCCCAAATGGAAGATCGAGAAATCGTCAACGGGAGAGATTACCGATTAATTAGGAGGTAATTATTATATACGGATTAATACAAAGTCAAATTCACCTGTCTTTGAGGTAGTTGTGGACGACAATGAAGTGTTTCTCCGCCATGATCGGTCATGCACCATCAAAACAGTTTTTTTTTTATTATTTCCCATTAAAAAACATAAAATAATAAAGAACTTCTTCTTCTTGCGCCATTCAAGAATTTCGAAACGTTTATAGAAAGAAATCTTTGTAATTTTTCTTATATATTGATGAAATTTTTTATATTTCATATATTTCATGTCTGCTTCTTACAAAAATTCAAATGCAAAACTTTGGTGGCAATCTAAAATCTGAAATCCTCTGTTTCGAAAGGGTTTCAATAACACTAAACACACTAAAATTTCAAATTTTATATTCATGACTCATAAGAAAATCATACAACTAATTTTTCTTTGACCATTATTGCAAAATAATCCAAACAAGCTAATCCTGCAATTGCAATGTACTGCTTCCTTACTTCAAATCTCATCACTTACTATTTCCAAGAAACGTCACTTTCGTTCTTTGAAAAACAAAAAACATCAAGAAGAAAGAGACAGACATTATGTGTGTTGTGTCGTCCCCATCTCTACTAAACACTTTGAATTTAATACTGCCAAACTCAAATGTGTCCTAAAGCCTAATTAATCCCCTTTTTGATCACATGCCCTTTCTCCATTGTTCTCTGTACCTTTCTTTCATTTGCATGCCTTAGACCCATCAAGAACTTTCCCAAAATTACTATACTATAATAGTATTAATAACTTTATGATCCACCATGAGATACAGTTCTCTGATCAAGATTGTTTAGGGGATGAGAAAATGTGTATATTCTTGACTCTAAGAACTCTTTAAGTTGTGTCTGAGTACCAAGAGAAATCATGACCAGCCTGTTGTTCTTCTTCATGACTTGAGGTTGAAGCAACAACACTTCCTTCACCAGAAGAAACATCTTTTAGCTTTGAACTTGACTCTTCTTCCATGGAGGCAACACTTTTAGTTTCTTTATTAGTTTTGTTTTCCTCCACATCTCCAATTTTCTGAGTTTCTTCTTCTTCTTTGGAAGCTGAAGTGCAAACCGATGACAAACAAGAAACTTCAGATGAGCTCTGTTGCTCTGATCCCTCAGAATTGCGTGGCCCTTTTATGAATTCAAGCTTTTTCATCAGAAACTTTAATCTCTTCTCTGCTTTTTCCCTTAATCTGATCTCTTCTTTCAAATGTTTCTCCAGCTCTTCCATCTGTTTTCCAAGAGATTAAGAGTTGTCTTTGAAAAAAGAATCAGATTTTTACCAAACCCAGATGATGAAAACTATTAGTGCTTAAATAAAAATTTCCTCTTTGGTCCAAAATCATACTCGGAAGAACAGAGCAAGTGACTCTTTCTTGATTCTTGATCAAACTCAGATTATGAAGAAAGAAAAGAAGCTTTTTTCTAAACAAGAATGAAATAAGGATTGTATGAAGTTACCTTTTTGGTAATGAGCTCTGCTTCTTCTTTTACAGACCTTGAAACTTGCCTCTCTGCAAGGAGTCTCCCTCTTAGACACTCCACAGTTTTCAGACCTTCATTTTCTTCTTCCTCCATCTTCTTACTTTCAGATAGATAAAAAGCAATTCCTCAACAGATCTATGTATATATAATTTCTTAAAAATCACACAGTACTGCGTATACATATATAGAAATACATTTAGAGAGAGAGAGAAAGAGAGACCCACCTGCATAATGTGTTGTGATTGAAGGGATCAATGGTCATACTCAACAACCAAAACCAAATTGGTAAAAGCTTAAAGCTCAAAACTTCACAACTAACTGCAAAAAGGTAAACTAACAATAATAATAAGACCAGTATGTTGTTAGATCATGTCATTATGATTTACATTTATTGTTCACTCAAGTAAGGAACATATCAACATCATATCTTTAAAAACCAACTTACCACAACACTCTTCCAAAGAAAGAAAATTCAAAGTATTTCCAAGTTCAAAATAGAAAAACAGATCCAGATCCAAATCCACTGACTTGAGAGATAGGAGGGAAATGAACCTGAAACCCCCAAAAATTTGAAGTTCCTATTTGAAAGAGAGAAAAAAACAGAATCTGTGGTGTAGGGACTGTAAAGAAGTCAGTTTGTTAGCAAAACGACAATGCGTGTGAGAGCAAAACGACAGTGTGGGATTGGACTTTTGTTACCTTTGTTAAGAGACAGAAATCTGCAATTCTCGTGAGTTGGTAAATCAATCTCTCACTTCAAGACCCTTTTCTTGAGAAAAATATAACTTTTTACTGCAAGTTTCTTATTTTTTTATATTATCTATTTACATATGTAATACGAATCTTAGTTATACCAAGTGTCACACAATCCTTTGTCCAAAATATGACAACGCTACATAAACAAATTTTCTTTTGTTTCTAATGATAATTTTATTGATTGCATTGATATGTGTAGTGTAGTTACTTGTTTGTTATGCGACAATACGCTATTGTTGATGTAAAATATCAAAAACAATAGTATAAGTGTCGGACGGTACTGCTGTAATGTAAATGTATAAATTAAGGAGATGTGTAAAATCTTGTGACCCTTAGTGGTCACAAGATTAAATCGGCTTTCAAAATTGAATAACCCTTAGTGGTCACGCAGAAAATTAATGCCCCAACCTCTCATTATATAGCTTTAAGTATATTTTGTCATTTTTAAAATTAAATTAACTAATTAGCAACACGCAAAGGAAAAATCGAGTGATTAGAAGAACATTAGGCTCGCTTTTACGTCACTCCGAGACCAAAACTAATCACCAAAATAATGCTTATTTTGTGAAAGAAAACTAATAATCACTCTGAATCATATAGATTTATATTGTTGCGCTCCTTAGGAACAACACCACTTCAATCAAAACCACTTGATTTTTACCAACTATTCAACGTTATGTTCAATCACAACAACAAAAAAAGAAGGGGAAACTATAAAATCATTGACAATCAAAATCATTAAATAGCAACAAGCCCCACCCAAAAAAAGACAAATCATTACAAAGTAACTCCTTGAGAAGCCCACCAAGATAACTTTGAACTCATTTAACTTCAGTGCAAGATAATGTGTAGTTGATGTATCATAAAGATCAGTGAGCTTCATCAAGCTCTTGTTTCAAGATATACTCTTTGTCACTCATTGACTCAACCAAACCTTCTATTAGATCATACATCTCTATGCTTCTCTCACAGGAAGTGTCTTTCGCAATGAAACTACGCAATCCGTTACCAGTTTCTAACCAGCTAGTTCCAGGGATTTTCTTCAGCCCGATTCTTTTCATCTTATGCCTCACAATTTCGGCTTCTTCCCATCTCCCTGCTTGAGTGTACAAATTCGCCATGATAGTGTAATTCCCTGTATTCTCTGGTTCGATCTCAAACAAGCGATCACAAGCGATCCTCGCAATCTCCACATCACCAAGAACAGAAGCCCCATTCAACAATGCACCCCAAACTTTAGCAATTGGTTCAACTGGCATCTTCGATATGAACTCCATTGCATCTGAAAGTTTTCCAGCCCGGCTAAGAACACTTACCATACAAGCATAGTGCTCAACTCCAGGCTCAATGTCATACTTTGTTACCATTGAATCAAATATCTGATGCGCTTTATCCGATTCTCCGGAGTGTGCACAAGCTGAAAGAACAGCTGTTAGCGTGACATTGTCTGGCTTAGTTCCAAGACACTGCATTTGTTCAAAAAGACTATACGCAGAATCAGAGTCCCCGTGAACAGCATACGCTGTAATAATTGCCGTCCAGACGATCAAGCTCCTCTCTTTACAGTTATCAAAAACCCTTTGAGCTCCATGGAGATATCCTAACTTGGCATAGTTATCTATGATGGAGGTAGTGACATATATATTGTTGTCAGAACCATTACGGATAGCAAAAGCGTGGATTTCCTTACCCCCTTTCAGATTCGAACTATATGTCAACGAAGGAAGAAGACTCGAAAAGGTCACTGTGTTTGGCCTAGAGCCACATCTTATCATCTCCCTAAATGAGTCTATAACCTCCTCGTGATGGTTATTCTGCATAAGACCCGAAATCACAGCATTCCACGTACTCACACCGATACTTTCCATCTCACTGAATAAAGCCATCGCTTCCTTGACAAGACCATGAGCCATATACCCTGAAATGATAGCCCCGTAGGTGACAGAATCTTTCTCACTCATCTCATCAAATATTGCTCTTGCGTAATCCAAGCTACCACATTTAGCATAAAAGCCAATCACAGCGTTACACAGAGATAAATCCATCTGAATATGATTCTCAAGCATATGCTTGTGAACTTCCATCCCCAAAACAAGATCGCTTGATTGTCCGCACGCCTGCAAAACGCTTATTACAGTGACTCCATTAGGCTTCAAATCAGGAACACCTAACATCGCTTTATACAGATCTTTACATTCCTCGTAAGAACCACTTTGAGAATAAGCTGAAATCATCGAATTCCACGAGACGACATCTCTGTCAGACATTTCATCGAACACTTTCCTTGCAGACGCCATATCGTCACACTTTGTATAGTACGTGATCAGCCCATTGCCTATGTAGACATCGGAATCAAACCCACCTCGTAACACAAACCCGTGAACTTGTCTAGCCAGTGAACCCAACCAGAAATCATCATGACCAGACACTGCCTTCAACACACAAGAGATGCTAATGGAGTCGGGCCTTGCGGTACCGGAAGAGTAACAAGAGGACCTGATCCATGACGAGAAGAGAGAAAAGGCATCGAAATACATCTCACGCGAAGTGTAGGCGATGAGGAGTGCGTTGTAAGAGAAGGCATTTCTAACGGTGATTTCGTCGAACACATGGAGGGCTTGGCGGAAACGGTTCTCCCTGGTGTAAAAATTGATGAGCTTGGATGCAAGGAAGTTGTTCGGCGTGATGGAGAAGAGGACAATACGAGCGTGAAGCTGAAGCGCGTGGAGAGGAAGCCGGTGACGGGTGAAGTGATCGATGAGGTGGCCGTACGCGCCGCCGTCGATCGCCGCCTTGTTGAGGAAGCCTTGACAGGCTCGTTGAAATTCGAATCCCACCTTCATTCATTTCTAACCAAGAGCTAAACCGAAGGAAATAAACAATATGGATATATTGAGGCCTATTATTGGGCCTCAAGCCCATGAATGAGTTTGTAAGTATTTTATCCGTAGCGAAAGAATCTTGGGAATCGACAACACTTTAGTTTCATGTCTTGTCTGAGAAAATATCATTGTCGAGCTTTCAGTTATATTCAATCTCGATCCAGCTACAGTCGATCACTGAATCGTGACATAGCCAATCAGGCAACTGAAATTGAAAGACGAGCTCGCGCTCTGAGAGTTCTAGATATCATATCGACGAAATCTTGTGTAGCTTCGAATCGCCAGGATCATCTAGGTATCGTTCAGGAATTTCTGCAAACAGATTCGAGGCGATTCAGAGATCAATCGATTTCCGAAGATTTTGACCTCTCAAGAACCAGAAATGGAATATCAAGCGTGTTGGAAGAAGTTATGTTGGAGGATTCTTCAAGTATGCAGCAGCGAAATGGGTGGAGTTTTGATGCTTATGGTTTATTGTCCGCCGTGAGTTCTTGTGGCTCGAATCGAGATTTTCGAACCGGTTCTGGGTTTCATTGCTTAGCGATGAAAGGTGGGTTTATCTCAGATGTCTACGTAGGAAGCTCTCTTGTCGTTTTATACCGAGATTCCGGTGATTTGGGCAATGCACGTAAAGTGTTTGAAGAAATGCCTGAGAAGAACGTTGTTTCGTGGACGGCTATGATTTCAGGTTTTGCGCAGGAATGGCGAGTTGATATCTGCTTGAAGCTTTACTCGAATATGAGAAACTCGACCTCTGATCCGAACGATTACACCTTCACTGCTCTGTTGAGCGCTTGCACGGGAAGCGGAGCACTAGGGCAAGGAAGAAGCGTTCATTGCCAAACGCTACAAATGGGTTTCAAGTCTTATCTTCATATCTCAAACGCTCTCATCTCTATGTACTGCAAATGCGGCGATTTGAATGATGCGTTTCGTATCTTTGACCAGTTTGGAAACAAAGACGTCGTCTCTTGGAACTCTATGATTGCTGGTTACGCGCAGCACGGACTTGCGACGCAAGCAATCGAGCTCTTTGAAGTAACGATGCCCAAAAGCGGAACCAAACCCGACGCAATCACGTATCTAGGAGTCTTGTCATCATGCAGACACGCGGGTCTGGTGAAAGAAGGAAGAAAGTTCTTCGATTCCATGTCGGAACACGGCCTGAAACCAGAACTGAACCACTACTCTTGTCTAATCGATCTTCTTGGAAGATTCGGTATGTTGCAAGAAGCCATGGAGCTGATCGAGAACATGCCGATGAAACCAAACCCGGTCATATGGGGATCTCTGCTTTTCTCTTGCCGTGTACACGGCGATGTGTGGACAGGAATCAGAGCTGCAGAGGAACGGCTGATGCTTGAACCTGAATGTGCAGCCACGCATGTGCAGCTGGCGAATCTATACGCCAGCGTCCGCTACTGGAAAGAGGCGGCGACAGTGAGGAAGTCGATGAAAGATAAAGGACTGAGGACGAATCCAGGTTGCAGCTGGATCGAGATTAACAATGATGTTTTCATGTTTAAAGCTGAAGATGGTAGCAATTGTAGAATGTCAGAGATTGTTCATGTTCTTCATAGTCTCGTAGATCACATGGACTTCCTCTAATCCGACGCCGTATTGACGCTAGTAACATTCGGAAATGAAGAAATTATAGTGTATACCAGATCTTTTCTATCATATTTGTGCATCTGTTTTTGCTATACATGAAAAGTGGACTAATGAAAAAAACACTAATTTAGTTATCAACTTGTAATGAAAATGTATATAGATGTATAATGCGGTAAAATGCACAAACGTCTTCATCTAAAACCCTTCTCAACTATCTTGACTTTGTTTTAAAGTCCTTTTCTCAATTCTAATATATAATAATTTCTTGAACGGTGTTTTGAATTTAATTACTAAGCTACTAGTTTGCACGATTGGTATTCTATTTTCATTTCTTGGGATCACGATGGATATAAAAACTATTTTCCCTGCATACAAAAAAGTACTAATCAAATTCGAAAACACATTATTAATGAAGGTGGCTTGGCCACTTTGTCACTCGAGCATAGTGGTTCGAACCCGTTTCTCACATGGAATCGAATCCAAAAGTAAACCTATTATGAAGAAGAAAGTGTACTCCTTTTCAACAAGTTGTCCTCTTTATATATACCCTTCTCCACCACTACAAAGACGACGACAAAAAGAAAAAGTAGAACGCGCGAGAGAGAGAGAGAGATGGATCTGGATTGGGAAGCTTTTTTCAGGGATTACGAATGGTTCATCGAATATCTGAAAGGCATGGTGAAGCCTGCGGCGGCGCTCGCGGTTGTGCTTTTGGCGGTGGCTCTTTCCTACTCGCAGAAGCTCTCTTTGGAAGGAGAGATGATCTACTCTGTTTTCCGATCGTTTGTTCAGCTCTCCGTCATCGGGTTCGTTCTTCAGTTCATCTTTAACCAGGAGAACGCCGGCTGGATCATCCTCGCTTATCTCTTCATGGTCTGTTGTGACAATTGATTTCATTTTATTCCGAGTGATTCTGTTTTCCATGTCTTTTTACAAAAGTTCAATTTTTTTGATGCTGGACAGGTCGTTGTCGCCGGTTACACGGCCGGAGAACGTGCGAAGCACGTGCCACGAGGAAAGTACGTGGCCGGAGTATCTATCCTCGTCGGAACAGCCATCACGATGTTCTTGCTCATCATCCTCAATGTCTTCCCTTTCACTCCGAGGTATATGATCCCAGTGGCCGGTATGGTGGTCGGAAACGCCATGACGGTCACCGGAGTTACCATGAAACAGCTACGAGCTGACATCAAGATGCAACTAAACCTGGTATATCATCCATCTTTTACCCATCCATATTAACCGAACCATTTTCCCGGTTAAACTACATTCCCGGTTTCAACTGATTTCTCAAACGCCAGGTGGAGACGGCATTGGCACTGGGAGCGACGCCGCGACAAGCGACGCTGCAACAGGTGAAGAGAGCATTAGTGATCTCTCTATCTCCGGTGCTGGACAGCTGTAAAACCGTCGGACTGATCTCTCTACCAGGCGCAATGACCGGTATGATAATGGGCGGTGCGTCGCCTCTCGAAGCTATCCAGCTTCAGATCGTTGTCATGAACATGTTGGTCGGAGCAGCCACGGTTAGTAGCATCATGTCTACGTACCTTTGCTGGCCATCTTTCTTCACTAAAGCTTACCAGTTACAAACTCATGTCTTCTCTTCAGATTGAAAACTTTAATATAATATAAATGTAACCACAAACTTAACAACCTTTTTAAAACTGGTCTCTGAAATTGAAAAGCAAACCATGTCTAGTCTTCCATAGCATTGTTTCAAACATCTCAATTGAAATAAAAAGAGAAAAACTCTCAAAGGGTTCAAAGCAAACACACATAAGAGAAAGGAAATATCTGGGACAGTCAAATCCAATAGTAGTATACATGCTACAACGCCTGCGACCTGAGGCCATAAGCCATCAAAGTCAAGGAGACTCGCTTCCTCTAGGGGAAGCACGGTTGGGCTGATAATCATCCTCAATGGGGCTTCGGTCACCTCTAGGACTGACAACAGAGTTTCTGCCGTTTCCATTGTCTAGTGGGCTACCACCATCATGGTCTGATCCGTCTTGCTTTCCAAGCTTTGGGGATGTTGGAGGGCTCCCGTCTATGATCCTTGGGCTGCCTTCATCATCCAGAATCGGACTACGGTCTCTGCCTCTTGGCGACAGGGAGTCCTCCATTCGCTTTGGGCTGCGTGATCTCTTCTCCACACTCCTCTCTCTTCTTCTCACCGGGGACCTTGAACGGCTGACCATATAGAACATAACAAGTCAACCAGAGTGCTAAAACGGTTTAAACAAGAGACAAAGCTTAGAGAAAGTATGTAAACATCTATATACAAAACCAAGAAGTTGAAGTTTACAAGCAATAACGAGGAAGGAAACTAACCTGTAGCTTCGGCTTCGGCTAAGACTCCTGCTACGGCTTGGGCTTCTTCTACGACGAGGAGAACGAGATCTTACAGGTGACCTCGAGTAGCTTCCACTCCGCCTATTAACCAAGAAAAAAAAAAGGTTATAAGAAACTGGAAAGGTCGACAAAATCACAACAAAGATTTCATCTTTTAAAAAAACTATCGGATACCTAAGCTTCTTGGGACTGTTTTTGCAGTTTCTCTCAATGTGCCCTCTTTCTCCACAACGGTAACACTTGTTCTTCCAGTCCCCTGCTGTGCAGTCTCGAGCCCAATGACCGTCAACACCACAGTTAAAGCAGCGACCAGCTCCAGGAGGTGGGCCTCTGCTATCATAATCCCGAGAACCACGAGGTGCCTATCATACAAACATGATAATCCATGAATTTAGCAAACATATTCATCCATAAATATAACAAGATGGATAGAGCCTGTGTAAACAGAGATCCAAACAACTCACTCCTCTTGAAAACTCCACTGTGATGCGACTTCCATCGAAGTCTCGTCCGTCCAAGTAATGTCTCGCGTCATCAGCATCACGAGGATCACTAAATTCCTGATTTCAAAACCGTCAAGGACAAAAAGCTACATGCATAGTGTGTATTTGCCCACATCATACGAAAAAACCAACTAGGAGCAATGGAAACTTCATAACAAAAGGAGGTTCAACTTACAACAAAAGCATAATCTCGCTTCATATCCACATCTCGCACTCTGCGGAAGAAATTGTTGGCAGAAAAGTAAGGCCATCATATCTTTAAGGTACTCCTAAACACCATTTTGAGACTGAGTCTCCATTTTCTTTTCATTCAAAAACACTTAAACAAAATTCTACAAACAGAATCGCCGAGGCGTCCCCCTATACACCTTGGCGAGAATTTCCACCAAAGTCCACCCATTCATCAAACACCATTCATCAAACACCTCCAGGTTACCAGAGACCTTCAATAAGATCACTCAAGTTAAAAACATACACTAAACCTACATCCACAATCTTCCCTCAAGGATACAAATAATATCGAATCACAGTGTATACTATTACTGGAGAGATAAAAGAAGCAGACTCTTATTTTATGCATTTGTCCCTCACACAATAGCAAACAAATTCACGGAGATAAGTGGGGAAAAAACACACTCAGACCCTCATTATCTATCCCCAACACATTGATATCAGAACATTCATTCATAGATAGAGGCTGAGATTTGAGAAGATTCAATTACCTTCCGTATCTGTTGAAAAGATGTTCAAGGTCTCGGGTACGAGTTCTGGATGATAAGTGGCCAACATAAAGACGAGTGTTCCCGTAGCGGTCATCATAGCGAGGCATTTTCAACTATTAATAAATCACAACTTTGTGAGCATAACTTGTTAGAAACTAAATAAACAAACCAAAACAGATACAAGATGAAGCCAGTGAAATTCAATGAATAGATAGAGAATTAGGAATCAAAGAGGCAGATAAACGTATCACTTAACTAAGTCAAGACCTATAGGAAAATAGTCAAAGAGAATCATAACGTCTTACGAAAGACGCCCAAAAGAGTAAAATTTTTATCAAACACAACTCAACGAGCATGGTTAGAGACGAGAAGATGAATTTTTTTGGGGAGAGATGAAAATATACAAGAAAGACAGAAACCTAGCAAAAACTAATACCGCAAAAGCATCAAACCAATGTCAAACCTAAATTTGAGCTCAAGAAACACATAAGTTTTCAATCCAGATAATCAGATTCAGTAGTTTTTCTAATACCTGGGGAATAAAGGAGAGCACTGCGAAACCCTAATTTCGAGCGAAAGGGGGAAGAACTAAGAGCGTCTGGAAGCAGAAGCCAACCTCTAAGAAATAATAAATATGGGATTTCGCATTAAACCGACTAAATTCAACGGTAGTGATTTGCTGGGGTCACCTAAACCGTTGGTATTTGGTAAAGAGATAAGAATCGATGTTACCGATGTTGTAATGGCTCCACATACCTCTATGGTTTTGCAATCTATTGGGCCTAAAGTTATTTTAAGCTCGTTAGTGGATTGAAATCATAAAATAAAGTATATTAATCTTAAAACGTGGTTAAAATGGTTAGAACATTTTAATATTCAACATTAAACATTGTTACTTAAAAATTTAGAGGTTTACTGATTACCAACCAACTGAAAACAAATCAAATTCCGCCTTGATACTTTTTTTTTTGTTTCTTTTGATTATTAGTGCTTTGAATTTAGTGGACTCGAAATTGCATTTTGATTTAATGGGATAATCTTTGCGAATTATAGATTTTCTCCCTTGATCGATTTGAAAAATTTATTTTCTTTATTTTAAAATCTGGCTTGACATTTAGGCAATTTACTTTTGGTTGTCCTAAAGGCATTTTACTATTTTGAATTAAAGGAAAATACTAAATAGAGAATCTTGTATTTCGGAAATAATGAATTTATTCAAGATAGACAACAAGTACACCTTTAATTAATTAACTGATTAATTATGTAAGAAGAAAATACATACTATATATTTTAGCTGGAAAAAAAATCCGACAAAGTTTCCTTTTCTTTTTTTTTTGATTTTCAGAAAATAAGCCAAAAATAATAAATCAGGAAGAAGTAAAAAAAACGGTTTCATCAGTCATCACCTCCGTTTGTTCTTACTTCCGATCAACAGTGTGAAGTAAAACAAAACCCTAAAGAAGAATCCCCAAGCTACAGTGATCCACAAACAATTCCATTTGCTGATCTCTGTGATCCCTTGCTGCTTCAGAATGTCGATTCCCGTAGTCACGCATGTCTCCGCCGTGATGTTGATCCCTAACACACCGCTCATGCTCTTCAGTAGACTCAATTTCACGGCGCTCGGAACCTGCCCGAGCGGCGAGTTGTCGAATATCTGAATCCCCCGGACGAAACATTTCGTCGGATCTTCGAATTCGTTCTGCAGAACCCCTTCGTACGGGTACTTCACCAGGGAGAGGTAGTGGAACCAGATCCAGTAGAGAGGGATTCTCTCTCGGGAGATGAAGAATCCGGAGAAGAGGAGGAAGTAGGCGAGGATCGCTACGACGACGGTGAATCCGAGCATCACATTGGAGACGACCCCTGATAGGAACGTCACGAAGGAGCTTCCGGCCCAAAACGAGGCCAGGATCGTGAGGAAGAAGAAGAGGAAACCACTGGCTCCGCCGGCGAGACCAACGGCCCAGAATGTGGTGGCTGCGAAGCTGGCGGCGAGGAAGATGAGGGAAGGGATCGAGATTATGGACTGGGAGAGGACGTAGGACGATCTCCGGTAAGCGTTGTAAGCAGTTTCCCTCATGAATATGTAGCGTTCTTGTAGAAAGACCGGGATTGCTTCTGCACAGGTGTAGAAAGTGGTGGACATTGCGAATGCGAAGAACCCTAGACGTTCTTGGGCTCCTTTTGGGGAACTGTCTAGCTTCGTGAACATTGTGGCTAAGATGATTCCGGTGACCATTACAGCTCCTACACGCATCCCGAAAAGCTCCGGCTGCCTCCTGGAGTTCAGTATAGAACGTTTTCCGATCACAATCATTTCGATCCAGAAAGGATTTGCGAAAGTTTGGAAGGAGGATGTTAGGTTTGAGGAGTTGTTTGTTGCTCCGGAGACGAGCTTCCCTCTAGAGATACTAGCGGTTATGGCTTCCTTGAGAGAGACATTGTTGTTTCTGTTGCCATTATCGTAGCTTGATGCCTGCTTTGCTCGCCATTGCTTGTGGAACTCGACAAGCGTCTTGGTTCCCGCTGCCGAGTTCTCCAGCTCCCGGATAAGGTCGAGCGCGAACTCTGTTTTGTGCTCGTTTTCAGGAATCGGGCGTTCGAATTCTAAAAAGAACTGAGGGAGATGCGTAGGCGAGCCGCTGTATACAGTGTTCCCCCTGGAGAGGAAGATTAAACGATCTAGCAAACCCATGATTCTGTAACTAGGCTGATGTATGGACATGATAACGATGCTGCCACTCTGTGCGATTCTCTGAAGCACGTTGATAACCATGTATGCACTCGTAGAGTCAAGCCCTGAGGTTGGCTCATCTAGGAAGAGGATGATCGGGTCATGGATGATGTCGATTCCGATTGAAACCCTTCTCCTTTCTCCTCCAGAGACGCCTCTGTGTCCTTCGTCACCGATCACGGTTTTCGCAGCGCTTCTCAGGCCTAGTTGGTCAATCAGAGCTTGTACTCTTGCTTTCTTCTTCTTCTTGGAGAGTGAGCGAGGGAGCCTGAACTCTGCGGAGAACATTAGAGTTTCCTCCACGGTGAGCATCGGGAAGAGAAGGTCGTCTTGCATAACGTAAGCCGATATGACTTTCTGCAGTTTGGATTCAAGAACTTCCCCGTTTAAGGTGATTGAGCCTCTGAGGCTGTCTTTGGCGATCCGGTTGGCTAATGCATCAATCAGTGTTGATTTACCGGACCCACTTGCGCCAAGAACCCCCATCATCTCCCCTTCATGGGCTTCTCCTGAAACACCATTCAGTAGTATCTTAGTGTTCAACGCTGAATCATTTGATGACTTCCCGCAGCAAGAGAAAGGCTGAAACTTCTTCTGTAACTTCACGCTGTAGGTCAAGTCGTTGAAGGAAAGAACAAACGGAGAAGATGATATAGAAGAAGCTGGAGCCGAGGTCCATGAATTAAAAGACGATGCAGAAGAAGTGAGAGGTGAGGTCATTTCCATAGCATGTCGAGTCGTAGTTTGGTCATCCTCCACATTCATAAGAAGCTCGGCGAGTGTGGCAGAGACTTTAGGTGCGCCTCTTGGACTTCTCTGAGGCTCCATGGAGGTCTGGTTAACATAAAACAGAGGAAGATCATTGTTCTCGGATACTCGTTTGGCCGGAGATAGTTTTCCAAGAAAGCCAGACATTTTATTTTTAATCTTCTCAGGTTATTGGGTTTAAGCTCATACCCACAAAGAAGATATGAATAGGAATGGGAAGAGACTATATAAGGAGGATTTTGATAGAAAGAATGAAAGATAAGAAATGGTCAATGTGGGTGGGTGATCTCTAAGTATCTAACGATGTAATGTATTAACCTAAAAGTAAATGGGTAGGTGAGAAGAGTTGTGCAAAAGCCCTTGTGTTTATGTCTATTTCTTGGGGCTTAAGGTACTTTGAAAATGCGCTATTTTTTTAGTGTTTGTTTAATAATTTGGGTTAGCTACACGGGTTATATGGATTAAAAAACAAAACAGAGATAATCATGTGAAAGTTTGGATTCATGTGCTATTGGATCATTAATTTTCAAAAATCTTGTCAAAATCATTTGTTTTGGTGTTATACTACTTCAACAAATTTTAACCTAGTTAAAAATATATAAAAACATTAATTTTACTATTTCAGAATTCCAAATCTTACGTGCATATATAGGTACATCTACATGGGCAAGTGATTAGTAAGTTCAAAGAAGTTGATATGATAAAGGAATGGAGCAAAAAGTCATTGGAATAACACACATGCACACGACTTCAATAGTAAGAGCGAGCTACACGAAAACCCAAAATTCTCATTACAAAATAGATAATATAAGCTTACCGTGAAGAAGTAGGCATATTATAATACCAACAAAAATTCCAAAATATAAGCATAACGTGGAGAAGTAGGCATATTTACGTTTGGTATGACTGTTATATCTGTTTTTCAGGACTTTTATAGTATACGCTTCATATGTAGACCAAAATCACTACATTCCATTTACCTATTCTTACAAGAAATCTTATGACCAGCAGAAAAGAAATATGTAATACTGTATATTTGTTTTATGACGCATGTCCCTTTCAATTTTTTTTCCTATAATAAAGGTTGACTAAGTTCTTAGAAAGAAACGTTTCAAATGATAATCAATGAGTTCTGGTAGCTAACTTGGTCGAACAAGAATGTTCTTAATTAGAAAGATAGAGGCTGTTCTAGTTTGCTGGAAATTAAATAGACGATATAAAGTTTGTAAGTGAAAAATGATAAATCCAGGTTTAAAGTTCAAACTGTTGATGTAAGAAAAGTTCAACTTGATGTAATAATTAAAGAAGTTCAGTTTGATAAATTAGATATGTGGTCGTTGACAAAATAAAAAGATTTGTGCTCTCTGGCGTTCTGACGATATTGTGGCATATGCACCATATATTTATCAGAATTGTCTTCTCATGCGAATACAAATCTTTCAAAATCTAAAAACATTTGAGCGTGGATTGGTAGAATATGACGTATAAAAGTCAATGCTCAGAAGTTGAAATCACAATTACTGGAAAAAAAAAAGCAAAACATTTTATAACTTACTACACTTAGTGATTGCAAGATACCATTCTAAGCTAAGTCAGAAACTGAATTACATATCGTCGTTTTGACGTTTAAGGGATATACAATAGAACGATTAACTATCAAATCGAAAGGACTAAAAAGCAAACAATATTGTCTTCTCTCGGCACAAGTTTCTAATTTATTTTGCCAGTAGTGTCTACAAATATTCTATAAAATGAAACATCTATTTTCCTGTGAATGACGACCAATATCTATATATACCATAACCAAATTCACTACAGTTCTAGATGCATTGTGTAGGCATAAGAGAGAATATGTATTAGTACTACTAAGACAAAAAAACATTGCTTCTCGAAATGCAAATTTATCCTATATATTCCCTCCGTTTTTTATTAGATGGTGTTTTACAGTTTTTTTTTTTTTGGTGTAAATATTTTTAGAATTAGAGTTTATTTTTTGTTCCAAAATATATGATATTCCCAAATTTCTATGCAAAAATTAATTGTATTTTTATTGTTTTGACTGTTTGAATTCTAAATCTTATCTTTCTATTGGTTGAACTGTTTTGGAATTGACAAAAATATATTTTGTTTTAAAAAATTAAAGAATTAAATAATTTTTTAATCTGTGTGCATATCTCTAAAATATTATTTAATAAAAAACAGAGAGAGTAGTATATAACAACCAAATATAAACAGCCATCAAATATAAATATGTTTTCTACTTTAAAAAGACAATATATATGTTTTCTACTTTAAAAAGACAAATATTTTGGAAAATTGGTGTAATAAAGACAAACAAACAGAAAAACAGAAGTTGAATTGACTAAAACTAATTGGGGTTAAATTTGTAAAAACAAAACAAAACAAACTGGAGTTGAATAATATGGTAATTGAGCAATTAAATGAATTGTGTAGTCTTAAATCGAATACTTAATAAAATAAAATGAAATAAATTAAAGACCATCATCACCCGGGAAAATGTCGAAGAGAACACGCTGCGTCTGACTTGTTCTCCTCTCTCTCTCTCTCTCTCTCTCTCTGTCGCATCCCACTCCGTTTTTTCTCTCTCTGCCATCTTATTTTTCTCCAACCAGTAATATTCATAGAAACCAGAAACAGACGCTAATTTGGAAAAATTCAAAAACTCAAACATCTTGTGATTTGAGGGAGGAGAGAGAAACACAGAGAGAGAGAGAAGAATTCGAATTCGCAATGTCGTGGTTGAGATCGGCGGTGCACAAAGCAGTGGAAGTCGGCGGGAAGAACAATCTCACCCGCACCGTTCGAAATTACGCCGATTCCGTCGTCCTTACCGCCGGCAATGCTGTTTCCGAAGGGGCCAAGCTCATCCAGGACCGCATCGTAATTTCCTTTTCGAAAATCATTCCGAATTTCATCTCGTCTTGATTTTTCTTAATCGCCGAAAATGTCTTTGTTGACGCAGGGATCGAGGAACGTGAAGAGCTTCAGCCTCGCGGTGAAGAGGCTAGAAGAGGTTTCCGTCTCTTCCAGGGGCGGCGAGAGAGTGCAGCTGCTAAGAAGGTGGCTCGTCGCTCTTAGAGAGATCGAGAGAATCTCTGATTCGTATTCCGATAACAACAGTCTCAAAACCGACGATCAGAATCAACCTAATCCCGACGAAGCCAAGGATTCTCCCAAAAACTTCAGCACCGTGAGTAACCCAAATCCTCATGTCTCTCTGCATTATTATAACCATGTTGGGGGCTTATCGTTTGTGAAAACTGGACAGGTTTATTACGTTGATCCTGGATTGCCTGGTGAGCCAATGACTTTCCGCGACGTGTTTCTTCACAGTGAGGCGCTTGAAGGGATGGTACTGTCTATGGTAAGTTTAGATAGTGCAAAATGTAGGACAGATTCATTGTAATAGCGATTCGAGGCGACTTTTTATTGCTGAATTCGCTGAGTTTTAACTGCAGGTTAACTCTTTTGTGTGAATTCAGATTCTTGAAGCACCAAATGAGGAAGAAATCCAGCTGCTTCTGGAACTGTTTGGGTGAATGCTGATTTGCAAATTGTGTTTCAGTTGTTTTTTACGAGAATGTGAAGAAGCTTTGAAATTTTTTCAACTCAAATGGTTGGTCATGGTTGATACATGCAGGCTCTGTTTGTCAGGAGAGAAGGAAGTCCACCAGGCGGTGATTCAAAATGTTCAGGACTTGGCAACGGTGTTTTCGAAATACAAGGATGAAGTTCTGGTAAGGATGCTTATGGATTTTGCAAAACCGGTGTTCTGTTAGATGTTCTTGAAAAAACTGTTAGAGATCTTGGGTTCCGTAATGCCTCTTCTTTTTTTTTTGTTTTTGGTTCTAAGGCAAAGCGGGAGGAACTTCTTCAATATGTGCAAGGTGCGATTTCAGGGCTAAAAGTCAGTGCTGATCTTGCAAGGTATTTCTTGGATCAGAACTCTTTTTTATACACTCTTTTTAAATTGTCCTGTGCTGAAGCAGCTTTGCGTGGAGTTTTAAGAATGTTTCAAGTCTGAAGTATTTACTTCTCTAGTTTCAATTCTCATTTGTGACTAGCTCAGAATAGATACTGAGGCCCATACTCTGATGGAGACACTCGATAAGACCAAGGTCAAGGTTCTCGAGCAGGCTTCAAATGAAGATAGCTCAAAAACCGCTGGAACCAACAATGCTGCATCTACAGAGGTGAGATTGTCTCTCCTACCTTCCATTGCCTCATTGTTTACTCTAAGCCTTTCTTCACATTAGATCTGGTCTCAGATTTTTTCAGCTATTGTTGCTTTTACTTATCTTGTATAGAAAGGTGATTGTTTTTTTGCACATAGAAGCCAAGTGAAAGGAAGTACTATTAAGCTTCTAGGAAAATCTTTGTTGCATTGTTTTGTTACACAAGTATCTTCATGATTTTTCGATACATTTCTGGATCAATCTCTGTGAGATAGTACTGAAACTTGGGTTGCTGCAGGCTCTCAGAGAAATTCTTGAACAAGTTCGCACTTTTTCGAAGCTAGAAGCACTCTTGCTGAAGAAAAAATCATTAGGAAATGGTGATTCCCTTCAACGACACAGTGAGAAGGTGAAAGATGCAGACAACATTTGCCGCTTTTGTTGGTTTGTTTGTAATTGTCTTCATACATATTTTTGTCTAAACATTAAAGACGATTCTTAGCTTAACTCTACGAAATGCAAAGATCCATCTGGCAAAGTCTAACTCTGTTCTATATATAATTATTGCCTTGGTGTCACTAGTGTACAACCCTAATTTCGCATTTATATGTTGGTTTTGGTGTTAGAAGCGAGTCAGAATTTCACTAACTTCATTATGTATATGCAGGTTGATAAACTGAAAGTTCTGTCAGAATCGTTACTCAATTCTACCTCAAAAGCCGAAAAACGAATCGTGGATCATAGGTGAGAGAGCAAATGTAACCTGGTAATTTAAAAAATTTATCTACTTTCTATACTACCATAGTTCACATCTAGCTTTCTCTCCATATGAAAAAAACAGAAGCCAGAAAGAAGAAGCTCTTAGCTACCGAGTTTCCAAAACTAATGAAGTCAGCCAGCTGGAGAAGGTTTGTAGTTCCTAATCTCTTTGACCTTGTTGATGGAATGTTGGCTTAGTGCTTTAGATCTCTGGTACATATATATATATATCTATATATCCTTTATCATGCACAAATGTGATTTCCAGGATTTAGCGGCAGAGCTAAAACAACTTGAGATTTTGAAGGATGATCTTGAAGCTGAGCTGAAAAGAGTAACCTTCCATAAGAACTTATTCAAGATCAGTTTAATGAACTGGTGGAGATTTTAGATGTGTAGAGTTATATTACAGAGTTCACATGTTTTTTTTTGAAGGTCAACACCTCAATAACGTCTGCTCGGGGTCGTCTTCGCAATGCCAGAGAAGAAAGTGAGCAGTTTGATAATGCGAGTAATGAAATTCTTATGCACCTGAAGTCAAAGGTAAACTAACTGTAATGTTCTCTTTTTAGATAGATGGAACGTTAAGCCCATAAGAATAGTTCCATGATGTTTGGTTGGCTTTACGGGTGTAGGAAGAAGAGCTGACTCGTTCGATATGTTCATGCCGAGTAGAGGCAGATGTTGTAAATAAGTGGATCAAGTTTTTGGAAGATACCTGGATTATCCAGTCTAATTTTGCTCAACAAAAGGAAAAACAAGTGAGGTATGTATTTAAATCTCCACAATGCAAAGAACTCAGCAATTATGTTGCTTCCTGTAATGACTTTGCATTTGATCCCTAATCTTTGGCCATTCCTTCCACTGTGGATCTATACTCAAGTGGGGAGATGGAGAGATATGGTGATCATTTCATCGACCTGATTGTTCAGCTCCTCTCTTTCTACAAGGTAACTCTAAATGTTCACCCCCAAAATTAGTGCCAATTTTATCATGTTACGGTAGATAAATTGTATACATTTGTTTTTGGAAACCAAAGATCAATCTCACATTCATTTTTTTTTAATATCAACTCAGGAACAGTTGGATCCTTCTTTACCAAAGATTCGAAGAGTTGTCGGAAATCTGGAACCAAGTAAAGGGTAATAAATCAGTTCACTTTTCCTATAAATTTTATTTGACTAAAGTTAGGCTGATAGCTCTATTTGCTCTGTTTATGCTTTATGGGGAAATATTTCAGGTTAGAAACAGAAAAAAAGATAGAGGATAAGGATGGAAAGCCAATCGATTCTAGAAAACAGCTTGAGAAGGAGTATCTGGACCTCGAAGCTAAGGTACTTGGCTTTATGAAATAGACATGTAGACCAATTCTCTCAAATTTGTATAAGAAAACAGAACATTCCTAAGCTTGGTTACAACTGTAGAGACAGGAAGTTTCTACTTTCCCTCGTCCTTTTTCGTAACCAATCTTCTGATTCTTCTTTATTATGTTTGCCAGTTTGTAACAACACTAAGTGTGGTAGATGCGATGAAAAAGCCATTCTATTCACAGACGGAAGGTATCACCAGGTAAACGTTACAAAAACATGCCCCGTTCAAATTTTTAGACGTTATAGTAGTCATATTCAGCTATGCATGGAGAATCTATCTGCAACTTTGTATCTCTACATTTTCGCTGTTGGAGAATTTACACAAGTATGAGTAAAAAAAAACACATCCACACTCTCCTGTTCCAGGAAAGACGATAAAAGAGTGAAAGAGTTATTTGAGGCATTGGACAAAACAAGAGAAGAGTTTGAGTCTATCGAACGCCCGCTTCTGGATATCGAGTCTCCTTCAAGGACATCCTCTTCTTCACGCTCACCGTCCCTGAAAATGAGTCAAGAGATTCCACTTTCCGACAAAGTCCTGAAAGAATCTGGTGATGATGGTTCGCCAGACAGTGCAAAGAAACAGCTCGAGCTGGAACTGGACGACGGAGAAGAGTTCTTGGCAGATGAAATCAATGACTGGGAATTCGACGCTCTTGATGACACTCACCTCAAAGGCCAATAGCTGATGACCCCAAAATTTTGCAAAGGTAAAAACCACTTTGAACTTTAAACTCATACTTTTACAAGAAGCTTTCAAAGGTAAAAGTTACATGTAATGCTTATTCGAAAAAGACTTATCCGAATGTTGCATTTGTTTTTGTTATTGTTGCTGTAGCGGATGATGGAGGAAGAGGAGGAGTATATCTCTATTACACTAACTGAAAGGTTCTGACTTTCCAGAGTTACATAAAACATATAAAAGGAAATTGTAAGTTTCTTTTCCTTCTTTTTGAATTTTTCTAATTTGAAATATGATCAAATGTAGATACAGTATATTACCTCCTTGTACTGTATACTCTTACCTCTCCCGACATATTTTTTGTCTTACCTTCTTCGAATTATACATATTTATACAGTTTTCCTCTTTCATTTTCGTTCCTATTTGAGTATTTATTAACATCTTATGTCATAAACTATAGTATATGATGGCAAATGATCTAAATGCCTTGTTGGCACATTGGTTTGAAATTAAAAAAGTTTGAATTGGGAAATGCATTCAGTGTGGTCAGTACGTTCTAACGAACTAAATGCAGTTGTTACCTTCACACAAAGCAATGCGTATATTTATTGAACGCACTTAAAGAATTTGAACATTCTTCCTTTGTCAACGCCCACGTCTTTAATATATTTGTATTTGAACAAGCTTATTTATATAACCTATTGAACAAAACTGAGTTTAATTAACTTAGGATCCAATTGTTTCCGACATAGAGATTTATGTCTGCGTTTTTAAGTTTATATTCCCTCTGTTTCATAATAAGTATCATTTGGAGAAAATATATCAGCAATGTATTTGGATGTATTAAACTCAAAACATATCTAGATACATCCAATTACAATACAGATAATTTTCTCAAAATGACATTTATTATGAAACGGAAGGAGTATATTTTACAAAGAAACGTAAGATTTTGCCTTTTACTTCAAACTCCTTTTTTTAGAAATTGGAGTCACAACTGAGTTTTGTGGAAAAAAAACAAGACAATAATTTAACAAATAAACATGCAAAAGCAAACGAAAAAAAAATGATCACTATTATTCTCTATATTAATTTGATCATTCAATATTATAATCATTTTATTAATTTTGTAAGCACTGACAGAGAGAGCTTGTTTGCTTCAAGTGGATCACAAAACAAAGCTTTAAAAATAAGGTCAGACAACTCATGAGATCCGATTTGATCGTTGATTGACATTGTTTTGGTACAAACTGCAAAAGCAGTCGAATGGTTTTTGTTGTTATCATTTGGTGCCTTGGCTTAATCCTACCTGAACAGTTTCGATTTTCAATAATATTTTAACAAAATTTCAAGAGGTTCAAATTCGAATTACGTGGTAGCTAAAGGATACGGATGATCCATTTACAATTTCAAGTCCACTCATTGACAAGTAAATAAACAATAACAAAAAGAAGAAGAAAAAAGCGTAGGTCCACTGATTTATATATGAAGTGCGGTGGTTTTTATGGTGTGCATATGTTTTGACTGAGAGGCTTCCCACTTACTCACTCCATTAATTCATTTAGTGGGTTCCAATTTTATTAACAAGTTCTTTACAACTTACTCTCAGTCTTTTTCCCCACTTTTGGTTTCTTGTTTCACTTTTCAATCATATTACATTTCTTGCTTTCTGCATCGTCATCTTATTCAAACAATGTAAATGTGCGAGAAAATTAAGATTTTTGTTTCGGTTTTTGGTCAAATTAATATGCATCTCACTTTCATTATCATCTGGTCAAATTCTTATTTTTTTAAAAAATTAAAATTTAGTTGTTGTCATCTCATGAGAATGCTAAGACATTAAGTACTTCCTGGAAATAGAAGTTAGAAAGTACTATATTTAACAACATAAAAATTGGGAAAAAGGGAAACGATATAAGTGGTAGTTTGTGAGGTGTTTCAATGATTAAAAAAAGAGAAGAAGTCACTCTGCTTTTTTTTAAGTACTTCGCTGTGTACGACACAGAGCTCCCACTTCATTTCTCTCCAACACCAAACTATAACATCATTTGTACGGACTAACTAAACCTTCCTTTCTATTATGATGAATTACCCTATATGGTTCCTAATATGGTTAAGTATTTTTTATAAAGTTTTAAGAGATTTCACTAAAAAAAATCTAACCTCTAATGTGTAAAATATGAAGTACAAAGGTCATAAATCTGGTTTTTCTTATTCCATTGCTATTCTCATTTTCTAATTTTCGGTAGAAAAGGAAGGTATATAATTCTTGCATGTGATTATATTATGATTAAAGAAAGTAGAAAGCGAAGAGACTTGTCAAAATACTAGTATTATAGGAATGTGGGGATGAAAGGAGCTATCCACTTACCACCACAACCTGCAACAATTATTACCCTTTTTTAGATTTAAAAGATAACTTTTTGATATGTGGAAAACAAGAATTGGTGCAATTTTGATTGTAACAAAAAAGATTGTGACTTTTTTTTCTTTTCTGTAATGTAAGAAAAGATTGTGACTTTGTTGTCACCTAACGTTTGTGCTCTTTTTACCATTCACGTGACCGTTGTTATCGTGGCCAATGAGACACGACGGATAGGATAAAACAATTCTTTTTTTATTTGTTCTAAGCATGGCCTATGATTTAAACTTTTTATATCGTCTTAGTAGGCTTCTCCGTTTTCGTGTTAAAAAATTATTGCTGGTCAAATCAGAAATAAAACCCGTTAAGAATATACTGTTATATTGATTGTTTACTGGTATATCGTCTTTTCTGATACTTGAGAATTATGTTGTAACACTTTCTCTCATCATTTTAATACGTCGTGCTATCCACTTAATTTTCTAACCAAATTACCCCACTTTTAACTCAAAATCAATATTCTTTTCATAAATAGAACTCAAAATAGTTTTACAAAACCAAACTGAAACTCAAAATAATCTCAATAGATCTTTAAAGAAAAAAAAAGTCATTTAAAAAAAAAACTAAGTGTTTTAGATTTTCCAAGAATTAAACTAAAGAACCAATCACTACCATCACACGGTTGGGGCGTTACATATGTGCACATAGAAAATTAGAAATGGAGTAGTTGCTTAGTCTATACTCTATACTAATAAACGTTGTTTTGCTGAAATTACAAGCACGACAGTTACGTTGTTGTTTATATGGATTGTTTGCAAACCAAAATTGTTTAACGTATACTCGGCACATGAATGTGATATGATTGTATCTCCTTGGAATATATGTGTAAGAATTAAGTTAGTTTGTTCCCTTGATATTTAATTTGTTATTTGTTCCCTTGATATTTAGTTTGTTCCCTTGATATTAAAGTGTGGAATCAATTTGTGTTAGTAATCAATTTTAAGTATTCACCGGACGATTGTAAATTATACTCCATCTGTTTCATAATAAATGTCATTTTGGGAAAATATATTTATATTATAACTTGATGTATCTGGATGTGTTTTGAGGTTAATACATCCAGTTATAATACAGATACATTTTCCCAAAATAACACTTATTATGAAACAAGGAAGTATATTTTAGTTTGTTCCCTATACTAGTATTGAAACTTGTTGTGGTTTGTGGGATTTAGGTTTAGACTGATATATAAAGTAAAAGCCTAATTTTGTGTGTGTACAAATGAGCAGTCATGTTTTTTAGTAAAGTTTCAGTAATGATCATTTTAAACAAAAAAAAAGATATTGTAGTAATTTTGATCTACCCATGTATCTTAGACGTTGTTCGAATATTAACTTTCGTAATCTTGGATCACGGTTGACAATTTAGTATATTCAAGTTAAGATCCAGACTTGGGTTTTAGTGAAGTTACTAGCAAAATGCATAGTAATTATCAAAAACGAAAACCGAAAAACAGTTTAAGGTTGCGAAGGGAGGGAATCAGTAACAAGTACGAGGAATATGGGAACATAATCTTATGAGAACTTCAAAATAGATCCACAAACTCATTAGTCGATTTAATTATATATATCATCATTAGAAACAATTGAAACCAATGACATTTAATTGCTTACAAGCTACACTATGATCCTAACTTAATCACTTAAATCATCACCATTCTGATTTTAATACTGGTACTTCTCTACCATAAGCCACAAATCATACATACAGGCTACAGGCTATAGTAATAACAACTTAATAACCAGTGGAAATTCACACGCCGCAGAACACAATTAAAATGTTTAGTATTTTTTTCTTTTTCTTGAAAGAACAAAAAAATGTATGCAACGGTAAAGTTTGAGATCGTAATAATATTAAAATAAGGGAGCCCTTAGAGAAATTGGTGGTCATAGACAAATCTTGTTGAAAAGATAAAAGAATTACATAGTTGGATGTATTACACTACAAATCTTTTCTTGTCTAGAAATTTAATGTGATAAAAAACCAGAAAACAAAATTCAAATGTTATAAAATTGGAGATATAGTAATAGTAGCCACCTAGGCATTTATTTTATAAAAATAAAAAGGGAAGAGATAACAATAAATAAATTAAAGAAAGGTCACTTTAAAAGATGCTCTTTCCCTCCTCCCAACCTCCCATGAGCTTCTTCTCAGTTCTCAGTCCCCCTTGAAGTAAGTAACCACAAAGAGAAAAGAGAGAAAGAGAGAGAAAGAGAGAGAAAGAGATATTCAGATTTCAGACACATATACACAGATACATACACAACATACATAGAATATGGATTTGCATGAAACTGGAACAAGAACACAAGCTGTGTCCAACGATGGCGATGATGATTACATAGACATGGAGGTCAATCTCTCTTCTTCTTCGTCTTCTTCTCCATCCTCAAGCTTCATTAGCTTCGCTGTCACCTGCTCTCCGCCGCAAAACCGAGAGTTCGAGTTCCAAATGTGCTCCTCCGCCGTAGCTTCCGGCGAATCCACCACATATCCGGCCGACGAACTCTTCTACAAGGGTCAACTCCTCCCTCTACACCTCCCTCCTCGCCTCCAAATGGTTCAAAAGCTTCTCGCCTCCTCCTCCACCGCCGCTGCCGTCGATACAGCTACTCCGACTTCCCCACGCGCCGCCGTATCCTCGCCGCGGAGATTTAGTAGCAGCGAGATCGAAGTGAGCGGCCAAGACGAGCAATGTTACTTCGAGATTTCCACGGAGCTCAAGAGATTCATCGAGCACAACGAGAATCTTGGAAACAGTTGGAGCAAAAAGATCAAACATTCATCTTTAACACAGAAGCTCAAGGCATCACGCGCTTACATCAGAGCTCTCTTCTCCAGACCAGGATGCTCAGATTCATCAGAGATCCATCCAAAATTCAAAATTGAAAGCGTCAAGACCTCTAAATCCTCGAAAAAGAAGAGCCCATATGGGAAAACCGAATGCTCAAACATCAGCAATCCTCCATTGATCCACAGGAGATCCTTCTCTGGTGCGATACAGAGGCATTCTACAGTAAAGTGTTCCTCGTCTTCTTCTTCTTCCTCTTCTTCTTCGCTTTCGTCTTC